TGCTTTTGTTTTAAATGTTTTATTAATTTTTATCTTTTGTTCTTAATTATGGGGTTCTGTATCTTTCCTTTTTAATTGGCTTGCATGTTCCAGCCCAACCGCTGAGATCCTCTGGTGGAGCACTGATGGGTATCTTTTGTGTTACAGAGGCTCTACTGGTTTTAACTGGAAGCGTGGGGTGGATATTGGAGGCACTGTACTATACTGGTTCCATTCCTCCCTTCTTACACGGCTGTCTCCAAAGATCAGCATTGGAGGAGTGTTCTTTGACTCTCTGGCCCCTGTGCCATAGGGTTCCATGGGGCACTGTTTTGTCTCCACTGCTGTTTAACATCTAAATGAAAGCACTGGAAGTAGCCATTAAAAGTTTCGGAGCATGGTGCTATCAATACGCTCAGGATACACAAACCTTCTCCATATCTTCTGAATCAGGAGAAGCTGTGCGAGTTCTAGGCCAGAGTCTTAATGCAAATGTAATAATTTATATGTTTAGATGAAGATGGAGAAATACTTGCTTTCGTTTAAGCAGGCACACAGTACGCCTTGCCCTAGAGAGGAAGACTCTGACCTGCTCAGTCTGACACCCGATGTTCACTGTTGCTGGGCAACCACTTCAAAAAAGAAAAAGAAACTTGTGCTGCTCTCCCTTATCAGGGCTCTTTATTTTTAAACTAGACTTGGACAAAAGAGCCCTTCCAAGGGAAAGGAAATAGATGGCTGCCCATCGACAGGCCTTCAGATAACGGACTGCCCTCAGTGAAGTATAGCACATAGGCTTGTCAAGCACACCCATTGGAATTAATGAATCCAAGTCAGTCAGGCTTATTAACTTTGTTTTTTTTTTTTTAATAATTTTTTATTAAGGTTTTAAACAAACAAAAAAGAAAAACAACACACACAAAAAACAATACAAAACTTAACAATATAAACACAAAGCAATTAATAACGAACTCTCTTTTCCATTACCAATTTTAAGTTACTTATTTTCTGGACTTCCTCATACCTCCCTCTTTTGTATTCCAATCCACATTTATTTATCCAGCAGTTTCTTTTCCACTTTTTTAATCCCAATCTTTAATTTAATAAAATGTTAAAATATATAACTTCAACTCTTTTAAACCTAATCCTTGATCTTGATATCCTGTGACTTTAAAGTTTTCCCTTTTAAAATCAAATTTCCATTTCTTTAAACTTCTTTAATCTTAATCTTTAATCTTAATCTATCCTTAACTTTAACCTATGCAGCTGGAAACCACTTATTTTCAGTCCAACATCACTCTAACATTCCTTAATTTTGCAGTGTTTCTGAAGATAGTCTTTGAATTTCTTCCAATCTTCCTCCCTCGACTCTTCTCCCTGGTCACGGATTCTGCCAGTCATTTCCGCCAATTCCATATAGTCCATAAGTTTCATCTGCCATTCCTCCAGCGTGGGAAGTTCTTGTGTCTTCCAATACTTTGCGATGAGTATTCTTGCTGCTGTTGTTGCATACCAGGCTTATTAACTTTGATGGGTCTACTCTGAGAAGGACTAGCATTAGATGCCGCCCATAGTCACCCTAGCTGCCAACCTGATACATTTCAGTGTTTTTTGTGTTGTCATATTCCTCCCAAACCTGATCTATGGCAATTTTTAAAAATTCTTTTAAAATCCTTAAAAAGCAGTTGTAGTAGCAGCCTATCTAGTGGCAAAACACGCGAGTAATTTTACAAGTGGGGACGGCAACAAAATGTTGCAGTCTGTGGAGTGCCCCATTTTTTGCCCCCTCCCACACGTTTTCCTCCCCCTCTTCCAATAGGCAGGGTTTTGCAGCTACTGAGGAAGGGGGGGTACACAGGGGTGCCGACTTGAATAAATTATTGGGGGGACCCCAGTAAGCCCTGCCCCACATAATCAGTCACATGACACGGTGCTCACACACCATTTAAATGGCAATGACCATCAACCAGGGGGCGCAGCCCCCCCCAATATTGTATTTGGGGCGCGAAGGGACCTCCGAATTGGCTCCCATGGCGGTGCATCCTGTTTTGCTGCCCGAGGTGAAACGGGAAGCTGTTGCCCTGCCCTAATGCCATCACACCGCCCTCTGCCAAAGCCCCTCTTACCTGGGTAGCACAGCAGTGCCCACAAAGAAATGAGATCTCATGCAGCTCTCACAAGATCTTGCAGAGCACACAAGATATCATGGGATCTCACTAGAAACAAGTGCCAGCACCACTTCTCTGTGTGGTGAGGTGGGCAGGGCTCCCACGGGGGGCCACCTCTTTGGCTTCTGCCACCCGAGGCAGCTGCCTCAGCCTGCCTCAAGGGAGGGCCGGTCCTGCTGCTGAGGATGCTCAGCTCATTGGGCTGTTTGCGGGGTCTTCCCCTCGCTCCCTTGTGCCTGTGACATTTAGGACAAGTTCCTTTGAAATGATTCTTGGTTTCACGTTCATCCACCTCCCCCAGTTATTGCGGGGAGGGTATTGCATAGGAATTACACCAAATTCACTTTTCACAGGCAGTGTATCCTCACACAATGTCCTTTCATATGACATAGTTCTGAAACATCACCTATTACTGCTATTATTATTATTCACAGGTAGGACCGGGAGAGATACTTTTCTAAAATTCTAGAGAGCTGCTGCCAGTCCGTGTAGAACAAGGGTGGGGAGTCGCAGGCATGGGGCCAGAATGTGGCCCTACAGAGCTTTCTATCTGGCCCTCAGAATTATCTCCAGGCCAGGCCCTTCCCTGGCTCTGGTTTGCACCCTCCTTGAATGATTTTGCTTGATTCGAATGTGTTGTTGACTCTGATTATGCCTCTTGGTGGCAGGATAGGTGGGTAGGTGTCAGTTTGCAGATTTTCTTTTTTAGAAGTCCTCGTGAAAATTTGGCCTTGTTTTAGTGTGAATTTCTCCTAATGAACACATTTTCCCCTATTATAAACATTTTTTTTCAAAGCACATTTCCCTGAATATTTACATTTCCCCTAATATAAGGCATTTTTAAATTTTATTTTCACTAATATATGCTTTTCTATGCACACTTTACCTTAGTATACATATTTTCAGAAATATTACTTTCCTGAAGAACTGCATTGCAAAATTTGGAGAAGTATGTATTGGTTTATGGATTGTTTCAGAGAAGTATAAATTGGGTAGTTTTGCCTTTAAACATGAAAGGAATCAAATTCCTCCCGCCATGCCTAAAACCAAATATATACACACAATTAATCAACAAAAATATAATCCCTCTATATAATTTAATTTGGAACCAATGAAAGTCTCAAACAGATGTCAGTCAGGCCTGGCAGCATGGTGAGGTCAATAGCTTTTCACCTCTGTCTGGGTGAAAGATTTCTCTTTCACTCAAAGGGAGGGCATAGTACTAGCCCCAGCTGCTTCAGAGGGCTAAGTCCCAACGCAAGGTCTTACTTAGTCCAATGCAAAATGCTGTGGGCAGTGACCTGGGCTAAACAGCCCATTCAAAAACAGAGTCCTACTCAAGACTGAGCAGATGTGTCAGCTCACACCAGAGATTCTTGGATCACCAAAGGGAGGAGGACAAACCTGCCACGACAGTGATTTACTGCTATTCGTGCTCAATCCAGAAACAGGTAAAATATGGTACCTAGAATGCTGCTAAGTCAGTCCCCTCTCAATCCAGCACAGTTTATTTGATTATGTTAAGAATTGCAGTGCTCAGGTGCCGTAGTTAAGGCTTACTTCACCTCGTATGTGGGGGAACCTACAGATCTGATGCAAAGGTGCCCATGTGGCAGAACCACCAAATAAAAAATCTACAGTCATTTGGCTGTGCATGTGTGTTTTAATGGGCCTATGTGGAATTGAAGTTCCAGAAGCCGGTTTACATTGCAGCAGCAAAAAGATAAAAGTGCCAAAGCTCCACCGAGACGAATTCATGGCAGGCATAAGCAGCTGAAGACAGCTGCCTACTCTTCTTCAAACACACAAAAAGGCACCAATTAGATTAGGGAGCAGCAACTGGCAGCCCTGGGGCCAAATCTGCTCCCCTAAGGCTTCCAAACTGGCCTCCAGCACAGCCCTTGATCCTCCAGCATAGCCCTTGCCTCTCACCCTGCAGGCAGATAAAACTATTGTCACTAACAGTCACTTCCATGAATTTGTCCAATCCTCTTTTAAAACCATGCAAATTGACTGCCATCACTATCCAGTACAACCACAAGGTCTTGTTTCGGGTCAGTCTCTGCTAGATCAGACCCCATGATCATATTATTATTATTATTATTATTATTATTATCACCATCATCCAGAATGGAGTCATTAAGACAATTGAATGACACTTTGTACGCCTCCTTCTAGCAACTCTTGCAGCCAAGCTGGTGCCAAACATATTGCTCTTTTTTTGGACCACATCAGCGAGGTCAATAGGGAGGTCTTGTTGTCTGGGCAGCCCAGGACCTCCATGCACACTGACTTGAGGTCACTTTGTTGAGGGGTGGGTGCGGGGAAAGACCCAACCATGGGCACAGAGTAATCCGTTGGGTATGCATAGGGAAATTCCTTACATATCATGGTTTTGGAGGGGTAAAAATGGTGTCAGGGGCGATTTTTGTTGAATTGGCAAAATGCCATGGAAAACCCAGCTGGATGGCATGGTGGAAAAAGCAGTGAAAAACAGCTCAAAAAGCTTAAAAGCAGTATGGTCCCCCACCCCCCAAAAAGACAACCAATTTTACTTTTAGAAATATGGCAACCCTAAGCATGCACTTAACCAGCCAGCTGTTTGGCAAAGCTTTGGCGAACTTCCTGGCACATATCCTACCCTCAGGCGCAGGATCGTAATTGGGAAGGGGGCCTAGCAGGGTTTCCATCACACTGACACCGCCCCCTCCCCAATATTATAACAAGGACAATGCGGGAGGTTTCCTTTGAGCGCATGCAGAGCGCTCTCCCCTTTGATACTTGGAGGGTCAGAGGAGGCGAGGGAGCAAGAAAGGAGCGGGGCTGTGTCCGAAATTCAAAGAAGCAAGGGGTATGCGGAGATGCCTCTGGGCGCGTGCAGAGTTCCTGCCTGCGCCCCTGGATAGAAGCGGGGAGGAGAAGGGGCCAGAGCGGCGAGCAGCCGGCAATCCCAGCACCTTCCCCGACCCGCGGGGCGAAGGGGCGGGCGCTGTGCGGCTCCGCCTCCTCCTCTTCTCCCGGGCCTTCCCTCCGCCAGCGCCGGCCTCCTCTTCCTCCTCCCTCTCGCCTGACGGCCGCGGCGGCTGCAAAAGGCATTTCCCTTTTTTATTTTTTCAGCAGCCGCAAGTGAGGTGAGTCGCAGCCCCGCCAGCCCCCTCCCCCCGCGGGCCCCTCCGGCGCCCCCCTCCCGCCTCCCCGGGGGAGACCAGCCGGCCCCCTCGGCCGCCTCTCCCCCCCGGGGGTGTCGGTGGGGCGCTGGCACGAGGGGGCGCGAGGAGAGCGGCGGGGGGAGGCTGCCTTCAGTCTGGGGCAGGGAGGGGGCGCCTCCTTTGTGAGCCATCCTTTTCCCCCCACCTCAGAGTCTCTTTTTGCGCCAGTGGGGGTTGCAAAGAGAAAAGGGGGTTGCTTCCCTCCCCCATTTATCAACAGCCTCCTTTTTATTCCTGGGCTTTATTATGAAGGGAAGGGGCATGTAGAGGAATCGAAAGAGACCCTGCCGCCCCACAGCCGCCCCAGATAACACTGTTTCTTCAAGGGGGGAGAGAGAAGATGGTCAACCCTCTGGCCCTCCCCACGAGGGGGGGGGATAGGTTTGAGAGTCTCCCCACCAACACTATGGAAAAAAACCCCATAGTAGCTGGGGTTGAGTGAGGGTTTATTTTGTTTTGTTTTAAGGGATTGGGGGGGTGTTTTCTTAAGAAATTCTGTTGCTGAAGAGGGGTTGGGTGCCCCTTTCTCTCCAAGCTCTGAATCTGGGGGCCGTAGGGTCCAGGATTTTGCTTTCCCCACAGCATGAAGGGAGGTACACAAATTAATAGATGATAATGATAACAACAACAAGTTGGGGTTTTTTTCTGGACGGGATGGGGGTGACAGGAGTTCAGCCCCAAGGGCAGGTAGTTGGTTTCATAATTGGGAGAGCTTTAATAGTGCCTAAGGGTAGTGAGCTATAATATGCATTCATGCTGAGCCCTATGGAGTATTATTTGGTAGGGTGGGGGAGTTTGGGTGGGCTCTGAGGGTGTGTGTCAGGAGTGAGTTGGGGGACATTTTGGGGTGTCTTTCTTGTATCTCATGGGCAGGCAGGTTATTTAGCTCTGTGTATGTGTGTTTGGCTGTGGCTGTTTTGAGGAAGGTAACAGCCCACAGTGGCTGAGTTCTCTCTATTTGGTGGGGTCTTCCTGGCTTGCCTGTGCGTATGTACATTTTTTGTTGCAGAGTTTCTATGCCAGGTTGACATTCTTACATATGCTGGTGCGGAGGGGGATTTTTTGGACCCTCTGATCACTCCTCTCCCTGGGTAAATAGTTTTTGCTGAGAAAGAGGAGACCCGATGCCTATGAAAATTTGTGAGGAGTGGACCAGAGCCAGGTGTCCTCAGGCCTTTGGGAGAGCACATTTGTTTTCTGGTTCTTCTTGCTAGCTTCCCATTAGTTCATATGGTTGGCAGCTGCAAGAACAGGATGCTGGAGTATGATGGGCTTTTGGCTTGAACCAGTATTTCATGGAGGGGTAATTGTCTCCCACATTGCCTACTCTGGATAACTCTCTCCCTCTGTGTGTGCTGAAGGGGGGGAAGTCCCCATTACTGAGTCCTCTTGGCTGTTGACCCCACTATGAGGATTCTTTGGCTGGGGAGAGGTGGATGGTTGTCCCAGGGTTTCCTGCTATAAGGGAGAGAGCCTGAAGCCTTTTAAGTTAGCCTTTGCCACTCTGGTGCCCTCGAGATGTTTTAGACCAGGCATAGGCAAACTCCAGCCCTCCAGATGTTTGGGACTACAATTCCCATCATCCCTAGCTAACAGGACCAGTGGTCAGGGATCATGGTTGTAGTCCCAAACATCTGGAGGGCCGGAGTTTGCCAATGCCTGTTTTAGACCACAACTCTAATCAGTTAGCCTCAAGCGTGAGAAGGGAGATTGACCTTAAGGAGAGTGGCAAGGCCTTTTGGCTTTTGCACATTGAGTATCTTAGGAACAGTAGGAGTATTCAGAAAGCCCTCTCCATTTCCACCTGCATAAGGCACTCACTGTGGGGTTGGGGAGAGTCAGGAGGGTTATCCTAAGAATTGGTTGTGAGGAAATTATTATACAGTGGTACCTCAGGTTAAGTACTTAATTCGTTCCGGAGGTCCGTACTTAACCTGAAACTGTTCTTAATCTGAAGCACCACTTTAGCTAATGGGGCCTCCTGCTGCTGCCGTGCTGCCGGAGCACGATTTCTGTTCTCATCCTGAAGCAAAGTTCTTAACCTGAAGCACTATTTCTGGGGTTGCAGAGTCTGTAACCTGAAGCGTATGTAACCTGAAGCATATGTAACCTGAGGTACCACTGTAGCTCACTTGTTCCTGGCAGAAGGACAAGGCGAGGTAAAAACAGGCCAGATTGCAAGCCTTTCAGTTCTCAAAGCACTTATCCTGTATATATCTGTTCTTGAATATGGATGTAGCCTGAAAGTGAGCAAGTTCAGAGGGAGAGATACACAGTCTATGATGGGGCCAAAGTAGCCTGATCAATCAATGTTGGAGTAATATAATTAGTGTGTGTTCTTAAAGCTTTGGATGTTTACGGGAGTGGGAAATCCTTCAAAACCTCTTGCACAGCATAGGCAGAAGGGAGATTAGATTGTGTATTGCTACTAATTAATAATAACATTATTTAACAATAACAAAAGGCCAGCCTTGAGGATCAGCGGTTTCCTCATCAAGAGTTTGAGCAACAAGGAGTGTTTACATGTTGCTTTGGGTTATGACCTTAGATTAGAAGGATGACACATAAGCCTGGGTGTGTGTTCTCTCTCCCTGTTCAGGTCAAACTGCAGTAACGTTGTGACTCTGCTGTGTGATTACTGGGCCGTTCCTCTGCCTGGGCCAATGCTAGATCTGGAAGTGGTTCCCGAGCGATCTCTTGGGAATGAACAATGGGAATTCACCTTGGGTAAGTAACTTTGTTGCCTTTGTCAGCATCTTGTTTATAATGAGAAGTGATGGGTATATTGGGACAAAGGGACATTCCCTCCAGTGTTGTTCTGAGAGTTAAATTTAGGCGAGTATAAACCTCTAACATGTTGGAAGCATTTGATGTTAATTTCAAGGAAGGAATTATTTTGAGAGACATTCTGAACATTACACTGAATGTGGGTAATATCCTGGGCTGTACAGCTTCTTCCTCATATAGAAAGCTCTGAACATGGTAAATTAGCACCCCAAGAAAGAACACTATGCTAAATTTTTCTTCACTGAGGTGCTAATGCCACTTACTACATACTAGCTTACTACATGTAAGGATTTTACTGTATTAGGAGTATTAAAAATAGGGCTTCGCACCTGAAGTCTTCGAAAGAGATTGTGTCCAGAATTACCTTCCACATTATTTGTCAAATGAGTTTACCCACAGATGCTTCTGTGGCTGCCCTTAAACGGGTTCATGTTTTGTTTATGCTTTGCTTTGGCACTTCCTCCTCAAGTAATTCTAGCATGTTTAGCAACAGCCATCAGGAGTCACATGGTTATTGCTCAGAACAGCATTTAGCCTTGCTGGAAGCTGGGTGCGTGAAAGGTGCAGAGTATTTTTCCAGACAAAGATTTTTGCCCATGATACTAATTTGAATGATGGTTTTAAATGCTGTGATGCTATTTAGAAGAATAATTTAAAGAAGTTTTTAAAGTGATTTGAGAGCAGGTAGTTGAATATGGAGTTGCCTCCAATGAGAGAGAGAACTAATTGATGTGATTTTTTAATTATTTGTTGTGACCTGCCTTAGAAACTTGTATGGAAAGCAATAATCAAATGTTTTGAATTGATTTATTTTCTCGGATCACTTACTCTGCATCAGTCTATGCTGCATAGAGGACAGAGTGTTGGATTTGGGTGCAGGAGAAATGAGTTCAAATTTCCCCATGTCTGGGTGATCTTAGGTTGGAAAATAATGACTGGTGCAGCTAGCCTCACAGGATGGCTGTTTTCAGTGCTTTCCCCCCCTAAAAAAATGTTTAGGGGCACTCTCATTTTGACTCAAGAAAATCACAATTTTATAGTTCAAATCAGGGAAAATAAATATAGTAAATGGACAAAAGTACAAAGATTCACAAAATGTTTAGGGGTATGCGTACCCCTGCATCCCCCCAGAAAAGAAACACTGGCTTTTTTAAGGATAACATGGAATAATCCTGTGTACACCACCATAAAGCTATTTGGAGGAAAGGCAGAAGCAAATGTAATCAGTAGAACAATCTATAGAATCAACTGAAGAATCCTTTACACTATTGTCTTGGTTTCTGTAGTAGATTTGCATTACCAGAGTTTCATATTATACAGGATGTTTTCCAACAGTGTACTGCGTCCAACATCTGGTGATAGTGGTAATGAAAGCCTTAAATGAAGGCATGGTGCTGTTTTACTGAGCTCTGTAAAAATTTGTTTCAGAACTAATATGAAATGCCAATAACCATTTGTGTGTTTTTAGCTCCTTGTGTTGCTTCAGATTAATAGGGTTTTACTAGGAATTTAAAACTTTGAGCAAACAAAGTTGATATGCTGAAGGATGGCTGTATGTTGTTGGGCCCACAGATAAGTGTATAAATGTAAGCTGGCATATAGATTATGCATATGTGAGGCAGGTTACTGTGTATAGTTTCTTCTTCTCCAGACAGCACACTTTTACGCACACACCCACTGTCACACACTCACTCACACCCAACCCAGTTGTACTACATGGGGAAACCAGTCTCTGCATGTTACTTGTGTTTAGTTATCGTTTATACACAATTTTAAGACTGGGTGGGGGGGCAAATTACACCTCAGTACTAGGGCTTGCCAATTCGAAGGTCGGTGGTTCGAATCCCCGTGATGGGGTGAGCTCCCGTTGCTCGGTCCCAGCTCCTGCCAACTTTGCAGTTCGAAAGCACATCAAAGTGCAAGTAGATAAATAGGTATCGCTCCAGCAGGAAGGTAAATGGTGTTTCCGTGTGCTGCTCTGGTTTCGCCAGAAGCGGCCTGGTCATGCTGGCCACATGACCCGGAAAAACTGTCTGCGGACAAACGTCAGCTCCCCCAGCCAGAGTTGTGCGCGACTGGACTTAACTGTCAGGGGTCCTTTACCATTACCTTTTGCATACTTCGCAGAGTAATACCAGGTCTGATTCCCAAATATTCCAGGCATTCTGTGGTGATGGGATATCAGGAGCTGAGATCTCTGCAGTTTTTGGCCCAGATCAGGAATAATGGTCTTGGTCCAATAAACTATGGTTTATAGACCAAGAACGAGCAGGGTGCCCACATTCTCCTCCTTTTTCTGATGCAGTGTAATGGAAAACTTCCAGGGTTTTTTAAACCACAGTTGCCTATTACAGAGAAAGTGTGGTTTAATCTCCAGCAGGAAACTGTGTTTTAATAAAAGTAAGGAAATTTTCCATTACAGTGTGCAGTACAAGGGAGGGAGGAGAGTTGACAGCATGTAGGAACTATGCTTATTCTTGGTCCAATGAACTATGATTTATTGGACAAAGCCTTTGTGTTTCAAAGCCAGTGCATTGTTTGTTCCACATCCTGATGCTTAGAGGGATTTTGGAGAGATAGCAGCAAATGGTTCGGGTAAGAAGAGGAGGATTTGTATACCAGCAGTACCATCAGAGAAAAAAGGCTCCATATCTTCACATTGTCCCTGTTCAGACATCACACTAGACCACAGCTTAAAGCATGACATGAATGAGCTTGGGTGAGCCTTGGGCTCACATGCTCCCACCCCACTTTTCTACCTCCTAGAGTAGCTGTGAGTAGTTGGGAAGTTCTTGCTTCCATTTTTGCTTACCTACACCTTGCTCTTTCATTCAAATAATCAAACTGTAGATAATGCTAACAATAGTTTGTTTGAAACAAGTTATCTTGAAGCTTTTGTTTCATAGTGAAGATTATGTGGGATTGGCCTATTTGAACAGGAATAGTGTATCCAGAATTGAGTAGATGGGGGGAGTATTTTTAAGATCTATAGGGTTGTAGCAAATGTTAGTTCCACTCAGAGTACTCCCGTTAAAATTACGGGACCTAAGTTAATCATGCCCATTAATTTCAGTTGGTCTACTCGTAGTAGAACTAATATTGGCTATAACCCATTATCTAGATTTTTATTCTAGTTACAAAACATTCTTGGACTAAGGCTGCTTTGGGTGTTCAGAGATGCATGTTGTCAAACGTACACCGTATGCAGAGGTTATGCATTTGTGCTTAGATCTTAATGTGAAATGGTGGTTCTGGACCAGCTTTACTTGCTGGACAACTTTTTTTTAGTGGCATCATTATATTGTTGAAGTGTGTATTTGGTACAGCTCGTTCCTTTCCTACTTCAACTCTTTATGACCTTTGCAGGTCATCACGTAGTTTTGTTATTTGAAGTGAATAATTATTTATATGTATGTAAGATATATCTAATTCTGTATGTACATAGCTACCAGTTCCAGCTTGTTTATCTTTGTTTGCTTTTCCTAAAAGCAAATAAATAAATGAAAGATGATTGGCACTTGTCTGTTATTGGGGCGCATCATTCTCTTAGTTGTCATTATCCTTTTAGATAATGTTCCAAAATCCACATTAGGGCAATACAGTCATACCTCGGGTTGAAGTAGTCTCGGGATAAGTATTTTCGGGTTGTGCACTGCAGCGACCTGGAAGTAATGGAAGTAATCGCACATGCGCAGACGGTCAAAATTACTTGATGCGCATGCGCAGAAGCGGCGAATCACGACCTGCGGACGCGGGTTGCGTTCGCTTCTGGATGCAAATGGGGCTCCGGAATGGATCCTGCTCGCATCCAGAGGTACCACTGTACTAAAATATCACATAATAGTAGTGTGCAAGCTTTTCATGCCATAATTAGGTATTGCCCTAGTGTGGATTTTGGATTATTGTCTTATGAGCCACTATGACTGCCTTTGCTCTTTAGGTAATGTTGGCTGAAAGAATATGAATTCTTCATCCTTTCATCTCATTACTTAGTATGTTTGCTCACAAGCTGTTTTAGTGTATCAACCTGTTTTTGGTTTTTGTTTCATTTAATTATTGTCATTGTTGATGGATCACTTTAGTTCTAAACCAGTTGCAGCCGCATGTGAAATCTTTCTATTGTTGCAGCATCTGCAGTGGACTATTTTATCATGTTGCTACCTTGGCAGACAACTGCAAATACATTGCCGTCCATCTCAAACATTTTAGTAATGTGGTGATGATGATAAATCCTTTCCGTGGAGCGATGTTGTTCTGTGGCATTCTAAATGCTGGCAATGAATCTCCTCTGGGATTCCCCAAGTAGCTAGTGGGACTGATCCATTAGCAGTTCTTCCTGAATTCCTCTGGAGTAGCTGATACTCCACTGGTTTTGATCTCTGGCTTGTTGAGTAACCAAGATGTAGCTAGATCTGTGCCTGAACATTCATCTTAGGGTTACATATACCAGCGTTGCAGTTTCTGTAAGATCAAACTTTCCTAAAACTATGCCTCCTGCAAATAGGAAAATATAGTTGCTTTTTCTTTTGGAGAATCCATGGTGCTCCAAATTTCCAATAAGCTTTCCATTTGTAACTCTTGAATTAATTTCCATCACTTGTGCCTTGTTATGCAGCACTCCTTCTCACTTTATTTGTGTTCCTGCTCCCTCATAGTCCTTTACAAAACTGTAGAATGAATGCTGAATAATAAGAGGACTCAAATTCAGACCAATTGGTGGCCTAGAAGACACCTACCATTCTTTTTCCTATATATATATATATATATATATATATATATATATATTTACAAATAAAGAAGCATTTAACAACTTTTCTATATATTTTGCATATAAAAATTATACAGTTATACATTCTTTTCAAATAAATATGAATAAATATTTTTTGAAGAATCCACTGTAGTATGCCAAAAATTAATGAAGGTCTCCCAATCCATCTTTTTGAATGATTTGTTTAGAAAGCCAGTGTTGAGTGATAATCCCACACATATCTGTAGCACGGGAGGAATGGAATTCTCAACAGCCAGTTCCCAGCAGTGTTACTAGAATCTGAACCCAGGACAGAGTAATGTAGAAAGGTCTTGGTTCTTGGGGGTAGGGTGACTGGGGTCCCCACCCACTCAGATGGTGCCTGAGCACATTGCTTTAGTTTCTCCTGCATAAATGAATGGTCCTTACTATGAGGAAAGGACTCATCACTGCACTTAGGAGGAGTGATGTGAAGGCGAAACCTCACCTTCCACCTTTGGCTCTCAGGGATGGAAATCCCAACCATGCACACCTCACTTGGCTCTCAGTCTAAGCATCTTCGTTCCTCTTTTCGTATTATGGGTTTGAAAAAATGATAACATTCCTTGGATTATTACACAGTCACTTGATAAGCAAGAGATATTGAGCTGAATGCGGATAGGTTACCTAGCACTGTTAGAATTCTGTTGCTAGATCAGCTGGCATGAGCTTATTGACAATTCGCACACAGCTGAAAAAGAAGAAAAACATGCACATGTTTGGGTGTCATGGAGTCCCGAATTTATCAAGAAATTTATTTGCCCACTGAGAAGTAATTGAAGGATCAATGTTGCATCAATTTTTTCTGTTTTTTATATTATGTTTTTTACCTCATAGATCAGCCCTCTCCAACCAGGTGCTCTCTGGATATTTTGGACTATAATTCCCATAATCCCTGACCATTGACTATGGTGGTTGGAGCCGATTGGAAACGTAGTCCAAAATATCTAGAGGGCCCCAGGTTAGAGTAGACTGTCATAGACTTTTAAGCAATTCAGCTCCAGAGATGTTTGAATGTTAAGAAGAGGGTTTATTTTCAGATTCACAGGATACCTTATCCAAATAACTCAGAGCAGGTAAATACAAGTGTACATTGGTCACATAATAATACTGTAACTCTAGAAATTCTTCCTTTTCCTTACTCTCCTCTTTTCAACAAACTCATTATAAGCACTGAAGATCTGGGATGACTCTGCTGCCAATATAGTAGCATCATAGTAGCTTCTAGCTTCTGTGATGTTATGGGTGATATCCAACATGAGTCATACTCAAGAATAAAGCCACTAAAATCAGTGGCCTTAAGAAACTCAAGTCTGTTGATTTCATTGGTTTTGTGTGAGTACAAATTAGTTGGATAGCACCCTGCATTTAAGTATATGTGTTTTGGCGTAAGTGTATACCTAAAATTGCAAAGTATGAATGCTTTAAGCAAATGTTTGAAAACTCCTGTACCAGTACAACTTTCAGAGAACTGGTGAGGGTATACTTGCTAGTAATGTATGAAATGGTCCCAGTGAACTTTTTATTAGAGGAAGAAGAAAGCTGTGAATGTGTAGTTCAGACATGCTTATAAGTTTAAGAAATGAGGGATTGGAGTTAGCAAGTAAGGATTCTGGGCAAAACGAAACAGAATAAATGTATGGATATAAACAGGATTACCATCCTTACACGTACTGAATACAGTGAAGGGATGTAAAACTGTATTTGATTTAATGTGTGATTTCATGTTCCCGTGTTAGCAATGCTGTCTCATGTCTAGCTTCTTAGAAAACAGTCTGGCATAGTGGCTTAACATGGCTGTTTCTGTTCTGGAAACACAGGTTTCTTCTAATTTGACAAGAGACTAAGTTTAGTCACTGGCTGGAAATGCTTGTGGTGTTCAACTTGTTGTTCTTGGCCACTGAGCCAGTACTGCCCCATGTTGACCCTGTTGAGCAAACACATTTTTGCCAACATGGCTAAGTGGGAGCAACGTCTCTAACTCTTGTTGTTTTTCTCCTTGCAGGAATGCCATTGGCTCAGGCTGTAGCAATTCTTCAGAAACACTGTCGTATCATAAAAAATGTCCAGGTTCTCTACAGTGAACAGGTAAGTTGTGACCTAGTGTGCTTGTTTCAAAGTATTCTGTATGTTTAATTGCACAGAAAGGATGGGAGGATATGTAAATATTGTGTAATGTCATTGTGTTTGTTGCCTAGCCACATGCCATCCAGTCATCCTTTACGGTTGCCACATCCTGGAGGACATGGCTTTCTAAAAATAGCATGCTTTTTCAGATACACACACACACACACACACACACACACACACACGTATACATTTAAAAAATAATTGACAGTATTTGTTTCTTGTCTAGACATTTTCTTTTGTGACTTGATGTTATTGCAGCTTGCGGTTTTAAGTGACCGATCAAAATACAGCTTTTCACAAAAGCTGTATTCCGCTGTAAGAGAGGGAGTTTACAGAATTGATGTGTTGGGAAAGAAAGGTTTCAAAGTCTCCCTCTTAATCAGAAAGAGATGGGAAAAGATTAAAGATACTCATGCTGTTCTAGAAATTGAACTGTTGAAAGCACCATGAGTGGTTGTTGTGATTGTTTTGGTTGCTGGTTTCTATCCCTGACTGGACAGCCAACAGTATTTGAAACTAGTCAAAAGCAAGTTTAGTCCTAATGTTGAAATAGGTAAGTGAAGTCTTGCTATAATAAGGAGGAGTGCCTCTGAAATGCTACCCCTTCTCTCCAGTGTGCTCTAGAAAATTCAGGCTATATTATAGTAGTACTGTTGCTATTGAAATCAGACAGGCACCTGCAATTGTGATATTTTGTCACCTGCTGAAAACTTCTGTTTAGCCAAGCAGCATCAAAAAATTAATATGATTCAGTGTTGGTCATGTGTTCTGTATTTTATGATCTAATAATTTTATGGTGTTTTAATGCTTTTGTTGTACACTGCCATATTTTTAATGAAAGATTCTAAGTAATAACTCAAAATAAAAGCGGGTGCTGTAATTTAAAGTTTATAGATATTTTAATTGTGCTGCTGTTGCATTAAAAGTTCAGTTAGTGTTACAGTAATCTGCTCTGTTAATTCCTTCTATTTTACTGGTCTGCAGCAAAAAATCAGAACAGTATAGTTCATGAGCATATAAATGTTGCACTTTTGCATCTCAGTAATTTTGTCTGGAAGGGAAATGGCGAGAATTATGTGTGTTTGTGTGTACACACACACATGCACACAGACAACTGCCCATTGCTAAGTCTTGCTACATGTACTGTCCTTTCTATGAAGAAGCAGATGAAAATAGTTTATATTCTTATTATAGCCTCAGCCTTCAATTTGTATTAAAATCCTCAATATTGGAGTGATTTGTCTGGCCAGTGTATAACAATTACTAGCATAATTGTGAGTAAATCCTGACCTTTTGGCTCTCTGCCATGTACATACTCTCTTAATTAAATGCATCTGTTCTCTTTTACTCCAGGTTACATGGATTTATGGCTTCCATAATGACTTTATTTATTTTGCAAATGAGAAAAGCACCCTGTTGACAATTATTCATGTGATCTTATTTATTTATTTATTTATTTTGTTTCATTTATTGTTTGTACTTACACACCCCACCCTTCACCAAATGGTCCCAAGGCAGGTTACAAAAATATCACAATTATAATAAGTGCAATGTGCACTTAAAATCATTAAAACCACAAAAACATCCAATATCAAAATAATAAAGCACAGAACAGTGCATAACAATGCAGGAGGAGGAAAGAAAGCCACTCCAGTCTTGGGTAAAGAGGCTGCTTGAATTGTAGAAGTAATTTGAATGTCTCAAATTTTAACATATTTTTGGGTATCTGTTTGGTTCACCAGAGTTTTATTGCACTATAGTTATATGAAGTAGTTCTGAGTTTTAAAATGATTATAACTTTTGATCTTTGTGTAGTGATCATTCATGTTATGCAGCCTTGCCCGACTTCATGCGCTTCAATTGTGGCGCCTGGGGCTAATGGGAGTAGTCAAAAACAGCTAGAGGGCACCAGATTGGGGAAGGCTGATGTAATGTGTCTTTAAATTGCAGCTTCTTGCTCTGGCTTATATTGCATCTCAAAGGAATTCGGTTCACTATAACATCCCCACTTTTCTGCCTGATGCCATATGAGAATGGATTGGTTTAAATCAGCAAGGGGGGAAGGCTCGTTTAAATCAAGTTTCCCATTGATATCACTACATATACTTCCCAATAGTGGTGGAGATCCAAAATCTGCAAGTCTGCGAATCTATAAATATTCATATTTGAGAAAGATCAAATCTGGTTGATCACTTTGAGAATAAGACACTGAACTTGATGGGCCATTGGCCTGATCCAGCAGGCTCTTCTTATGTTCTTATCAGATTGGTCCTTCACTTACATATAAGTGACTTCTTTAACCCACTGCTTTAAGAGAGCAGTCCTTTAGCAAGATCTGCCAGGGTGACTGGGACAAGGATCAAGTGGATCTCTGGCTCTGCTGGGAGGTTCCTGGTGCAGCCAAGCTATGTTGGCATGATTTCGCATCCGCGGCTCAGCTGAAAATACACCATTGCATTTCCCCCACCCTGGTTGGCTGAGCCAAGCCTGGCGAATTGTAAGCCATGAAAAGGAGGCATTGCAGGTGTGTGGTGGGGGCGGGGCCAGAGAAATAGAAATACAGAAATATTTCTTCATATTACTATCCCCCCACTCCCTGGTATTGTTACTCATACCCAACATGGTGGAAATTCCAGACCTTCAAGAATAAGAGTGTTAGTACCAAGGATATAACATCATTTGGAGTTTGTTGATACAGTCAAAGCTTGAGAGTGGTTCTGATGGTATTTCCCCCCTCAAGAAGAGATTGGAAGCAGGTGTCCCGTTGTGAGGACAAGCAAAATAGCAGAGCAGGGTGATGCCATGTTGCTGCTGGTTTTAAATAGGGTGCCTCCCATTTACAGTGGTGCCTCGCAAGACGAAATTAATTCGTTCCGCAAGTCTCTTCGTCTTGCGAGTTTTTCGTCTTGCGATGCACGGTTTCCCATAGGAATGCATTGAAAATCAATTAATGCGTTCCTAGGAAACCGCCTTCAGACCAGGTCCGGGGACAGTCTGTCCCCGGACCTCTTCTGAAGGCTGGGGGGGGCAAGGGCTTTTCTTCCCACCCCCAGCATTTTAAAAAACCCCGGGACAGCGGAGGACTTCTCCGCTGTCCGGGCGATCTTAAAATGCTGGCGGGCGGCATTTTAAAATCACCCGGGACAGCGGAGGACTTCTCCGCTGTCCGGGGCAATTTAAAGCCCCTGGGAAGGCAGGCAGGGGGACAAAGACTTTGCCCCCGCCAGCCTTCAGAAGAGGTCCTGGACCTCTTCTGAAGGCGGGCGGGGCGAAAGTCTTGCTCCCCGCCTTCAAAAGCCCTCCGGGACAGGCAGGCAGGGGAGCAAAGACTTTCGCCCCCGCCCGCCTTCAGAAGGTCTTCCCTCCCCCCGCCCGGCCCGGAGCACCGTTCCCGAAGCCGGGCGGCGGCGGAGGTGTTCCCTCCCCGCCCGGCCGGAGCACCGTTCCGAAGCCGGGCGGCGGGAGGTCTTCCCTCCCCACCGCCCGGCCGGAGCACCGTTCCGAAGCCGGGCAGGCGGAGGTCTTCCCTCCCCCCGCCCGGCCGGAGCACCGTTCCGAAGCCGGGCGGCGGCGGCAGGTGTTCCCTCCCCCCGCCCGGCCGGAGCACCGTTCCGAAGCCGGGCGGCGGCGGCAGGTGTTCCCTCCCCCCGCCCGGCCGGAGGAGCCTTCCGAAGCCCGGCGGCGGCGGGAGGAGGTGTCCCCGCCCCGCCGCCAGGCTTCGGAGGAGGTCCGAGGACAGTGGGGAAGACGCGCTGCGCTTCCCGCTGTCCCTGAGATTTCCCTATGGGCTGTCGTCTTGCGAAGCAAGCCCATAGGAAATTCGTTTGCGAAGCGCCTCCAAAACGGAAAACCCTTTCGTCTAGCGGGTTTTCCGTCTTGCGAGGCGTTCGTCTTGCGGGGTACCACTGTACTTTTCTCTAAGAGAAGGGGAACTGATGGGGAGCAAACAACTCAAGTCTTTAAATGGAAACCAGGACTCTCAAGGTTTTCCGGTCCTGCTTTTTTGCTGGCTGTTTAGAGATCACTCGGCGCTTTCGAGAGAACTTGGCACTTTCAGCAAACTGAGATGACAGCCCTGTGATTGTTTACATGATCTCTTAACTAGGGATAAAACAGGTGAAAGAGAAGAGTGTCAAACTCTTGACTTTGCAAGGGCTGCTGAGTCAATCAGCCCTTTTCAGTCCATGAGTTTCTCTTCACTTTTTCCCCCCAAGTGGAGATTTGAGTGGTTGTTTATCCTACACTGTGCTCACTGAAGTTAAGGTAACCTTAGTAATCTGATCTTGTAGCAGTTTGTAAGAAACTTTACTGTCTTGGAGGAGGAGGAAGTAGACTGTGAGTGTTGCTTAAACTGCACTATTGCTATGTGTATAACCCTTCCTGGCCATTTTAACTCTAGGAGGTTTTGCAACTTCCTGCTTTTTTCACCATATCCAGACTATTGCTGGGAGTCACATCTGCACTGCTATGACAGTGACTCTCCAGACAGCTGGCTGTGTTGATTGCATCATTTTGGCCGTGCAGTTGTTGAGACAACGGCACTTGTGGTGGTAGCTACAGCAGTGGCTCAGCTTCCTGTCTCTGGAGTCCTGTTGACCTCTAATAATATTTGGGCCTGGCACCTTGACTTGCCTCTGGCTAGTAAAAATTACGTCTGGTAAGCACACAGGGAAGGCTGTATCTGTTTTTCTTGAGAACTAGAAATATATTTCTTAGAAATGCACTGTCAGGTTTCATTTTTAATACCATGAGGAGTTCGATATCAAACTCCCATTCATTCCTTTGGAATATTCCCCCATTTTCATTGACACACTTGAAGTTCTGTTTATGCTTCAGAAGATATACTTGTTTCTTTTCGGAATCAGTTTTTGCCTGACTGCAGTATTTGCTGAAGGAGGAAAATAAGCTTTAGGCAAAGCTTTAGATCAAACAATCCTTCAGATCTCTTCTGCTATCCTTGAGGAGATTTTCAGACCTGGCATAAATTCATAAACATTCTGTACAGGAGCCTTCTAACAAGGCTTGCGTCATCAGTACTTAGCCCTGTTGCCTGCTAATATTTTTCCTGCATCTAGTCTAGTGCTGTTGAGATGCTTGTTGACAGTTCTCATTGCTTGGAGAGAATTGCCTCTGTTTCCTCATAAACATGCAAAGCAAGAATAGTTCCTGAAAAAGGGCATTCTTTTGGTATTCACAAGAACTCCCATGGGGGGGGGGACATATTTGTTTTTAATTTCATTTTACAATTTAAAATGTATCCATAATATTATTCTTTATTTCAACAGATACAATAATTATAACATCAAATGTTAGTATATGTTTTCTTGCTTTTAGGAGAGAGAAAAAGCAGGGGACTGCTTTTAGGGCTGGCCTGAAAGCTGCAGCTAGTATAGCATGCAGTGACTTGGCTATTCACTGAAGTAGCTTAGCACAAGTAGATCACACCACTTCCAAAGGAGCTACGATGACTGCCAGTTAGCTACCAGGCCAGCTTTTAATATTTCGGTTTTGGCCTATAAAGCCCTTAACAGCTTTGCTAACGGTATACAACAATAGGATGGATGCTTTATGCTTGAGCTTTGTTCATTTGATAATTGACACCTGCATGCATGAAATTATTCTGTTGAAACACATTGTGGTTTGATGTGATGTGACATTTCTGTTGGTGGTGGCAGAACTGTGATGGCTCATCCCAGGGTTATTCCCCGTTTGGCCATGAAGCTAACTGGGTGACCTTGGGCAAGTCACTTTCTCTCAGCTTATCCTGCCTCACAAGGTCCATTCAAATCTAAGAAGTGTGTGATGCCTTTGGTACCTTTATTAGCTAGAATATGTTGGTGGTGCAGACCAGGGGTGCTCTGCCTTTCTTTTTCCTCAAAGCACTAATTTTCATTTGTGCTAAGACTGTGGCAAAAACTCTTTCCTCTTTGCTATTCAGGCTGAGCCACAAATGCCATATTTTGATTCCTTCCTTCCATGAAAGCACTGGGCTTCTAATTCAAGTGGCATGTGAATCTTGAGCCCTTTAGTTTCATTTCAATGGGCAAATGGGAGGGGATTTGGCAGCAGCCGCTTTTATTCCAGCCATGTTCATGGAACAATGAACTGTTCCTTCTGCCAGCTGGGAGAAACCAGTGTCAAGGTTCTTTTTCCTTGGCTTTCCGTCGCAGGAGAGCGTAACTTCACAAATAACCCAGCTGTCACCAACTAATTTCTCTTTTTTGTTTTCTAGTCTCCTCTTAGCCATGACCTCATCCTTAACCTGACTCAGGACGGAATCAAACTGCTGTTTGATGCTTTCAATCAAAGACTCAAGGTAAAAATATGATTTGAGAAATGCAACTCGGCTTCTGCTTCCCCCACCTGAGGCTTAAATGTGCATGCATGCACTCCCAAAATGATACCAACAGTGTTCTGACTAACAACTGTGGGACTGTATCCCCATGGCAACTGCTTATGTCATTTATTTAGATCTTGTGTGTGATTGTCTGAATATAGTGAACTGATTTTTTGTTGAGGTGTGATGATGCCATTATAAACTTACATTATTATTATTGTTTTATCTATTTATCATACCCTGAATAATGTAATTGTATTTAGGTAATGTGCCAGTGGAAAGGCGATCATAGCTCAGGGAACAGAACACTAGTTTTGAATATATGAGATGTCAGATACAATGCCTGGCATCCTTCACATCCTGGATAGCATTATCGCTTTGTTAGGAAGAGGCCTACCAAATATTAGGTAAAGGTAAAGGGACCGCTGACCATTAGGTCAAGTCACGGACGACTGTGGGGTTGCGGTGCTCATCTCGCTTTACTGACCGAGGTAGCCTGCGTACAGTCATGTGGCCAGCATGACTAAGCCACTTCTGGTGAACCAGAGCAGCGCATGGAAACGCTGTTTACCTTCCCGCTGGAGCGGTACCTATTTATCTACATGCAGTTTGACATGCTTTTGAACCGCTAGGTTGGCAGGAGCAGGGACCAAGCAACAGGAGCTCACCCCATCACGGGGATTCGAACCGCCAACCTTCTGATCGGCAAGCCCTAGGCTCTGTGGTTTAACCCACAGCACCACCCGCGTCCCTACCAAATATTAAAATGTGTATAAATGGGGTGTGTGCCAGCTCTGACTTTCCTTTGCAGCCTCCTCTACCTATCCTTTATTTCCTCTCTCTCTGCTCTCTCTTTCCCGAACTGCCTGTCCATGTTCACTGCCCCATTTGCACAACACCTTGGACATTTTTCTCCTCCCTACCCCTAGTCCTGTTCATCTTTAGTCTGCTTTGGTCAGACTCCACCTGAGATTTTTAAACAGAGGTTGGATGGCCATCTTGTCAGGGATCCTTTAGCTGTGTTTCCTGCAGGGGGTTGGACTAGATGACCCTTGGGGTCTCTTCCAATACTACTGTTTGATGGTTCTATTATTCCTATGTCTCTGTTTTATTTATTTAAATATTTATGTACCACTGTTTTATAAATACATCATCATTGTCATTATTAAAATTTGTGTACCACCCTATACCTGCAGGTCTCAGGGTGGTTCACAAGACAAAATTACAATATAAAAACACAAAATACATAGCTTTAGGGATGTTAAGTGACTAGTGGCCTAAACACAGCTCAAGAACGTGCTCAGGAAAAAGCAGTTTTAGAGAGCACACAGTGGAATAGAGTGTTTGTATGAGCTAAGTGATCACCATACCAGTCCCTTTCTCTCATTATTTTAGCCCTTATCTTGGAGCTCTTTGTTCTTTTCCTTATGTCATATTGAATCATCAGCTTATGAAGAAATGTTAGCTGAAAGTTGTAGATGACTGTAATTCTTGTTGAAAGGGAAAAAAGGCATACCCCCCAAAAAGCTGGAGAACCAGTCCTATTTTCCATCTACAAGTTCTGTGTTTCTCTCTCTCTCTCTCTCTCTCTCTCTCTCACACACACACACACACACACACACACACACAGAGAGAGAGAGATCAACCTAACACGCATCTGTCCATCTCTCTGCCTAAGTGCATCTCTCTGAATCACATACAACCTTTTCATAGGAAATGCTCACTACCAGCTTCATGTAGCCAGCAAACCGGACCAGCTGCTCAGCAGGGAAGCCATCCATGCCACTTCCTTTCGAAGCAACCAGAATACAAAGGGATGGACCCTTGGCAACTGCTCTGCACTGTTCTACCATTCCACCTGTCTGCCCCCACCCCCCACACCATGGGTTGTCAACCCAACACCCATGGGCGCCAGGAAAGGCCATTGTGGGTGCCGCAGGCACTGGCGTGGCAATGCCCACACTACATGTTTGCTTTTTCTTGCACAAATGAAGTATTAATATGATTAGCATACTTATTATTCTTCCCCCTAAACCAAATTCTAGCCACAGAAATTACATGGTGCTACCCTCTGTTTCATTTCTTTTCCTTTTCCTTTCTTTTTTTAAAAGAGCAACATTAAGTCACTGAGTGTTCTTTCATTGAAACTGTCAAGAAATGCTTTTCGTTGACAGTGGTTTCCCCCCACTCCCTGGTTTTGCCCGCACATTAATTTGCTTAGTTCCCCTCTCTTTTTAATGAGAGGCTTTTCTTTCTATTGCTCATAATGCTTTTTCGCCGCTTACTTGGTAGAACATAAAGTGCTTTGGTAAACATTCACTTGTACATGAATCAATACCATGCTGTTAAACATTCACAATTGATTTCTTATGCCGCTCCATTGTGTATAACACCCTTTCCCAACCTGGCACCCTCCAGAAGTCCAAACTACAAGTCCTGTCAATCAGATTTGCTAGGCATTGGGGTAGGGCTTTAGTGAACTGAAATATACTGGTTTGGTAGGTGTTCCCTCTGCTTAATCCAGGAGAGGGAAAACTTTTCTGTGCTGGACTGATGACTACAAACCTCAGGTGATCTTGGTCCTAGGACTGACCAACATTTGCATTTCCAAGAGCTGAAACAAGTAATATGTGAGCTATCCAGTGGCTAACCGCTTCAAGTGAAATGTCTTGCAATAAAGAGGTTCATTTCTATGTATAAAAGCAATCCTGCTCAATTACTGCAGGCCAGTTCCTTGAAAAGGGACTCTAGGGTAATATGTTGCTTGTGGAAGGAACATTGTTCAGTTTCAGAACTCTTAAATGCAGAAACCCTATTTTGGATGGAGTAGCTACCTAGTGGCATTCTTTATAGATAATTAACCCTTGCTGCAACACTCCGTGGTACATAATGTCATGTCCATTTTGCCAACCTTAGAAATCACAGTGGGGCATGTGAAGGGAGCTGTTGTTTAGGTGGGTGGGATCTTGGCCATTTAGCACCTTATAAGTCAGAAACAAAGGATGCAGGTGGCACTGTGGTGTAAACCACTGAGCCTTGGGATTGCCAATTGGAAGGTCGGCAGTTTGAATCCTCGCAACCGGGTGAGCTCCCGTTGTTCGGTCCCAGCTCCTAACAACCTAACAGTTCAAAAGCACACCCAAAAGTGCAAGTAGATAAATAGGTACCACTCCGGTGGGAAGGTAAATGGCGTTTCTGTGCACTGCTCTGGTTTCACCAGAAGCAGTTTAGTCATGCTGACCACATGACCCGGAAAAACTGTCTGTGGACAAACGTCGGCTCCCTCGGCCCGTAAAGCGAGATGAGCACCGCAACCCCAGAGTTATTCGCGACTGGACTTTACTGTCAGGGGTCCTTTACCTTTACCTTTTAAGTCCGAAATAACAGAAACAGATGCCCCAAAAAGCTATTCCGACTTATTGTAGACTTGCACAACATCACCTAAAGTACTGTACATGGGTCTACATCAGCCACAACAGTCTGTACTAGCAACAGCTTCAGAACAGTCAGATATAATAATAATAATAATAATTTGTGTATACCCGCCCCATCTATTCTAGGCTTCCCCGGCCACTCTGGGCGACTTCCAGAATATTAAAATACTATAGCCATCAAGCTTATTAAGCTTCCCGAAACAGGGCTGCCTTTGATGTCTTCTCTAAGCCTGTGGTTGTTGTTCTCTTTGACATCTGGTGGGAGGGTGTTCCACAGGAAAGGCGCCTCTGAGAAGGCCCTCTGCAGTTCCCTGTAACTTGGCTTTGCACTGAGGGCCGCCAGAAGGCCTCAGTGCTGACCTCAGTGTCCAGGGTAGAGCGATGGGGGTGGGGGACGCTCCTTCCAGATATACTGGTTCAAGCCGTTTAGGGCTTCAGGTCAACACCAACACTTTGAATTGTGCTCCCTGGAAGCTGTGCAGACCATGCCGGATCACTGGGTGAGGTGTTGGCATGTGTGGTCTCTGCGGCCGCTCCCAGTCACTCCAGTCTGGCTGCGCGTTCTGGATTAGTTCTTAAGTTTTCCGGTCACCTTCAAAAGGTAGCCCATTAGGCGCATTGCAGTGTCCCAGCGGGAGTGCAGAGCCACACCACTCTGGCGAGGCAGTGCCAGGCAGATAGGGTCTCAGCCTGCGTACCAGATGGAGCTGGTAAACAGCTGCCCTGGACACAGTTTGACCTGTGCCTCCATGGACAGCTGTGAGTCCAAAATGACTTCCCCAGGCTGCACAGGTCCTTCAGGGCAGTGCCTGACTCAGGACCAGAGTCTCCTGCCCATGCTCTGTCACAAAAACGGTAGCTTATGTTTGTCAGGGTTAAACTCGTCATTAGCCGCCTGTCCAACCTCCAACCGCCTCCGAGCACTCAGGACCTTCACTGCCTTCTGGTTCTGATTTGAAAGAGAGAGTAGAGCAGGTATCATCACCATACTGATGAACACCCAGCCCAAATCCCCTGATGATCTCTGGCGGCTTCATGCTGAGATGTTGAAAGCATGGAAGGACAGAACTTTGAAACTTACAAGTGAGGCCCAGGAGTCTGAACTCATCCCCCACCGCTTTCCCATTAGGCGGCGGAAGACGGAACCACCTGCGCCAACAAGTGCTTTAGCTCCCAACCCCAGGCGGTCCAGAAGGATGTTATCAGTCAGATGGTATCAAGCGCTGCACTGAGAGATCCAGCAGAGCAGGAAACAGCTCCCTGCTGTCTGTGTGGGAATATCAACCAGTGCGACCAGACTTGAACAGATAGAGCAGGGGGCCTGAATCCCGACTGGAAGGGATCCCAAATGGGGTCACATTGCTGAGCATGCTGGAACATTCCCAGCAATACTGCTCAATCTTTTAAGAATGGAAGATTTGAGACTGGGCGATAGTTACAACCTCCATGTGCTTGCATCTAAAGTGGTTTTAAGGAAAGCGGTTTAATAACACTCTTTTCAACGGGTCTAGGAGGAAACCCTCACGGAGGAAGCATTCACCACCTGGCCATCGCAGTCCTTCGGCTAGCTTTTGCAAGCCAGGATGGGCAAAGGTCAGGAGGCAAGTGGTTGGTTTCACTCGTCCCAAGCAACCTGTCCACATCCTGGAGGTAACAGGTCGAAAGATTGATCCCACAGCTTGACTGAACAGGTTTCGCCTCCGCCCGGCCCTGCTCTTACGGTGGGAGTCACCTCTTCTGAATCTGAAGCAGCTTTATCTGCAAAAACTTTGCAAAGTCATTAAGGAGTCATGTGGCCCTTCTGGGCCTGATGGTGAGTGGTTCATCAGTGAACCACTGAAGAGTCTCCTGCTGCTGTTTCATAGAAGATGCAATAGGCGGTGAAGAGAGTCTTCTTCGCCCGTTCTTCCTTATGCATAGTAGGCTCGGCGTTGAGCTCCTTCGTGTCCGGTCAGATTCAGAATGGGTTATCCATGCCGGCGCTCCTAGCCGTCTCAACAATTGTTTCATTGCCTCAGATCCGTGGAAAACCACTGGAGCTGTCCCAGACTCCATGCAATCGGAGAGGCGCCCAGAGCCAAATGATCAATAGCCCTGGTTGCTCACATTCCACGCGAGCACCAGGGAATCAGCTGAAGGCTGCTCAACATGGGATAAAACATCCCTACCACTCTCTCGGCTTATTTGGGTCAGTAAGAGTGTGAGGCGGTTGTCATCTGGTCAGTTCCCGCCTCCTACTGGGGGAAGGGTCACGGAGAGTCCAGTTGCCAGGAGTGATCTGACCATGTGTGGCACTTCTTTGGTTCCGCTTTTTTACTTGTGTCAGATCACCAACGCTGTAGAGGGGTGGTGCAGGTCTAGGCATGCCCGTGGCTATGAGTTGGGCCAGACTTATTCTAGGGGACAGCCCATGGAGCCATGCTTTTCCCACGAAGTCCCGGCGGCAACAGGTCGTGTCGGCATGGATGTTAAAGTCCCAGGAGCCAATCAGTCTCTCCAAGGAGGACATCCGCCCACACGACCTCGGCAAGCTGGGCAGGGAATCCTTGGTACGTAAGGAGGTGGTGCCTGTATGATCTGTACTGCCTATTTGCTAGAACATGCACTCAGAGAACTGGTCTTTTCCAATGGGACGCCTGGGTACAAACTAATGACTTCCTAAAAATCACTGCAACCCCCTCCCTTACTGGGCCTGGGTTGCTGTGCGTAAGAGAAACCTGGGTGGACAAGCAGCGGCAGAGGCAGGCCCCATCTACTTCATCAGCAGTCTCTATCCCCACATACCAGAGTCAAATCCTCCATCCACAATCCCAGGTGGCTGGAATGGCAGAGGTTTTAATGCATCATTGACCTGGCATTGCACAGCAACACTTTCAGTCATGTGGGTTCCTATTAATTCAGTATCCTTCCGGTCAGGACCTCAGACCTGGGCAGGACCAGTCCTCAACATGGCTCAGCCTGTCACCGGTAATGACGTCTGAGGTCTTAGCGTAACTCCTCCTCCTCCCCGTGATCACTGAGATCGGTTGTCCCAGTGCATTCCCCCCCTGTGGAACCTGCCCCAGCCCATTTTGTTTGCTTGGGTTATAAATGACTGGCCTCCCCTTAAAATCAAATTAAACCTATACAAAATCAAACTAACAGAACAATAAAACTAAAAATAAAAACAAAGTTACAAACACAACACCAATTAAATTAAACAATTCCCACCTTCAAGCACCACCCCACCCCACCACCAGAGGCCCTCCTCAGGCCAAGCTGCGGGCAGTATGGGGCCCTTCCCCCTTCACCCAAGGTGAAGGGCTTCCAAGGGAGCGGTCTCCCCAGGAGCTCATAGTGCGGCGGCAGCCGTGATGTCCAAGAGGCACATCCCCAGACCCTTATATGCTGTCGTGGAGTATGGGGCCCACCCCCAGGCCCAAGGTGGAAAAGGGCTTCGGGGGGCGGTCCTCCCCACAAATACGGCAGAGCGGCAGCAGCAATGTCCAGGCCTCATGGAGCCTTATATGCTGAGGTGGGTATGGGGCCAGCCCCCAGACTAAGGTGGAAGGGCCTTCGGGGGAGCGGTCTCCCAAGACTCACGGCAGAGCGGCCAGCAGCGTGTCCAGGCCTCCTTCAGACCTCCATATGCTGTATTAGTGGAGTAGGAGCCCGCTGACCCAGGTGCCGGAAAAAGGGCTTCAGGGGAGCGGTCCTCCCCCACCCCAAACTCACGGCAGAGCGGCAGCAGCGTGTCCCAGGCCACTCCTTGGGCCCGCTATATGCTGGTGGAGTATGGGGCCCGCCCTGACCAAAAGGGTGGAAAAGGAGCTTCCAAGGGGAGAGCGGTCCTCCCCCACACAAACTCACGGCAGAAGCGGCAGCATGTGTCCCGAGGCCTCCTGGAGCTTCTGTGCTGTGGTGGAGTATGGGCAGCCCCCAGGCCCAAGGTGGAAGGGGCTTCCAGGGGGCGGTCACCCCCACAAACTCGGCAGAGCGGCAGCAGCGATGTCCAGACCTCCATGAGCCTGTGCTGTGATTGGAGTATGGGCCAGCCCCAGGCCAAGGTGGAAAAAGAGCTGGGAGGCAGGGTCCTCCCCATAAACTCACGGCAGGCGGCTGGCAGCAATGTCGAGGCCTCCTTGGGCCTTATGCTGTGAGGTGGAGTATGGGGCCCGCCCCAGGCCCAAGGTGGAAAAAGAGACTGAGAGCGGTCCCTCCCCTGAAACTCACGGCAGGCTGGCAGCAGCAATGTCCCGAGGCCTCCTTGGAGCCTTATATGCTGTGGTGGAGTGGGGCCCGCTGAGCTAAGGTGGAAAAGGGCTTCAGAGGAGCGGTCCTCTGACTCAGCAGAAACTGACAACCAGCAATGTCCGAGCCAATGCAGTTGCCCAGTCTAACGGTTATGAAGGCATGGAAGTGGTCGCAGTTCAGACTGCAAAGGAAATTGTCACAGCCAACTGCTCACCAAATGAAATCTACATTTCAGCATTTTGTGCAACCTCTGGGTGAAGTCATCTGGAAATGCTTATGATGCTTATGATATTCTCAGTTTCATGAGATCCCAAAGAGGTGGTGGAAACTGTTAGCTGGTGTTAACTGGCAATGAGGACTTGAGTGTTGGGAGGGCAAACTTAAACTTAAGCCAAGCAACCAAGCAAATTGTTCAATACAAGGCTGTATTATGTCTTGATTTGTTTGTACTTATGATTACTTTATTGTGAAATGGAATGGAGATTCTTAAATATGCTAAAAGCAGTCCCAAATACTACTTTATCTTAATAGTAATTATCTGTTCTCCCACCCAGTTCTTCCTCATGAAACCTGTTGACTTTTATGGGCACCAGTGGGAGCATTTCTCCTAGTACTAATAGCAGCTTTTAAGTAATGGGTTTTTGTTTTGCAATATATGGTAGGGAAGAAGAGTTAAATTCCCCCTCCCATAGCAAAGATAAAAATAAATATATGTGCCTAGTGTAACATCTAGTTAACTAGCAATGTGTGAACCCACTTTCACTAAAATCATGTTTGAGCCACTGACTACAAGCTTCTTCCAGCAATGATGGGGGCAGGGAGGAAATCACTTTTTTAAATATAATACTCAGTTTCCAAATGTTTTAGCACATGCTCACAGTGCCACTTGGGAATTGTGGAGCTGAGAAAGACATGCAGCAGTGAGCCGTGCTCCTGTTAACTGTGGGACATTAGCTCTGGCCCACCCTTATTGACTGTTGGACTGTGGATGAGGCCTCAGCAACTCCAGACGGCTGCAGTCTTGCCAACCAAGTGTAAGAGTGTAAGACAGCTGCCACTCTAGGTCAAGTACCTGTTCCAGCGGCATCTCTCTTCCCCTCCCCTCCACAACCTATATACCCACACCGTGGCTGATCTTTTGATCAGTGGTACCAAAGGCAGGCCTTATAAGCTGCAGTTTCTTCCCACGGTTCCCTACTATAGAGCATCTTTGGCGGAACCTCAGGATTTGTAAAAACACAAAGCATCCATATAGAAAGACAAAATGGGGGAGCCCAAGGTCCTATCACTACAAAGTCTGCACTTGGTTGGTTGTGGCAAACCTTTTATATTCAGATAGAAAGTAAACATATAGATTTACAATCAGATTGTTACCAAAACTGTTTCCTAGAAGGAAGATGTTAGAGATGAAAGCATTGCTGCAAACAGATCTGTTCATATTGAACTAAGATTTTTTGCCAAAGATTTTTCCCCCCTATATTTTTTGTGCCCACGGAAAGCTGTTACCTTCATTAAATCCTATTAAATTCTGTGTTTTTTTCTCCTTTAGATGCTATAATGGACATTTTAATTAGTTAATTAAATTAATATGCTCAATAAATGTCTGATGTCCTTAGTGGGATAGATAATCAGCATGGTTTGCTTCTGCCCCATATTTTGGTCCTTATTTCACCTTTCTTTTCTCTTACTCACTCCCATGCATTCATTTTTGCCCTCCTCTTCCTATTTCCCTCGCTGCAGCCTCACTCTGGTACTTACACTCATATTCTTTCCTATTTTCTAAGACTTTGGCCTGGTTTGCAGATAATGCTAAAGGATGGTGGTTACTACATTCATGAACTTCTAGACTCACATGCCATTTCTCTACTTCCTCTAGCTGTGAAGAGGATATTGGAAGCTTTTAACAGTTACTTGCCATGTCCAAACCTGCTGTGTCCAAACTCTATTGCTTAAGGAAACAAACTGACTTCAAACTGTGGTTAATTAGCCGGACTTATTTCCTCAAACTGAAGTTCTTGGTTTGGATAAAACCAGAGCTTGCTGAAAATGGAAGCAGAAGCTTCTGGTCTTCTATCTGTGGCTACAGCAAAGAAGAAGAGCCCATAAGTCTGTGTTTGCCAGAGTTCATACCTGCAGTACTAAACCGTCACATACTTGTTTATTTAGAAAACTTGCATCCGCCCTTCCAACACATTTGCCTTGCTCAGGGAAGCTTACAACAATATTTTAAAAACCTGCCCCATGAAATCAGAAAGCAACAGCATTCGAAACAGAAAGAGACACAGTGTACAGACCCATATTTTAGAATGTTTTTATTATATAACCATCATCTGCAAGGCAAGGGTTGGGCGATATCTTGGTTTTCAACATTGTGATATATCAGCAGCTAAATACCATGATATGTTGAGATACCACAGTGTCTGCAATGTATTTTGGCTGCTTCTTCCTCCCCACCTTCCTGCTACCACCCAGCCCTACCAAGCCCCAATACTGTTCCAGCTCACATGAGCTGGAGGGGCTTTACTGAACTGCTCAATGGGGTGCGGGAAAAGTTATTCAATACTTCTCAACAGTCCTGCTGTTCGTGTGTGTCCATGTATGTGTGTCCATGCATGCATCTCTCTCTATCTCTCTCTCAACACCAGTCTTTTACTTTTGTAATAATGGTATTTTTCCTGTTTTTTTAGGTGATTGAAGTTTATGACTTGACTAAAGTGAAGTTAAAATATTGGTAAGTGGTCAGTCAAATAAATGTAGCCACTTGTTCCTTTTTCCCCTCTTAGGGTTGGCAGGACGTCTGCCACTGAGAGAGAACAGCTGAAAAGTCACTGAGCTAAAAGATACCCTGTTCAGCCTTATCCCATCTTGGCTTAAGAAACTGAGACGAGACACTCATCTCATCTTCGTAGCTAACATAAGACGTATGCTACAGTCCTCAAAACTATGGTTTCCCTGAAAGAATCCTGGAAGGGTTTGGTGAGGATGCTGAGATTTCTCTTTTGGAGATCTCCAGCCACCTTTACAGTTTCTTAGGGAAAGGGAATGGTCTTTAATAAGGATCTGTCCTCAGGTGATCTTAAGGCTTAAGCTGTGCTCTTCTACAAATTGTCCCTCAGCTAATTTTTGTGTGCTCTTGTGTGACAATGCAGACAGATATAACTGCTGAAAACAAGGAGCGGGGAGAGAAACTGGCTTTAAAAGTGGCTTCATTTCAGGCCCTCAGAATACCTTACTCTGCTCAGTGAAGCACATAATTGAAACAAAAGCCTCTCTTTTCCTGTGTTTAAAAATGTATTGAGTATATTTCTACTGTGTTTTTCTTGGTGACTTTCCAAAATATCTTCATTCATAAATTTCACAAAAGGCTTCATGGAAACCTCACTGAAGCAGGGTTGCGCAGAGCATCCGTATAGGTACTATTTCATTCTGTAGAAGGGGAATAGTCACCTGCTTCTCTGAGTGACTGTAAAAATAGTTAAGTTTGAAATGAATTGTGAAGATGAAAGACTCATGAAGCTGTTTTATAAGTGACTTTGAATACAACAAATATTTGATCCAATGCTGATTCAGAGACTTACGCCTGGCAAAGCCCCAGAGAGGGACATGTTAATTTTTTTTCCATAGCGACTCAGTTCAAGGGGCTTCAATTTTGGCCACTTTGTTTCTGATTATTCAACTGGAATATTGCCAACTGTCTGAATATCTAATATTTTGGTTTCAAACTTTAAGAAGTGTGATCATGATGACTTTCAAAATATCACTAAATAAGGCTTCTTGATATTCATGCATAAAATATACACACTTCTTTCAGATAAGTTAAAACAATGAGTCAAAGAGAGTCAGGTTATGTCTCCAATGCACGTAGAGGCTTTCACAAGAGACCTTGCACATTGTTCACTGATTTGTTTTGAATTATCTTATTCAAAAGTACATTAGCTGTCCACCAACAAAAGCTGGGTGTTGTGTTTGTTGATCTCTCATTTGCCTTTGACTCCATTGACTGAAAGCGTCCATGGCAATATTGATTTTTCCTTCCTTCCAGTGGTGTCCATTTTAACTCTCAGGCTATTGCTCCAACCATAGAACAAATTGATCAGTCTTTTGGAGCAACACATCCAGGAGGTGAGTTGGCAATTCTTGGCACTGTTCACATGTGGATATTTGGTCGGTTGTGCCTGTGGCTGTTCCCTATGCATCACTGGAATTGAAAGTCAGATAGACCAAAGGGTCTCATTCACAAGGGATTATTTGTTTATGAAGGAGGCTTAAACTTGGTTTTAGCTTTCTATGTGCTTCATGATCTATCTTGCCAAGTGTGATAAAAAATGAGTTAGTAGAGGCATGAGACTGACAATATATATATTTTCAGAGAGCTGAAAAAAATTGTATGATAGAACCATTGATGCTTATGGCTGATTTGCTTATGTTGCCAGAGGTTCCTGGAAGGCGGTCTGGGATGGCTCTCCCCACTGGCTGGACAGGCAGGGTCCCAAACTATGATCCTGCCCAAGGGAGAGGCCATTCTACTCTTATCAGACAATGTGGTACTTCAGCCTGATATGACCTTTGTCCTAAAGCAGGGGTGTCCAAACTTTTTTCAAATAGGGCCAGGTTTGATGAAGTGAACATGCATGAGTGCCGAACAAAGTTATTGACCTTTTTTTTAGGATTCAAGTTGTTGACCTTTTTTTAGAACTACGGGGAGGAACTGCCTCTGGGGGCCGGATTGGTGGGTTGGATTAGGCCCCCCAAACAGACTTTGGACATGCCTGTCCTAAAGGTTAAGACCATCTTTCACAGAGCTTACAAAGTGGTTCTGCCTTAATTTTGTCCTACTCCATTGTCAACCATGGTCCTGGCACTCTGGATGTTTCTGCTTGGATAGGACTTTGGCCTTCCTGAAGTCTGAGGCCATATTTGTTTCCTTCGATGACTAAGGGCTAGGCAGAAGATTTCTTCCTCATCTTCAACCATCTCTGGGAGGCTCAGGGAGGCAATAGGGCTCTTGAAAAAGTTCCCTGTTTGTCCCTTGGCCTGTTTTTTCCTGTGTTAGTCTTCTGGACCTGGGCCTGTTGGAACTGGTGTCCTCCTATGTGGATGGAGTCCATGTGGTTTGATGGGTCATTCTTTCTGTGCTGGCTGGTCTGGTACGAGTGGGATGGACCCTCCTCTGGGTAGGATCATCATTTTGGGACTCTGCCTGTCCAGTCAGTGGGAAGAGCCATCCCAGACTATTGACTGCCCTCCAATAACCCCTGCCAGTAGAAATTCATGGTAAGAATTTTGACTTTGTCTCCTGTGGCATTTATGCTTTATGTTTCATTAATTTTTTTCTCTGGCTCTGTTATATTCTCTAGTCAAGCAGGTTTTTCAGGTAGCTGTAGTGGGGAACCTCAGGCCCAGGAACCAAATGCAACTCCAACTCCCAGCCTCTCTATCTGCCTCTCTATACTCCCTCTTTTCCTAGGCTACGCCAGTCAGTAGCCTTGCTGTACATCCTCCTTGAGTGGCTTTGCTTGGCTGTAATGTGTCCTTGAACTCTGAAAATGCTTCCTGCTTGCCTGGCTGGATGATAGAGAGGGGTGCAATAGTGTGTGTAGACACAAGCCTACTGTCCAAAGGTACAGTCATTGCTTGGCCCACTTTTGCCTGTGGCCCCATCCACCACTGGCATTTGACTTTTATAAGGTTGCCTACAAGGCAGTGAGGTTCTTGGGCTGAAAAAGGTTCCCTATACTTGCAATAGTGCTTTAGAAACTTGAAAATCCTGTTTGACTAAAGCTGTGAGTACACCAAAGGAAACAATGCCTATTTCAAAACTCCTTCAAGTCATCAAGTATTATCTGTCTGCAATCAGTGTCATATGAATATGTTTGGGATGAGACGAAAAAGCAGATCTGTGCTTACAGAATTATAAAACCATCAGATTATAATGATATTGCTTCAGACTACATGCAGAGGCAACAGTCCTCATTACAATTGCTGGTTATATCAGGCGTGTGCCCTCCTTCCTCTCATAGTAGCAATGAATTGTATCCACTGTTAGTTCTACTCAGAGTAGACTTGACCTGACTAATGGCCAAACAATAACAAACCCTGGTTAAGAACAACCCATGGTTAGCATTGTCCTTCATATACACATAATGCTACACTACAATTTCACCAAGCCATGTGAGGAAAGTGGGAGAAACAAGTAGGATGGAGCCTGTGCCTGATGGGTTTGCTATGCTTTTTTCAATCCTACAAATTCCATAGTGATAATGAGAATAGAAAAATCTTGTGCTGTTAAAGAAACAAAAGGTTAGTTCATATATCTGGCACTTGAGCATTTGAAAACCTCCTATCTGGCCTCATTAATTATCCCTGTTGTTCACCCCATGGGTTTTTGCCTTTAGACAGGTTGAAGCCCCAACTGCTGCTAGATGTTTCATAAGCACTTTAGGCATAGTTTAATGAAGAGCTAAACTGCTTGACAGTACTGTCTGATTGGAAAGGGATAAATTGCTGTTCTTATATGCGTGTATGTGTGTTTCCAGTGTACAACTCTGCTGAACAACTTTTCCACCTCAACTTCAGAGGACTGTCTTTTTCTTTTCAATTGGACTCATGGACTGAAACTCCAAAGTATGAGGTCTGAAATCTTCTTTGTTCATAAATACATTATTAAACAAAGCAGTCACTGTGTTTTGAAAGACTTGTAACTGTCTTTGTGCCTTAATTTATTGATTTTTGAGATATGTTGCTTCCCCTTTAAGCCTAATTCAGCTGTCATTGGAACTGATTTCCAAACTATAAAAGTATCCTGCAGGCTGACACACACTCCCTCTCTCCGTGCCACTTGTTCCCCCCTCTGCCTTTTCCTGCTTAGTGATAACTATAGGTTTACTGTGATACCTGAACTGGTATTATCATAGTTAACCACTAACCATAGTTTAATCTCAAATCAGAGATTGGAATCAAAGTTGCTTCAAACTGTTGGTGGTGTTAACAAACGCAGCGGGGGGGGGGGAAGCGTGAATACTTTTTCTAGGCTGCATAGTGTCCTGGTCAAGGAAAGTAATAGTCCCTCTCTTCCTGCCAACCTAGCAGTTCGAAAGTGCCCAGTGCAAGTAGATAAATAGGTACCGCTCTGGCGGGAAGGTAAACCAGAAGCAGCTTAGTCATGCTGGTCACATGACCCAGAAGCTGTACGCCAGCTCCCTCGGCCAGTAAAGTGAGATGAGCGCCGCAACCCCAGAGTCATCCGCGACTCCACCTAATGGTCAGGGGTCCCTTTACCTTTATTCCACCATGGTCAGACCACACTTGGAGTCCTGTGTCCAGCTCAGCGATTGCCGGCGGGGGAACAGCTGATAGGCTGCCTGTTAGACACGTGAGGCTGTTAGCCTCTGGGCAATCCTCCCCGCCCCCCAATTTCAACAAGTCAGGGCAATTTCCCCCCATTTTCTTAATTTGGAGTCCCCCAAAATGGGAGGCGTCCTATACATGGGGACATCCAATACACAGAAAAATACAGTAATTGAACAAAGTACATGTGGATTTACAATAGGCTCCCTAAATCTTCAAATCAAGATTCGCAAATAATTTTTATGAAAATTTCCGTTTTACAATAACTACACTGCAGTGTCTGACACCTCTGAAATTAGGGACCCTGCAATTGGCTAACATTCTGGGACCACTGCAATATAGATTGGCGTCCATCCTTTACCATGGATTGTTTCTTTTAAAATTCAAACTGCATTGCAAGACAAGAAAACAACAGTAATATTCCTAGTTGGAAGAAGTTTAATGAACTACTAGCCTCCTAGCAGGAGGTGCTGAAATTAATCACACATCCAAAATAGGAGGGGGAAGAAAGGATGATGAGTGGGGGGGGGGGTCCTGCTGTCTATGTCTGTTAATCAGCTACATTCATAGACTACTGAGAAGAAATGGTTTGTGGAGTATGTGTGCCATGGGATCCACTGTGTGTGTGTGTACATGTACATGCAAGTGACTTCTGCAAGTTCTTTCATGGGGGTTTTAACTGCTGCAGGACACGTCATGGGGGTTTTAATCTTAGTTTTGCTATGTAGAGAGATAAAGTTTTGCTGGTTTTTGAAGATCATTCTGACTCACTTGGTTGTATGTGGTACAAGATTTAGTATTATTGGACTTAAAACTATGTGTTGTGCAATCAAATATAATTTTAATTTAACCTTTCCAGCCAAACTTTGCCCATGGCCTAGCTTCCCTGCAAATTCCCCATGGTGCAACTGTGAAACGTATGTACATCTATAGTGGAAACAGTCTTCAAGATACCAAGTAAGTAGCTCTTATATTTTGGGAAATATCTCCAAATAGATAAATAGTGAAAGTCAAATCTCATGTTATTTTATGTGCATATAATTATGTATGCTGGCTATATTTAGCTTTATTACAGTATTCAAGTTTACTTGGCTATTTACATAGTCTATCATTTTGTGTTTAAGCTTTTTCAGGCAAGTCCCTTTCCAGATTAAAAGTACAGAGCCTCTTCACACAATAACTTACCGGTACCCCGGTATTTAAAAACATACCAACCAACCCTGCTGGTTAACATGTTCAAGAGTTAATTGAGCCAAGCTTAATTTAAGCATCTTCTCAAACCATGAGGATCTGTAAAGATAATTTTTGAACCCAAACTATAGTTTTATCTTCAAAATGTGCAGGCGAAAGCCATGGTTTATAGCTGCTTATTTGCTTCCATTTGGTCAGTGCTCTATTCTGAAGATGCAATAGCCTCTGAAGGCAGAATGATGTTAATAACCACAGTTTATCAATTCAGACATCTCATCAAAGCATTGTTTGCAAACCTATTGCAAACTATGGTTTCTAATTCTTGTTTGCTGGCCAATTGCAACCTATGCAGTTTATCAATTTAACCATAGTTAATCTTTCTCAACCATGCTTTATCATTCAAATTCAGCCATAACAAGCTCCCTACAGTTACTTCCAGTTAGAAATCCAGTTATTTAAATGTTTATAGTGTGGACTTTGTTGTGTGGTAGTTTAATTTAAATTTTAACATGGGCATTCTGTTGTGTTGCTGGCTGTTGAGCATAAATTTAGTAAATGGTAAGGTTCCTTTAAAGAATGCAGTTCTTCTCTTTTTGCTTCTTCATCTGTAAGTTGTGTTTGCGACACCACTATTGAGTTAGGGCTGTTTAGTCAGATAGCACTCGCTATTGGTATAGAAAAGCGAACCGGAAACAATGTGTTGCTTAGCACTAATCTGCATATTGTTTAATTATACATGATCTTGCTGTTTCAGGGCTCCTATGATGCCCCTCAGCTGTTTCCTTGGAAATGTGTATGCAGAGAATGTTGATGTTCTGAGAGATGGAGCTGGGCCCTCAGGTTTACGGCTTCGCTTACTCACTGCAGGTATTAGTGAGCAGAGGTTTCCTTTCGAAGGCACAAATGTGAATATGGGCAACCTATATATCTCGGAATCTCTCAAGTACTTACTTCTGATTACTCTGTCACCTCCTCTGTTGGAGATGACTTGTACATTCCAGGAAATATTGCTTCAGTTGATTCCAAGTTCATTGCAACACCGTTCTTGGTATAATGAAACTTTGTCTTATGTGTAGGGGTGTGGGTTCTCCTTGAGCAATAAGTAAGTCTGACTGTCAAGCAAGAATTCCTGCAAAACTATATATGAACCAGATTCACAATCAGAACCTTTGGGAGATGTGGAAAGATTCCCAGGGATTTAGCAGGGTTGCAAAGGGAACTAGGAGGTGCTCTTTACCACTGTAGAGACATAGAAGCCTAAAACTGGATCAAGAGTCAGTCAGCCAGTAGTCAGATGTGTATTAGAATTCAGATGTGACCCCCAAACCATGGTTTATGAAGTCATGTTGTAGCCACACCAACACCATATATCTGACCATCATTTGCAAGAGTCCACCAAACCAGGATATGAAACCATATTTTGAAGCTGATTTGGGATGTTGCTCCACCCTTGAAGGATTCTGTTTTGGGAAGACACCTGGGGTTTCTAGGGGAGGAGGCTAACCATACAAGTTTGCTCATAAGTCTCATATGAACACAAAAGCCTGAGTGGAGTTACCTAGAGTTTTGGAATACGTTGTCAGCAATATGCTGATGACACACAACTCTACTTCCCCTTTACAACTGCAGGCGTGGCAGTGGAAGTGCTGGACCAGTGCCTTGCCTTGGTAATGGACTGGATGAGAGCCAACAAACTGAAGCTCCATCCAGATAAGACTGAGGCACTACTAGTGGATTGTTCCCTAGACCGTATGGATGGGAGGTTGCTTGCTCTTGATAGGGTTACACTCCCTCTGAAGGAGCGGATACACAGCATGTGGGTATTCTTGGATCCTTTGCTGTTGCTTAAGGCTCAGGTGGCCTAGTGGCATGGAGTGCCTTGCATCAGTTTGGGTTGGTGACCCAGCTGTGCCACTGCCTGAACAGGGATAGCCTCACTTTTATGCTAAGTTAGATCACTGCAATGCACTATACATGGGGTGGTCTCTGAAGGTGGTTTGGAAACTTCGGCTGGTGCAGAATTTAGCAGCTAAGCTGCTCACCAGGGCAAGACTGAGCATATAACACCAATCCTGGCCCAACTGCACTGGCTGCCATGAGCTTCTTGGAGGAATAGCAGAATCACCTATGAAATAGGTAAAATGAGTGCAGTTTCAATCCAGCCTTTGGTTGAAGGTTTGGTGTTAGTTTATTTGTGGATACTGTAATGAATGGAAAGTTCATCAAGTCTTGCTTCTGTTCACTTGACGATTAGCATCACAAAATGAAGGATTTTTGGTTGTCTTGATTACAAGATGAATAAAACTGTAGCCAATTTTAAGTGGAATTTGCTTCTATTTTTACAGAGGAGGCGAAAGGAGAGCTGCCTAGGACAGGGATCATATATCCTGGTAATAGTAGGAAGGAGTTAGCTATTATCCAGAAACTGTAAATGGTTTTTCAAGGTAGAGTGTGAAGTCCAGATAACATATATACATGCCTGAAATTTAAAGAAAAAGATGTTGGATGTATTAGCTACTCATTATTAGCTTTATGCACTGAAGGGTTAACTCATGCATATCAAAACTCAGTTTTAAAGTGAATGTACTTCATTTGGATGCCAGTGTATCTAAAGAACTCCCAGTCTGAGAGCAGGACAATGGAAAGGGGATTCATAATTAACAAAAATGTTGATCCATGTTAAATTTATGTAAGGTGTATACTATCATTTAAAATACTTTCACCTATGGCTTGAAAAGAGATTGTGGATTTTTATTACACTTCGTGTAGTAATAAGCTTGCTGAAGCCCAGATGCTGGTGTTATCACCAGCGTGGCCTTATTAATTGTCACCGTGTTGATTTTAGCAAATTTTCACAGTGTGTCCTTCTTTCAGTTTGTTTCCCTCGGACCTAATTTATCTGGAGTGTCACACGGTTACCCACACCTGCTGTGATGGCTGGGGTATTGGACTAGGACCAGGAAACTCAAACCCACAAAGTTCACTGAGTGATCTTGAGACGGCCACACGCACTCTCAATCTAACTTGCCATCTATTATAGTTTCATTGTGAGGTTAAACGGGAAAGGATGTGTGTGTTGCCTATAGCCCCTATAGGGTGGGGTAAAAATGTAACAACCATTCCTGATAAAATATGGATTAATCTAGAGTATCTTTTATAGAAGGGTGCTTGTGCATAACTTTGGTTGCAAATTATTTGACATTTTAACCCACACTTCATGCAGTGAATAGTATTGTACTGCATTGGGCCATTTCTAAAGAAGAAAGAGCACAACCCCAGCCCCACAGAAAGAGCACTTCTGCTCTTCTGCAACTCCTCTTCATTTCAGTAGGACCCAAACAGAACGGGTGAAAATGGATGTTTCAGCTGCATGCTAATCTGCACCAGCCTTCCCCAATGTGGTGCTCTCAGAATTTGTAGTCCAAGACATCTGGAAGCCACCAGATTGAGGAGGACTAGTGTGCATGAGGTTGAATAATCTGTCTTCCACAGGTTATTTCTGAGAGTTGCTGCAAAGTGGCAAGTGTGTTTTGTATATTTCTATTTAGTGTTTTATTTTTTTCTAATTTGATTCTGCTAATGTCACTTACATCCTGAGTTACACCTCTCTGAAGTTGCTCATTTTTATTTTTATTTGTTGAGAGACTTCTAAAATCTGCCACAGTGCAATTTCTGTTCTCGTTTCACTCTTTTGGTTAGCTGGATGAGAGATGAATGCAGGCTTCCGGCCATACCAACATTTTGGAAGTTTGGTGTCCCATCTATTAACACTTTCCCTTGTTTTTCAGGTTGCGGCCCTGGTGTATTAGCTGATGCCAAGATGCGGGTATTTGAGCGCTGTGTTTATTTTGGTGATTCGTGCCAAGATGTTCTGAGCACTTTGGGGTCTCCTCACAAAGTTTTCTACAAGTCAGAAGATAAGGTTGGACTACAATAACAAGTTAACACAGATTATCTCTGTGTTAGGCTACTAAAATTAATTTTTCAATATCCCTACAGGCTTGGAAGTTCTTTAATAAATGTTAAGCTTCTAACTGCCCTGTGGCTTCAGTTTTAGGACAGAGTCTTGTCTTCTCATCCTGCCTCACCCCAGTTTTTACTAACAGTATTTTATTTATTTATTTAGTAGATTAGATGGTAAACTGATGTCTGGATTGCACTGTTCAGATTATGCAGGATGATGGAAGGTTCCATCATAACAGATTCCCACCTACAGAAAACTAGTATGTCAGGAAAAGGCTAGAGTAGAAGCAGTTTCCCTGACAATCTACTTTTTTGTGCAGGGATTTCTCCCCCCCCCCCCCAATGTTCTGGTATGCAGGAGCCATGTTGAGTCCCCATCCAATTTCCCCAAGGTACCAATGTGCAGGAAAAATAAGAAGGGAGGGGAAGAATACAGGGATCTCCACAAATGCACTCAGGTGATGCAAGTTAGTGTTCACTGAATGTGCCCAAAATGCCCAGTAATCAAGGGCAATAATGGTTGTTGGACCAGAACAAATTTCTCATTTCTGCCATAGAGGTAACATAGTCCATTCAAACCAGAGGAGCATATTGATGAAACTAGACGATCTACTTGTCTCCTTATTTCCAAAAGCTGAAGTGTAGATTTGTTTTGTTTGTTTTTTAAAGATGAAAATTCATTCACCCTCGCCTCACAAGCAGGTTCCTTCAAAGTGCAATGACTACTTCTTCAACTACTTCACACTTGGAGTGGTAAGTTGCAAACATTGAAAACAAGGGGTCTCTTTTTTCTTTTTCTATTTTGCTTCCATCTGTGCACAACTTTCATAATGCCTGTACCATGTTAATCAGTTAATGCAGGAATCAATGTTGTCCAAATCCTTCAGAGCTCCTTTGCTGAGAAATTTGAAAATTATCTTCCTGTCTTTGTCAGTTTGATTAGTGACACATTAACACAATTAGTATCTCATGGGGCCCATTCTATGTATTTGATATTCAGCATTTGCAACATCAAAACATAATCCTTCAGACTCAAAAAATTTTCTGGAGAAAGGGCAGTGCCACTGCCTGTCATCTTAAACACAAATGGGAGAAGGCAGAGAAAATTTTCTCCAATTACCGTATTTTTTGCTCTATAAGACTCACTTTTCCCCTCCAAAATAGTAAGGGGAAATGTGTGTGTGTCTTATGGAATGAATGCAGGCTGTGCAGCTATCCCAGAAGCCAGAACAGCAAGAGGGATTGCTGCTTTCACTGTGCAGCGATCCCTCTTGCTGTTCTGGCTTCTGAGATTCAGAATATTTTTTTTCTTGTTTTCCTCCTCCAAAAGCTAGGTGCGTCTTGTGGTCTGGTGCGTCTTACAGAGCGAAAAATACGGTAGTAAGGGCAGGTCCCAGGAACTTGGAGGTCTTAGCTTTCACGGTGATTTTTGCATAATATTATATCCTCTTGCTACCAAATAAGAAAACATCTTGAAATCATTGCTTTCTGAGCCCACCTGCATACATTTCAAAAAGCCCTGTCCAGGACTTTCTGTTCATTTATGGGAAGCTGTTTAATCATTTCAACTTTGTGTGGCTCATTGTTTTTCCTTTCTCAATTTCACCCACAGGATATCCTTTTTGATGCAAATACTCACAAAGTGAAGAAATTTGTTCTACATACTAACTACCCTGGTCATTACAACTTCAATATGTGAGTAGAAAGAGCTGTATTGCCCAAACCTCCGTTGCAATTTGGAAGGCAAAGGGAAGGGAGCATCAAGGAGAAGGCAAAGAAACCGGTACCATGCTGAATCCCCACCAGCAGTGCCTAAGCTCTTTCTGGTTTCTAAGCCTTCATCAGATGTTACTCACATTTCCACAACCTTTTCTGGTTAGAATCTTCTTTAAAACAAACATGAATTTCTCTGTATTTTAAATTCCCTGCAATATACTGGATTCTTCTCTTTGGTTTCTGCGTTGTCACTTCTCGACTACAGTAGTTGACTGTTGCAGAGCCTGGGACTAATGGGTATCAAGAACCTCTTTTCCCTGTGCAAGATGTGTTGCTGTAATTTGTCAAAACCCAGTTTTTTAGGAGATCAGTGAAGGTAGTGTGTGGAAGTAACACTCTGCTCATTCATAAGACTAGATTTCCCATCTTATGTCCCCAAAGAGGAAACTTAACTCATCCCCCGCCTCAAAAAATCCACCCATAATTCATGCCTGATTTTTAAGATTTCTGCATGGGAACCTGTGAAAACCTAATTAACTTATATTATTATATTATATTATATTATATTATATTATATTATATTATATTATATTATATTATATTATATTATATTATATTATATTATATTATATTATATTTTTATTCATATTATATGCCACTTAACACTGTATTTTCTAAGCAGTGTACATTGGGATTACAAAAGAGATACAAAGGATAAAGTCAATTAAAATTAACCATAGAATCAGAAAAGCTTACTTAAAATGCCTCCTGAAATCAAAAGTCTTCACCAAACACCTAAAGTTCCACAGAGAGGGGACCTGTTTGATCTGACCTGCGAGGGAGTCCTGCAGAAGTAGGCCCACAATACTGAATGCATGGCTCCTAGTGGTAGAAGCAAACTGTGCTTCTGTGTCATGGGCACCACTAGCAATTACTTGTTTGGGGTAGGGTGCTTAACATTTGGGTGGGAGGTTGTCTATAACTCAGGAAACGTACATGCTTTGAATGCAGGTCATCATGGTTTCAGTCCCCGGTGCCTCCAGTTTTTAAAAAAAAATCACATAGCAACAAGTGATATGGAAGACTCTCTGCCTAAGATCCTGAAAAGCTGCTGCCAGAGTAAACAATACTAGAATAGATTAAAAAATAGTTAAGACCTGGTGTCAGGAAGCTTTCAGTGTTCTGCATATTTGCTGTGGTATCTGGCAGCACTCTGGTTGCCTCCAATTAGGCAGCATAATTTCATGCCAAACTGGTATGGCTGGCAGAAAGCTATGGTAAACATTCAAGCAAGTACCGTATTTTTCGCCCTATAGGACGCACCTGCCCATAGGACGCACCTAGTTTTCAGGGGGGGAAATCAAGTAAAAAAATATGATTTCCCCCCCGCAGCTCTGGGAGCAGTGGACAGGCTGCACGCAGCCTGTGCGCTACTCCAAGACCTTCTCCCTGCTTTTGTGGGAGGTGGCGGAATTCCCCCACCTCCCGCAAAAGCCCACAGGAGCCCAACGTGACTCCTGCGGGCTTTTCGACCAGGAGGGAGAAGGGACTGAAATGGCCAGTCAGTCCCTTCTCCCTCCTCGAGGAAAAGCCCCCAAGAGCGGCGCGCTCTTTAAAGGGTGCGCGGCTCCTGCGGGCTTTTCTAGGAGGTGGGGGAATTCCCCCCCCCTCGTAGAAAAGCCAGCAGAAGCCGCGGAGCCCCTTTAAAGAGCGCACGGCTTTTGCCTGCTTTTGCGGGAGGTGGGGGAATTCCCCCATCTCCTGCAAAAGCCCACAGGAGGGTTGGAGAGTAGCGGGAAGGCGTCGTGCGCCTTCCTGCTGCCCCCCATCCTCTGGAGCTGGCGATGGGGGAAGCGCTGCTTTCCCCACCGCCAGCCTCAAAGAGCAGACTCTCCTGGCTTCAGCGGAAGCAACGTGAAGCCTCCGGAGCGCAGGCTTCGGAGGCTTCGCGTTGCTATCGCTGAAGCCAAGGAGCCTGCATTCGCCCCATAAGACGCACACACATTTCCCCTTCATTTTTGGAGAGGGAAAAGTGCGTCTTATAGGGCGAAAAATACGGTACTAGACTGTACAAGAGTGGAGAATATATCTGTGACCAGGTCAGGTTACCAACTTCTATTATATGCAATTATATTGTGCTTCATTTAGAATGGGCTACTTTTGAAATAGTAAACCTCATTTACGCTTGTCCTTTCTCGCAATAACTCTGCAATTTAAATATTTCAGTTACCATCGTTGTGAATTCAAGATTCCACTAGCGATTAAACGAGGTAAGAAAGAGGTGCCTGAAGTAACCTGAAAGTTAAAAGACTTAATAGGAGTGGGTGAAGGTGTTAAACACACGCTAGTGGTCAAAATTAATATGCTAAGCAGTCAGAGTGAGAACAGGACCAAAGTTGCACAATGTCAGATAATTAGGACGGCAGATTCAGGTTCTCCCACACTGTGGGTGTGTTAACAAAGAAACAATTTATGGAGAGGAAAACTGAGCAGCAGCACTTCCGAGAGATGTCAGCACTGCCCAGCGTTCACACCCCAAAGTGTTATTGTAATACAAGAGAAAATATTTATCTGTTCTTAATGTGACATACTTACAGGATGCCAGTGCAACTCAGTGGACAAGAATACTTGGTCTGGGTTGAAGTGCTGACTGAGCTTTGGACACATCACAGTTTTTCCCTGTTGAGGCCCTTTAACGTGCAAGAGTTTGTGATAACTTACCTTGACGGGTTGTTGGGAGTATGAACAGGAAGGAAACCTCATTCATGTAGGGGTGGTTAGAACAGGACGTAATTGGGATTTGTATTGTAGGTGAAGTAAATCTCAGTTCAAAATCTGGAAACATTCAAAGGTCTTGGAACCAGAATGATGTAAGGGTGATTCAGGAAGCTCTTTTGTACAGATGTTATATTATTTATTTTCTGGGGGGCAATCAGTGGCACAAACCAGCAAATGCAAGGGTTTTTTTCCTTCAAGAATAATAATGATTATTATATAATAATAAAATATAAATAAAAATTATAATACTATAATTTCACTCTTGGCTCCTAACTTAAAGAAATGAACCTGTTGTCAAAACATTTCCCAGGCAACCTTAGTTAGCACTAGGAAGGAGAGACAGTTGGCTGATCTCATGCCTGATAACTTTCCTTTCCTAAAATTCTCAAATGCTATTTCAAACTATCTCATTGTGGATATATTTATTAATCAGCTTCATATTTCAAAGGAGTTTTCATGAAAATTATAAAATATATCATGATCATGAAGGCAGAATAGCTCTAATTGCCTCCAGGCTTTGATGTGGAGTCCTCCTTGGAGATCTGCAGAGGAGCCTTGTCATTGCTTTCCAAGAGAACAAATCTCAGTCAGTTTTTCTGTACTTGGTGCTTGTCATGATTTGTGTATATGTGTTACCAGTAGTTTCTGGGGAAACAAGGGCAGGGAGAGTTTTGCCTATGGCTGGCAACATTTTGATCTCCTCATTCAAGTTCAGAATCGGGCTGGCATGTTAGACACCCTTAGATGAGTTGCTTGTCCCAATTCGCCTTGGCTTTCATTGGCTTTTATTTTGGCTGAGGTCAGCCCCCAATTACTTTCCTTAAACAAAGGAAATAAAGACATAAAGCAAATTAACAGTACCTGTTAAAAGAAGTAGAAGCAAATGTCAGGTTTTGGAGGCAACTTGACTGTGTAGACACAAGGCAAGTTCTTCAAACCCCATGTCTTTGGATGACTTTTGATAATATCTGACTGCAGACAAAGATTAAGATGTCAGTAGACACTGACTTGGCAGGTGGCCAGCATGCCAACCTTAGCCTGTTTTGGTACCAAGCAAAAACCTGAACATTTATCTCAGGAGTAATGCGATAACATGGAGTTGACACCTTTTAAGCGTAGCATTTGGTCTGTTTACACTGTGGATATGTGTTCATATGGATAATATGAAACTGGTGATCACAGATACAGTTGGCACTGCAAGGAAAGGAGCCTCTGACAGCTGTATTCTTAGTCACCTGTTAACATCTGTGAGCACACACCCCAGGTTGATGGGAAATCTAAGTGTATGAACAGCCAGTTGCAACACAGCTCTTGATATTCTTGTCTATATAAAAATGTAACATCTCCAGCATCAAGTCTTAAAACTGAAGGGCCTTAAGAAGGCCAGACTTGCCCACTTCCAACTGTTCCTTCCCTGGAGGTGATTAATTCTGCCCTGTTGGGTGTGCTTGAATTCTCCAGTATTTCTTTCATGCAAACAGTCAGAAGTTTGGGCTGTCCTCAGAGCAGGCTGTTGGTTGAGTCACTGAGCAACAACTGATGGCGTGGCTCCTTTCCAATGAGGAGGCATGCCCAGAACAGCAGTTCACAAAGAAACAAAGGAAGGGGGCTCACCTGGGGATGAGTAATTCTTACTCTTAGAAACCCTAAAAGTAAATAGTGTGGCGGTGAGGGGGGTGGCGGTAGAAGAGTGAAGCATGCGTCTTGTTGAAATAGAAGTTTAGAAAATATTAATATGCCAGGACTCTTGGAATTAGCTTTCAGTGTCGCATCCATGTTGCTTCCATGTACTGAATAGTACCTAACAGGCTGTTGGTGCAGAAGGGCATTAGGAAGAGGAGGAGTGGGATCTTCTGCTGAAATGTCACTTTATAGGTCATTTTCTCTGTTCTTTCTCCGAACAGATAGCACCGATTCACAGACAGAAACCTGCACAACCTATAGCAAGGTAAATCGAACTCCCAGTCATGCTTGCTAGAACAGCCCTTTAACTTCAGCAGTGGCACCTTATTTGCACAGGGCTAAGAAAGGGTATGCTGGAGCACTGTGCTAAGGTGGCCTCTTTCAGGAGGTGATTGGGGTCAGTGGCTGGGAGTCATCCCAGAAATGGACCCACTCCAGGCATTTGCAGATTTAACCTTCCAACTAGGTGGAATGGAGCTCAAAGCAGGATGCTGGAGATAAAATTGGGCAAGCAGGATGATATGAGGAAAGACAATGCTTGAAATACCATGGTTCCAAATCCAAATTTACTGTTGTAGCAAACCACAAGTTAGCACCTGAATTCTAGAGGTAAAATACACATAGCCAACCTTTGCTACCTTAAATTTTTTTAAAATTGCATTTTATTATAAGTACAGAAGCATACAACATTAAACCAAAATGAGAGAACTGCCCCCCCCCCCAAAAAAACCCTCATGGTGTCCCTGGGCTTGGTATATAGTGTATAACAAAGCAACATTCCCACTAAAGTCCAATATATCAGGCTGTCTGTATATCTGCAACAGCTGCTGACAATTGACCCTTTAAGTTTTTACAAAAAAAATTGTTTAAAAGTTTGCAAATAAAGTCATATGTATTAGTCCCAGCCATCTGTGAGTGGATTTTAGCTGATGTTTGCTTTTTCTTAAGTGCACATGTCAAAAACATAGATATACATGACATGCTTCATTCTACCACTAGGATCCATGCTTCATTCTCTAAGTAATTTTCATATGCTTACAGTGGGACAATATTCAGGACCTTCTTGGACATCCTGTAGAGAAGCCAGTGGTACTTCACAGGTAAATATTTTATTTTATTCTGTCACTTGGATAGGAATCGATTGGATTTCAAGTGACTACAAGAAAGAGAGGCCTAATAACTCAACAGCTTCATTGAATTAAATGTGCCATGATTATAGAATCATAAAACCAGAAACCCTTGTTTGCTTGAAGAGCTGAGTGCTGTCCCTAGAAGGGGACATTGGTAAGACATAAAAAAGATTCATTTGTCACCTTGCAAGTTGAGAGGCTGGAAAAGCAAAGAATCTGCCTTCGTTGTAGTTACCTTGCTGAATGTGTAATCTTTCACAATAGTTCCACATTCTACTTTGCTGCAAACTCGCAATGCTTACTAGTGGTGGAGGAAAGCAAAACATGGTTGAGCATTATACCTTTGTAATGAAAAATTCCATTTGATTCCCTAAAAAGATAGGTTTTGTTGTTTATGCTGATATTGGGTGTTACAAAAATATTGAATATAAATCTTACTGGTATTATTTGGTTACCTTAGCCTGATTTTCTTTTCTTTAGATCATCCTCTCCAAACAACACAAATCCATTTGGGTCAACGTTTTGCTTTGGACTGCAGCGAATGATCTTTGAGGTTAGGAAAGCGTACTTAGCTATAAGACGTGATGGAGCACTGGATTTAGTTGGTTTGAAATAGTGGCTGATCTGTGGACATTTCTCCCATGTTGTACTGTTGAAGCACTCTGCATTCTTGGCTGATGTGGTGTGGGATACACTTAGGTCCATTGTGTGTGGGACCAGTTCAGCAGACAAATTTGAAGTGAATCGCACAATGCACATCATTATCAAGTCTAGCTCAGTAGTAGGATAAAAAGAACTTGGATGCAATGATAAAAACTTATTTTCCACACTGGGATGGGAAACATGATTGACTTGTGGTTATTCTGTGGGGGTGGGTGGAACATAATGGATGGAGCCATAGAAAAAAAGTGGGAAAAGACATCAGTTTTCACCATAGTGCCTCAGATTAGAATTTCCAATCCTGTGCAGGTTTTTTCAGAAGTAAACCCTACTGGGTTTGATGGCATTACTCTCAAATTGGCATACCAAGGATGTGTTTATCTAGTAAATTCAACAGATGAATACAGTTGGAAAACAAGTTTTTCTTCTTCTTTAGTGTGTGCTATGCACAGAAGGGAAATTTCATTACCTTGAGCCATAGAACGGGGGTGGTGGGTGGGATGTGAATCAATTTATTTTTATTCAATAAAATAGTGCCTCTTCCAGTTCTTAAATTATATAGGAAGGGCAATTTTGGGGGACTTTTAAAAGCCAAGAGAAAAGAAGAAACAAAAAGGAAGGAGCTCTGATGTGGTGGAAGAATGGGGCTGCTTCAGGAGGTGGCAAGGGCTGCATAAGGTAAGGTTAGGAGGCCCCGCTGTCTAAATGAGCCAGTGAAAAAAAGACTAAAAGGGGGTTCATGTTTAAAACCAGTTTCGAATAGGCTTTTATTTGAATCCATGGCTAGTCTGAGGTTTGAGTCCAGGTCGCACAGATCAAGTCTCTGGTCCACTGGGCGGTGTTAGTTCTCCATATTACTGCTAACCTATTTGGGGTTCTTTTTGCTTTTTTAAAAATTATTTTTATTGATTTTCTAATAAAAACAGCTTCTTTTTGGAGGAATTTGAATTCTGTAATCCTTCTGACGGTAAGGGCTGTCTGACAGTATTCCTTTTTGTTTCTTTGTACAGGTGATGCAGAATAATCACATAGCTTCTGTTACTCTCTATGGCCCAGCAAGACCCAGCAGCCAGTTGAAAATGTCAGATCTTCCCCAGTGAGCGATATCAGCTAATCAAAATGCTACAAAATTAGTACAGCGTGCCTTGATTTGCTGCCACTTATAATATGGAAAAGCACGGTATGATGGACGTGTGTGTGTTGTGTGTGTGTGTGTGTGTTCAAAAACTGTCTTTTGCCACCTGTGCATGGAGCAGGATGGGAAATCCTCTTGACTGTTCATCACAGGGCATGGAAATGAGCAATTAGGTGCCTGTCGCCGTTGATTTTTCTCCTCTCGGTTGCCCTCATCCTTTACCGTGTGGATGTAAACAGACTGGTCTTTCTTTCCTGAGCTGGAAAAAGGATGAGCTTTAAACGAGAGGGCACACAAATGACTGCACGACTTAGAAGCACAAACTTTCTGAGCCTTGGAGCATCTGGAAGCAGGTATTGGATATATATTTTTCCGGTCTGTGTTTGTGTTAACTGTAATGGTAGTCATGTTTTTTAAAGGACAACAATGTATGTGTGGGTGTGTGTATACACACACATAGACACACCCCTTATATATAGGTGTATATATAAAATAAAGTACATGGGTATTTCTGTGGCTAAGACATCGTACCAAATGTGACAAGTATGTATATACGTGTCCATAATTTCAGGCATCACATGTTTGTCTGATGTTGAAACAAGTGCAAAGCAGCATGTGCATAAGACTTGGTTGTAACATTTTTGCACTACATACACTTTAATTACTTGATAATACATTTTAATATTCACTGAGGAGCATCTGTGTACTGGGTGTGAGTGGGGTACGATGGTTTATTTAATTGTTTGCCACGCATAAAGCTTATTTATACAGTGGGGAAGAATCCCACCTTTTCTGCACTAATATTTACTTGACATGCTGAAGCGACTTATTTTCTGCCATGCCTGGTTAACTAATGTGTTTTTTATATATACCGTGTCCAGAAGGAGAGGGGAGGAAAGTCGAGTAGATTATTCCTCTGAATTATGTCTGTCTTAAGGGTTTTGATACCATTTTTTCTTGTACATAAAACAGGAGGGGGAAAGTATTTGGTCCTGTAAGAGTAAACACAGTTGTCTCGTCTTGCAATTGTGTGACAAGCATCAATTTAGGATTTCTTACTTCCTCTTCCTTGTCCTGTAGAGTAGGGGTAGGAGAAGAACTGGGGTGCAGCACAGAGAACTGCTCCCACCCAAGTCTCATCAAAATGAAATTAAAGTTGTGCAGCCTTAATGCAAGAGAAGTTTCCCAAGAGGCTTCCATGGGACACGATCCTGGCAGATTGCGCTCTGAGTGATTACGTACATAGCACATTGGAGAGGGGAGGAATTGCCTCTCTTTCCACCCCTCCCATCTCTCTCTCATCTTCTTTTTAAATTTAATGCCAAAATGTTAGCCAAAGAGATCCTTAATATTGATTCAGCATTTCTGTACATACATAGTTCTGCACACTCTGCCCCTCCACCCCCAGCAGACAGGAGATCAGCAGCTTCCAGTTAGAGACTCTGCAGTCATTCTCTCAAGTGGATCTGGGGTTTGCAGCTCTCTTACCAGTCTTATTGTGGGGAAAGTAGATAGTCTCTGTCTGTCTCGGTCATCTTTGAAATATTGACCCTTTTTAAAATGAGAGAGAAAGAGAGAGAAAAGAGAAATGTATCATTTTATCCCATTTTTAATATTTTGGTGTAGCAACTTGTGATATATAGACGATTTTTTGTGGGTTTTGCAAATGCGTGTACAGATTTTGTAAATACGAAACCTTTTGTAATTTTAACGCCATGTACAGTGTAATCCTGTATAGTTTACCAACGAATGGGAAATAGGGAATTTTAGGATGTTTAACTAAACGTTTTGGATCCTGGACCAGTAGCAGGGATAAGTGTGTGTGTGCGTGTTGCGTATATTTGTGGGTATGGGTGATCTCCTTTTCGCCATTTAGTCTTCCTGTATACTGTGACATTCTATACTGTTTTACTTAAAAAGAAATAAAGGAAGCCCCACTGAGAATTTAATGGATAACAGGAAAACAGATTTTTGTTTTACCTTTATTTCTAGATGTTGCTCTTCTTCATAATGTACTGTTTCCCCCCACCCATGATCATTGCTTGCTGAGAAAATCCCCCAATTCTTTCCTTTCTAACATGAATTCTGTTTTTCATAAGCCTCTTGTAAATTATATGAAATGAATAACTAGCATGTACATTGAAAGGACAAATAAAATGAGTCTCAGTTACTGTGTTGTTTAAATACAGTTGCTGAGTGTCTGTATTTTGCAATTAATGATGAGTCTTTGATTTGTTTCCCACCATTGATCTTATGTTTATTATTTGAATTTTGTGTCCTCATCCAAGAAACTCATGATTCCTCCCTTTTACTATATCCTTGGAATAGCCTGCTGAAAGATAGTGATAGGCCCAAGGTCACCCTGCAAGCCCTTTGTGGATAAGTGGGGTGTTTGAATCTGAGTTTCCCCAGTTGTGAAATAACACTGCAACCACTACACCCCACTAAACAGCATCCAGGAGGCGCAGGGCACTGCAATTGAGCTGGCAGTATTGCAGAGTGGCATCTACCTTAATATTTGTAGGGCATGTTGAAGGAAGGAGAAAGTATAAAAGGTCTGCTGGATGGAGCCTACCAGCGGCTCAATGAACCACCAGTGTTCACTGGAAAATTTTATCGATGGCTGAGTTCATTTTGGTGAGCCACATCTTCCCCTGAATCAGTTTTATTGGAACATTTCTTACCCCAGCACATTACATTTGCTGAGGTTAAAAAGATAAATACACCAAATACAGGGCTTTGGCTGGAATTTGGGGGTCTTTTGTCCAAAAAAAATTATAAAATGTGAACTGGGGTGGTATTACTGCACTGAAAGGCTGAAAGATACTATATTATCTGACTGAAAGATGGGGACATGGCTTTCTACCGTGCAGGATGAGAGGTTGTAGGTCAACCTCTGTGTAATTTCTACAGTGACAAGTGCTCCTGGTGTAGATACTAACCCCATTTTTTGATTGAAGGTTAAATTGTAATGCTGTATATATGAAAGGTATATAGCAATCCATAAATGTAAACAACAGAAATCTGTTTTATACAGAGTCAGATCATTGGACCATCTAGCTCAGTACTGTTTACACTGGCTGGCAGTGGATCTCTAGGGTTTTGAACAGAGGTCTCCCCCAGCTTTACCTAGATATTCTGGGGACTGAACCTAGGACTTTCTGCATGCAAAGCAGATGCTCTCCCACTCATCTGTGACTTTCCCCCTAACTAATCTGAGTTCCCTAATCAGTCAGTATTGTCCCCTAAGTATTTCCACAGCATCTTACTTACAGACAAAGCTAACCTCTTCAAGAAATCTAATATCATAATCTTTAATCCCTACCAATTGCTTGGCAGGCTCTTCAGGTGTGCCACTTCAGTAGGAGTGAAAGATAAATATTTGGATGGAGAACATGCAAGATTCTCAGGGAAAGGGTATGTCTGCTTGTGTACATAGTCAAGAATGAAAATGCAAAACAAACCCCAGCCTGATTAAGAGCAATTGTCAGTCACTTTCTCATACTTCATAATAGTGTTTTAATAACATAGGAACAATGAAAATATGCCATATACTAATTCAGGCCATCTGTCCACCTGGCTCAGTATAGTCTACAGAGATTGGCAGTAACTCTCCAGGGCTTCAGGCAGGGGAGATTCCCAACCCTACCTGGAGATGCCGAGGATTGGATGGCACTTTCTGCATGCAAAGCAGATTTTCCACATTTCAAGCAGTCATCTTTCAAAGTAAAGGGAGCTGTGCCTTTGACATGCATATGCAACAGTGCAATGGCGTACGTCAACAGCAACTTACTTGCTTTCACCACAGTCACTCAATGTGTTAGCAAGTTGGATGGGATCACAGAGGCTCATGAACAAAAACTGCATGTGGCATGAATTGCAGAGAGGAGCGATGCCCCTACAGATCCTATTTACTTCCTCATGCAGGCCATTTCCTTCCCCCTTCAGCTGGTCTGGTCCTGTGGGGTAGTATGGTAAGCTGTTCCAGTTCCCTTGGTGTTGTTTGTTCTCTTTCCCTCCCTGCTGCCCTGCTCTTACCATCAGCCTAGCTCGGTATCGCTTCTTCCAGGAACAATTTCCCCCCTAATTTGAAACAGATTTTTCTCTGCAGTGAAATAATCAAGCTGTGATCAGATTTTCAATTGCTGGTGCTAGCCTGTCTTCCTGAATAAAACCTTTTGTTCTATATTCAGTATTGATAGGGTCACGGTGGGGATTTATCACTTTCAAACAATAATTTGAAAGATGGTTGCGGGTTTTTTCTTTCGCTAAGTGCTTACAGCAATGAATATATTAGGATTCCTCACTGAGTTCAAATAGAAGCCAGAGAGACATCAAATGGGTCTGCAGCAAAATGCTGCAGTAAGATGTGTGTGTGTGTGTGTGTGTGTGTGTGTGTGTGAGAGAGAGAGAGAGAGAGAGAGAATGTGCCAACCAACCAGCCACACCCTCTTTGAAGATACTCTCTTCTGTTCCCACTCTCCCCTGAACTACTGCATTGGTGTCGGATCTGACAAAGAAAATGCCTTCTGCTGTTCTGAATGAGATTTGTGTTTCTAGAGTCCACTACACTTCTCAATTTGTGCCTTAGCCCTGAGTGACTTTTTAAGACCAGAAAGGGAGCCGACTAATTGTACAATCCAAGGGATCTGTCTTCATTTTGCCTCATGTTTATATACAGGTAAGTAAAGTAGTGACTTCATTTACAAATCACAATAAACCATAAATCATAGCTTTTAAAAAGCTGTAGTTCAGAGGCTGGGCATTTGCTTTGCATGCAGAAGGTTGCGAGTTGAATCCCCAGCCATATCCAAAGAAGGCTGGCAAAGACTCAGTGTTTGAAACCTTGGAGAGCCACTGCCAGTCAGTGTCGGCAATACTGAGTTAGGTGGACCAATAGGCAGCTCCCTGTGTTGGGGTGTTTCCCAGTGTCTGGGAAGGACCAGAGATTGGTGGTAGAGAACTTTCTTTTCATGCAGGTTCAATACCTGGCATCTCCAATTAGGACTGGGAATTGTCTCCTGCCTGAAACCCTGGAAAGCTGCTGAGCCAGATAGGGCTGGGAAAGATTCTTGCCCCAAACTCAGAGAAAGTGCAACTGTGAAATGCATATGCTGAACCTGGCCAAGATCGGTTTTTAGAACATGTGTGATGTACAGGATCCAGGATCTAATGCACCATGATCTTTTAACATCCGCTGCAAGCTGAGGCTTCCATCTGATGTTTCATCTGAGAGAAGCCGCATTCGTTGTGGATTATATTGTCCTGTGTTGGTTGTATCTGCTTTTAAATGGTAAACACTCTGAAGGGAACATTTGAAAGTCCAATAAATTAAGCAACAGACATTTTTGGAACAGGGTTGGGTCCACCTTGATTACACCAAAATGTCTACGCACACTGTCTTTTATCTCCCTGCCAGATCCTAAACTGCTGTTTTAAATTTGGCACTTTTAAAGATTATCCTCCTGCATTTTGCATTGAGATTGAACATAATTTATGGAGGTTTTGATGAGCTAGGAGGTGAAATGATTTTTGTTTCCTTTTTTTTTGCAAACTGCAGAGTACACAAATGAAAACAGAGTCAGAGTAATTTGATTTGCGTGTTGTAGTGAAACCACAACATAGGACATTCAAATGCAGTGTTTTAGATTGTCCTTGTAATAGCTTTAGGTATATGTGAACAAAGTTGAGTGGGTGTCTGTATAAACAAGCTCTTTCTATAGGCATTTACATCAGAATGGCCCTGCAACAGTGGACCTTCCTCTCAATGCTCTATTATTCCTAACAAATAAATCTGGCAGCATGAGCAGGCATCATTCAGAGCCAAAGCACTGCTCCATCTCACTCAGTATTGTCTATACCGACTGGCAGCAACTCACAAGGGGTTCAGACAGGTCTTTCCCAGACCTATCTGAAGATCTTGAGGGATCAAATCTGGGACTTCATGTATAGCAAAGTCTGTACTCTTTACAACCTTTGCAGACCTTTCTAAACATACATATTCACATGGGTGAATTTTGCAGGCTTTCTTTGAGCATATTCTGAGAATACATATTCCGTATGTTTGGACCTCTGAGAGTTATGCTTGTTAAGTGTAGACAATACTGAACTAGAGGAACCACTGGTTGGACTTCGTAGAAGACAGCTTGCTTCGCCCCTATGTTCCTAAGGGCTGCTTCTGTGGTTGCAAACTAGTTGTGAGCAAACAAAGAGAACTACATTGGATTCCACTCCATATACTTTCCCCACTAACACAAGTGTAGAAATTATGGTTGGCTTAAACAAGTATTTCCATTACTTGATATCTCCGCCTAAAACACTGTAGGTTTCAAGCAATGTTGGATAATGTGCAAGTCGCATCAGCAGTGCTAGGCCTGTGTGATGTTCATTCACTCATGCAAGTCAATCCTTAGGTCGCAGAATCTTTGGTAGGCTCTTTAGTTTTGATTTTCCACCGGAAAGCCTTCTTTACATGCTTCTTTTGGGTGCAAGAGAGCCGTGGGTTGTGCAGCAGGTTCCACATTAGCCAGATTTCAGCTCCCTTCAGGCTGTGGACTACCATGAGATCTTTGTAAAAACAAGGATCAAAGGTCTGCAAGTTTGGAGCAGCAGAGGGCTTGGTTATTCCAAAGGTTTTGAACCCTTCGTGCAAGGTGGGCTTCAGGTTGATTCTTTGTAAGCACATGCCTAGGAAGACATCATCAATAGGAAAGAGTTCTACCTCCCCACAAGCCTGAGAGAGTTTCTTCATGGTGCTGCTGGAAAGTAAGAACCCGCCACCCCCAGCATAGGCTGGATACATGCTGAGCCCGTACATTGTCTCCGGAATGTAGTATTTGCTCTTGCGGGTTCGGATTGGGTGCGCATTATAGATGATGTCCCCAACAAATAGGTCATCGGATGGATCACGCCTCTCCAGGAAGTTGACAATGTTTTCCACGTTGACGAAGACGTCGGCATCGCCTTTGAATATGAACTTAGTACTGAAACAAAACTCACGAGCCCAGCTTAGGAAATGTATCTCCTTCAAGGTCAAATTGAAGAAAGTGTCAAGGAAGTCCCACAACAAGATGTCGCGATACATCTGGCTCTCCTGGTGAACAAGACTCTCCCACGCTGGCAGCGCCGTTTTGTTCTTTGGGACCCCCAGGAGGAAAACCCTTTGCACCTGCGCCCCATTGACTGGCCCTTCTCTTCCCCAAGTTTTCCGTACAATCTCCCGGCGGTCAAAGTCCTCTACCAGTGACTTTATGGCGATGAGCAAGAAGGGGCCCCCTGGGTTCCTTTTGCATTTCTTTGGCTGGTTAATGAGAAGGTCAAACTTCCGGTTGTCTTTGTTCCTCAGGTAACGCTTAAAATCAAAAGCAGGCTGCGTCAAGGGGGGCAGAGTAGTGACCATGGCATCTTGGCTTCCGCCCTCGCCAGGTTTCATTGAAGAAATCATTTTAGCCTTCTCCACTGCAGTCTGTTTCTGGAGGGCGATGGGAACGTGGAAGACCCTACGTGTCGCCATTAATGGTGGCTTCTGACCTTTCACCTTTTCTTCTCTAAGGGAAGTGTGGCCCAGTTGAGAATAGAGCATGGTGAAAAGGACGACCACGAGGACGAGTGTGCAAATGGCATCAGCCTTGAATTGAACTCTCATTGTTCCCAGAACAATGTTCCACTAAGAAACATGCAGTATTGTGTTAGGGGAATTGTCTATAGACTACATCCATCTGCGGAGAAAAGAAACAGGAGGTCAGGGTAGAGTCTGTAGCACATTTAGTTAGTTAAATTTCTCTTCTACATTTTGTTGCAAAGGAGTCCAGGATGCTAAACCACAAAATATCAAAACACTGGTTTTTGTTGTTGTTGAAGACCATTCAATACATTTTAAAACTTCTGGAAACATTCAAAAAGGCACAGTGAATAATTTCAAGGCTTTTGAGAATATTTGAATCATCAAATGCCCAGTTGTTAATAATGAGGGAAACACGTGCACCTCATGAAGAAGGGCACCCATAAATTGGAACCCTCTACCACAAAGATCCTCTTTTAAAGTTTAAACCCTACAAGTTGACTGAGGAGGGAAAGCCAGAGTAAGTGTCACTGTCTGCCCTGGTATAAAAGGATTCAGTCAGGCCCAAACCATTGCTGGTGTACAGTTTTACTAGCTCCAGCTATTGGTGGTCTCAACCAGAGTTGGCATGAGGGGTCTGCACTGGGGGCTCCGAGTTTAAGTTTCCTCACAATTTCATACATACGTTTTAGTAAAGCTTCAAACTTGTTCCCAAGTTTTCTTGATTTCCTCCTTCCTAGAAATCCATTTTCCTTTTGTTTGGTGTCTTTTTTATTGTCTCTTCTTTTTTTTAAGTGACCAGTAAGCTGCTATGGGAGCCTCTCTTTTTTTAGCTGGAGAGTGGAATACAAATTATTTAAATAATAAATAAAACAGTATGTCAAGAAATCAGGTTTTTCCTGTTTAGACCTTGTCCCAAAAGATGTAGCAGTACAAAATCTCTTAATAAGTTGTGTCAGTATAGGGACAGGAGATTGGGTGTGGGGTTGACACTATGGCGAATGGTAAGAACTCCGTATATGCTCAAAAAGATCTTTCCTGCCCCGGATATTACATCCAAGCGTTTTCTGGAACATGATGCAACTTTGTGACCCTGATTCCAGAGCCCAGCAATGTTGACTCCTGGCTCCAATTAAGTTCTGACTTGTTTTCATGCAAATTTGGCCCAGTATTATTTCAGATCTGAGATGCTAATGGCAACCTTAGAGAGAATTTCTGGCTGCTTTTCTCTGTTTAGTTTCATGGACTCAGGCCTTGGAATAAGCCTGGTCCAAGATGGAAATCTGCTGTTTCCATGACTTACAGATACAAGCCTGCCAATATTTAGACCAGCCATCAGCTTAATTTGCGAAAGTCAATAAAATCTGGTTGGTTCAGAGCCCGTAACTTCTTCTACTTATGGGACAGGAGACCCATGAAGCATCATTCAAAAGACAAAACATCTGTTTAACAGCAGCAAAATTACCTCCCCCTCCCTCACTTGCATGCTAAATTCTACTGCTGAAATTTAAAAAGTTGGGGTAACCCAGAATCGATTTCTGGGTGGATGGACTGCAAACTTAATGCAATCCTGATACTCAAAAACAAACTGCTAAGCTCAGAATTCTTTCCTTCTAAGTGTATTTCTTTTGCACCAACCCCCACATACTGGATTTCAGGGAACTAGTAAAAAAAGAGAGAGATAAAATCCTGCAAGCCTGAAGCCTGCCCACTCTGAAACATAGGGCTCTCCTCTATTAAGTAAGACACATGGTCACCCCAGCCAGGTGGACGCCATTCACCGTGCAAAGATAAAAATGTAAGGCAGCCACTTTGGTTCTCCTGTGTGCAACAGGAAATCCCAGAAGGAAGAGAATGATGGAATGAAGCAGATCCAGATGTTTTGCTCTGCCATGACTCTGCATATCTGGCTCATAGCGGGAGGGGCATTTGGGGGCCTTCCGAGATTTGGAGGGGAAGGGAAGGGAGCTCGGGAAATGGAAACAAATATGTTATCTACAGAATAAATTATATTCTGGCATTAACTCCCCCAGTGACCCTGCTGTTCTCACTACAAACCTGCTCTCTGACTGGCCCTTTTGCCTCCCGTCAACATCAAGATCTCCTTCATGACTAAACAACAACAACATCAAGATTCCCTTCCTGAGCTCCAGGCGATAACCCTAAAGCCCATTTTTCTCCTTGTTTAGCCAGACTCCTTCCAACGTGTCTTTTGGGTGGATGCCAGGTTCCACGAAAAATGCAGGCTCTGGATAGACTGTCCTGAGAGCTGTCTTGATGGGCAGGCCGCCACAGAAAACCATCGTGGTAATGCAAAAACAAACTCATAAAACAAAAAATGTCCACTCTACTAGTAAAGGCTTTCTATGTATTCTTCCCCAACTGCCAGAAATCAAAAAGTAAACTCTTTAACTGACATCATCTGAATGCCAGGCAGAATGCCAGCATCCCCATATCATCACTGCCCCTAGCAGGGGGAAGAATTCTGTATTGCAACAGCCCTTCCATAAAAAAGCAAGATATGCTGTGCCTACTGCCCAAATTCCTCTACAAGCACTTTTATAGTGCCTTCGCTTCTGGGAGCAAAAATTGCAAGGTTAGTGCTCTGGCTTATTTAGAAAGGGCTCTGCACATGCCCAGAGGCTTGACCTTACTGATAAGTGAACATGTTTCTAGAGCATGAGAAAGGAAGCCTGAAGTCTGCTCACCCTGGAAGAGAAGCAGGTGGCCCTCCAGATGCTGTTGAACATCTGGATAAGGCTAACAATGACTGCTAGTTCGGATGCCTGCACTGTATACTGTCTGCAGGATCAAGAGTGACATGCCTCTGAATACAGTTCCTGAAGCACCACAGCAGGGCAGAGTGCTGCCGTGCTCAGGTTGTTCAGCATGGATGGAGGGATGTGTGTGGATTAATTGCATAGGACCCAGCAATGGGGAAAATGTTTTCAACCCAAGGGCCACATACTTTCATGGAAAACCACCCAGGGGCTGCTTGCCATCGGAGGGCAGGGCCAAAGGCAACAATGGACCGAGCAATGCACATAGCATAAGCTCTATTTAAGCCACACACCCCTCTCCATCCATCCTTCCAGGCAAGCAAGACACAGGGTCACAATTCAAGGCTGTGTTCCAGTCAGCAAAGCACTCAAGGAGGGGGCAAACAAGGCCTTTGTCTCAGGGATGAATGTCCCAAGGACCAGCTGGAGAGGTCCAAAGTGCTGCATCCTGGTCCTGAGGTTGCTCTCCGGTTCCATAGCATGTACAGTGGTACCTCGGGTTAAGTACTTAATTCATTCCGGAGGTCCATTCTTAACCTGAAACTGTTCTTAACCTGAAGCACCACTTTAGCTAATGGGGCCTCCTGCTGCCACCGTGCTGCCGGAGCACAATTTCTGTTCTTATCCTGAAGCAAAGTTCTTAACCTGAAGCACTATTTCTGGGTTAGCAGAGTCCGTAACCTGAAGCGTATGTAATCTGAAGCATATATAACCCGAGGTACCACTGTATATAGTAGAAGGAAGCTGGCCCATGCAGCTCAGTAATATATTGACTGCCAGTGGCTCTCCAGAATCTCAGAAAGGGGATCTTTTCCCAGGGATTGACTCTGGAATCTTGCCACGCAGACAGAGCATGTGCTTTGCCACCAACCTTGGCTCTTCTCTCTCCCCCCCCCCCATGGAAAATCTGTGCAGGAGGATCTCAATAAAAGCCGCATGCACAAACTTTCTCCCCTCCCTATATATTAATTGCAGCATTTGCACAGTCTCCCCGTCTAGCCGACACAGGTAAGGTATGCCTCTTGCAGTGAGCGAGCCAGATGTGCAGACTGGGGAGGAGGAGAGCTCATTTGCTGCTCATGAATGGCAATGAGAAATCTAACGCAGGCGCAGGGAGGGGGGGAGAGGTTTAGGTTAAAGCTGGAGGGCAGGCCAGCTCCTGTTTGCAAATGGGTCCGTGCAGAACGCTCCCTGAACAAACCGAAAGGCTTGGTACTTACATCCAGTGCAATCTTGTTAGTAGCATTGCATCTCCCTTCGGTAACGTTTGGATAAAAGGTTGCCAAGTAGGCACATCTGGATCCGATTAGCTCTGGCATTCCTCAGCCTCTGATCATATAGCCCAGGAAATCCTAGCTGAGTTAAGCAATCCTGGCTCTCTTGCCTTTCCATGCATTTTCAGGAGAAGCACCCGGATTGTGTGCAAACATGGCTGGGTCCTCCTCCTCTCCCCATGTCTTCTCTCTGTGTGTCTGTGCTGGCAAGAGAGCCCCCTCAGTGGTGTGTTGAGAAACGGAGCTCAGCTGGCCTCCAAGTGCTGGTCACATGACCTGAGCAGATGTTTCTGTCCAAAAAGAGTCAGGAGAGTTCTGGAGAACTCCTGCTTCAGACGCATGCCAACAGCAGGGAGGGGGCGGGAGGCGGAGAAGAGTTGGCCGCACATGCGAAGGGTCCATGTCTGTGTGTGTTCACACAACGACAGATTGCCTCATGAAATCCGGTCAGACTGAGCGCCATCATGCTACACCCCAATAAAGTTAGCTCCTTGTAAAAGAGGAAATGACTAGCGTTGCAAAGTGTCGTTCCAACAAGTTCATTCTTGTATAGCCATTGGGATTTGGGGGACATTGGTTAGTCTACTGACCCCACACTGAGGACAAAATGTGATGTAGTTTGCATTTAAAGGTGGACTTACCTAATTTCCACCTTCCAAAATTATACATGAACTGGATTTTGAATCCTTCAAAATTCACATTTCTCAGAGCTTGGCAATGCACTTTTCCAGCCACATAATGCATCCAAAAAATGGATATGCAAGGGTGAAGTGTGCCTAGATTGGTGGAAATAACATACAAAGATGCATTATATTAAGCAAAATTGCATACCGAAATCAGTATACAGTGGTACCTCGGGTTACATACGCTTCAGGTTACATACGCTTCAGGTTACAGACTCTGCTAACCCAGAAATAGTACCTCGGGTTAAGAACTTTGCTTCAGGATGAGAACAGAAATCGTGCTCCAGCGGTGCGGCAGCAGCAGGAGGCTCCATTAGCTAAAGTGGTGCTTCAGGTTAAGAACAGTTTCAGGTTAAGAACAGACCTCTGGAACGAATTAAGTACTTAACCCAAGGTACCACTGTATTAGGAGAAATTTTCATGAGGACTTAAAAATAAATAAATCACAAACCGATATAGAAATGTGGGGAGCAGGTCTGAAAAACAAGAAACTGAAATAGAAAAGATTTTCCCATCCTTATCCCAGAGTCTGCTTTTTCCTCCTCCTTTTTTTCAGTGGTCTGTAGTTCATCACAGCAGGCAAACTCACAGGCTGCTTCCAGGCCATGTAATTGCTTAAGGTACCCCGCCAGCCCACCAAAATCTGGGCACGTCATCCTTGACTCACCTTGCAGAGGAGCATCTTCTCGCTCTGGCATGCTGCTGTTTCAAGGAAGTTTTAGCACTCAGGAAACGGGAAGAACTGCTTAAAGTGTCTGTTCCACCAACCATTTTATGTTGAAACTAGGTAGCAAGAAAGTGAAGGAAACTGAAATGGACAGATTGGCCCTTCCTAGTACTAGGGCAGATCAAAGCACGTAGTCTTATGGGCGACTAGGGTGGGTACCAAATAATGGTGTATTTCCACCATCTACGAAAAACTTACCTTTTTTCCCAGGCGTTCTCTGACCATCAGTGCCAGTTTTAAACTGCCTTCTGTACCGCCTTATATTTTGCTACAATTGTCTTAATCTAGATGAGGTTGGCAAGCCATGTGAGCAAGGCCAGCAGTCCCTAGGGGTCTCTCCCTCTCTCTCTACACACACACAAAACCCATGTCAGTAAATCCTTTCGCTCATCTTGGACCAAAGTCGTCTTCCCACAGCCAGCTTGAGACTGCTCCAAACTTTCAAGTGCTGCTAAAACTATTTAAAAACATGAAACTCTCTTTTGGATTCCAACAAATTCCCGAGAGGTATCTCCACGGGTGCATTCCCTTTTAAACATTGAGCAGCGTGTTTATTTGATTGTTGCCTGATCTTGCATGTGTTTAAAAATGAAAGCCACAACAAGGTGGGGAGAGACACAATTTGAAGATTGTCAAGACACACATTGAGGAAAGTGCTGCGATATAAAAGCAGGATTCTCAAAAGATACAAATCATGGCATTAAAAATCAGTGTCTATCAGAAGAGAGTATTGTGTAGAAAACCTACAGTGCAGAAAACAAGGCAATACAAAAGTGGTAAAAATACACTTTGCAAAAATATCAGCCTCTACCAATTGTGTTTTAATTTATCTATATTTTCCCCGGAGTTAGGGTTGCTCTTCCACATGGTGAAGCAATTTTGCTGACACTAAAGATCATTGGCTGGATGAAGGAGATGCATACACTGGGGGAAATCCCATGTAAGTTGCCTTGCAAACTTCCATCATGGAAAAGCTCTAATGCTGCTCCCATTGCTTGGAGGAAATCACTTTTCGTTGGGCAATTTTATTGGTTTTTTAATTGTACCATTTCCCATCATGCACTAGATTTTCGGTTCTACCCAAAGTGCAGACTATCTTCCAGAGAAATTAATGCAGCAGAATTGAGTGGTTCAGGACACAGTCAGTGAATACCTTCGTAAACACATATGTTCCCTTTATAACATTTGTAACTGGGCAAGGCAGGAAGGACCCTTGTACTGCCAGACCCTCAGACAGTTTTGGAAACACATTACCACAATACCTATGGTCTAGAGCAACCTTTCTCAACCTGTGGGTCCCCAGATGTTGAACAAAAACTTCCATCACCCCTAGCTAGCAAGAAGAACCGCTGGTCTAGAGGCATTGTGTCCTTAATGAAGCCAAGCTGAATCTACAGAATGATGTTCTTCTTTTAGTCAATTGCCTTTACGCCCAAATGATACGCACCACTTGTCTTTGTTGAGTTTATGTTTTGCGTATGTATTTGTAAAAAACTGAAGACGCCAGTAAATAATGATAAAGGTGATAGGTTTTTAAAATGATGTTTATACCCGTAGAGAAGGGCCAGTAGCAGGGGGAAAGGTCTCTGGCATTGCCAGGGATGGCTGAGAAAGGCTTCTGTCTGAAACTCTGGAGAACTTCTGCCAACTGATGGAGACAATCCTGAACTAAATAGACCAAGGTTCTGACTCAGTACAAGACATCTTCCCGTGTTCTGATTCACAGATTCAGGGCACTAACCATTCCTTCATTTGTATGCTATACCAGATTGTGCCGAAAGCAAAATGGAATGTCAGATGACTAGACCCAGACATTCTTAGCACTAGCAAGGTTGCTTTGTGCATCCTCTGATATCTAGCCCTCGTATCTGCTTCTGGAACAGCTCCCTTTGTGTAGCTACAGGTATTTGTGAATCTCATACATTGTCCATCTTTTGACAATGATGCCCACACAAACAATGACACTTTCACCTGTGCCAGTAAGATAGTACATGAAAAGTGGGCTGCCAGATCTAAGGTTCCCTTCCCTTGCTCTAAGCAATTATTGGACTGGTTTGCACATAATGCTTTGTTTAAACCGTGCTTTCTTTAACAAACCAAGAGTTAACCACAAGTTATCCCACAGACAGTCACCATGGCTTGTTTTTCAAAAGCTTGGTTTGTTTTCCAGCTGCTCTTGCCTTGTGCATTTGTAGCTTACTAAATTTCTGTGATGGGGTGCTCAAACATACCATAGTTAAGGGTGCTAGGTTCACACATAACACTAAGCCATAGTTAAAACAAACCAAGGTTCATAAGCCAACAATAAACCATGGCTTCAGACTGTGGTTTGTTGGCAGTGAACAAACCATAGTTAAGCTGGAAGGCAGGATTTATACATAATGCTACGCCATGATTGAATAAACTATTGGTTGATAAACAGTGGTTTAACATTATGTGTGAAACAGGTATCTATAAATGTGCAGAGGATCCAAGGGAGACAGCTGTCATCATGAACCATGGACAGCTACCAACCCAGCCATGCCTCATTTTCTGGGGGAAATGGTGCTAAAGCAGACACAGCCATAAGACTGAAAGCAAACAATGAGACAAGAGAGAGCCTATTGTTCCTTCCTGGAAGAGAATCTGGGATACAATAATGTCACTGAGGTGGATCCTCTGTGCAAGGAAATGCAGACAACATGCTCCTGTAAGTAAGCATCACAGCAGCACAGTTACTATGACACTCAAGAATAACTCCATAAAAGGTGTAAAATGCTGATGCAGTCTGTTCATGGAAATGCCACCTAGCGCTGGTTCACACATGCAGTTTCAACTCTGCTGACTGCAGCATCAAGTGGGGCTTGTAGGAATGAATAGGTCATTGCAGATCTAATACCCCCTGCCACCCAAAAAAACCCCTTTCCTAGCCCCTATTTCCAATAAGAGTCAGTTCACACATTCAACTGCATGCTAGATTAAGTTATGCCAATGATTTGCAACCCATTGTGTGAACTGGCTGCATTGGAAAGTACCACTTTTTAAAGTTGACTTTGGACAATATGACTGTCCTAGCCAGATCATTAATCTGAGGATAGCTCACTTTTGTATGCACATTTCCATATAACGTCATTATTTGATGCTACAGTCAGTAAGTGCTGAGAACTACCTTTACGCAGGCACAGCCTAGCCAGTTATTTAGACCGTTCCTGAAAGTCACACATCTTTTCCTTTTCCTGCTATTACATTGCTGAGAAATTCTGAAACCATCAAGGCCTTTGTCCAGATGCTACTGTAAGATGAAAGATGTTTCCCAAGACCATCCATATTTCAGCACTGAAGTAGCACACTGACTTTCAGCCTCAGTCCTGTGCTGGTTATTCTCGGGGCAGGTTCTGCCAGTGGCAAGGGCCACAGCTTGTCTGGCATCAAATGGCTACAGAGCGGTCAAGAGGTGTAGAAAGGCACCTGAGTGTGCAGCGTCACTGGCCCTGCAGCTTGTAGTCTCAAGTGAGGACTGCCCCCCCCATGTCCTCTTACAATGTTTTGTCATTCTGGTGGACACTCAGAAGCTCCTCAGCCAAGCTGATGAGGCCATTCTCCTCCAGGGCGGCGACCAGTCTTTCTATGGTGGCTCTCTTGCCTTCTGAGTCAATGAACCTGCGGAGAAGCTGGTACGCTTGCTCATAGAGGCCCTCCCGGTCGTACTCTATGGCCAAGTTGTCGATGACAGGATCCCGAAGGGCCCGGCAGTTGACCTGCAGAGACCGGCCCACCTGCTTCCACTTCTTGGACACGAGTTTGGCAAATGTCTGGTGGTCGTCTGGAGAGATTTTTCTGTTGGCTTGGGAAGGGAACAACAAAAAACAAATCTTAACTCATCCGGGACATGTTGTTCCGTACAAAACAAAAAATTAGGGATGAATCCAAATGAACAGACTGATGTTAGTCAATGGGTTCATTACTTTTAATGGGACTGCTCTAAATATGGAGAGCTCTGGATCCAACCCTCCCAATATGTGGAAACAGGGGACACACCTCACTACCTGCTTGCCAGGACCAGCCCTGGACTGCATGAGACTTCTGAGGTAGAGGATGCTGCTGCTGTTGACCCTACTACTGACCAATAAACCTCCCAAGACCACTGCCTGGGAGAATATCCCACTCAGAGAGACTGAAAGCTTGGAGGAACACAATATGCCCTGACTGGTTTCCAATGGTGGCTGATACTCATTGGGACTGTTGGGACAGAAAGCAGGGATGTCAATAATAGGCAGGGCCAGAGCCAATGGCAGGCAGAGCCAACTAATCTGAGCTTTGTCTCAATCCTTCCTCCTGCGGTGTTTACCAAGGGCAAAACTGAGACTCAGGAAGTCAAAGCTGGCAACTGAGGTCACTCTCTAATACTGGTTGTAAGTCCGAGGGCAGGCAGGCAGGTGGAGGCTGGCTGAGAGCAGGCCGAGGTTGGTTGGGAAGTGTCCTGTTTGCCTTAACAGAGCAGCCTCAACTGCTGGCCACATCCCCTCATTCCTGAGCCACCAAAATCACCACCAAGGGCAAGGCTGAACGGAAGCGATAGCTGGGTGTGGTGTCCATCCAGCAGCAGAACTCTCCTTAAGCCCTATCCATGAGGAGGACACCTGACTCTTCAGCTGCTGTTCCAGAACAGGACCCCAATGAAAGCTCAGGGAAGGGTGAGGCAGCAACACCAACTCTTGAAGCTTCTCAGATGAAACCTAACAGGGGCTCAAACAACATCTAACCTTGCAAGTGCTCCTTGTGTGATTTCTGGCTGGACAACTCTCCTACTATCCCGACTCTTCTGATCTTTTTCTTCCCCTTCAGAAACTTTACAATACAAAACTATAAACAGTAAACAGTCCTGCTGCAAAATAACACCATGTTTTCAGAGTTTTCCTTGAGATGACATAGACAAATTTGTCCAGCTCTCTCCTTTCAGTGCACACCTGTTTAATTTTTTTTGTCTTGTAACCAGTTCTTATTCAAAGTGATCAAGTTCTCCCAATTTCCTCTTGGAAACACTTACCGAACTGCTGGCCCTGGAAAGTGAAGGTGTCTCCCTTTGGCAGAGACCCTGAGATCTCCACAGAACTGTAAGATGGAGGCAGAGAATTCAAAGATGGAGGTGGAGAATTCAAAGATGGAGGCGGAGAATTCAAAGACGGAGGTGGAGAATTCAAAGATGGAGGTGAAGAATTCAAAGATGCAGGTGAAGAATTCAAAGAAGGACCCGTGTTGTCAATCTTGCCCAGAAAGGAACAGTTCCTGAGAGATTCCTCCAGCTCCGTGATCTCTTCATCCCTGAGACGGTTAGGCTGAAATAGAGAACCAATGTAGTATAGTGGTTAAAAAATGCTGGTCTAGACCCTGGGAGACCAGGCCTCAAATGCCCACTTGGCGAGGAAGCTCACTGAGTGACCCTGGGCCAGTCACTGCCTCCCAACCTAGTCTACCTCATAGGGTTGTTGTGAGGATAAAATGGGGAGGGAGAGAGAACCATATACACTGACTTGAGCTCCATGGGGGAAGGCAAGATATAAACATAGTAAATACAATAAGTAACATACCAAAAAACCCACAAATCATCTGCCCCATTAATTTTACCTGCAAACTAGCTGGTTCAGTAATAAGCCCTATTAAAAAATCAGCATCCATGATGTGTACTGTGTTAGATCCTACATTCAGGTGTGCTGCCAAATATATATATTTGGGCTGCTTACTGGGCTCTGGGTAGGTTGCGGGAGGGCCCTGGGGTGCTCTCAGCACCAGCCTGTAACCTCCCCAAAGATTAGTAAGCAAGGAAAACCCACTGAGTGTGTGGGCAGAAAAAAGCAAATAAATGGAGAGCAGGGAACAGCAGGTTTTCCACACTCTTCATTTATTTATTTCACCCCACCACCTGCATAAGCTTTCACTCACGTATGTAAAGTGAGTGTGAGTTGTGGGCCAACTCAGTTCCCTGAGAAGGTAAGCTGTCACTTAAATAATAATAATAATTCTAGTCCTATTTGTTAAAGAACAGAGTTCAAAGTGGATGAGCAATGCCTGCTGAGATCTGTGAAGAATTGCAGGGCTTGTGGGTGGGAAAAGATGGGGCTTCAATGCCCCGCATTGTTCCTTGCCTTTTCCCAGAAAGAACCATAAAGACATATTATGCCAAAGAAAAGTGGGCACATTTGCCCAAGCTGCAGAATCTAGCTTTCCTTGACACAAAACTCGGACGGTACGCATGCTGAATTTTCCTCTTAATTATCTAACTTGGACGCTAAATAGCAGGAGTTGGGAAACTCTGGCCGGCAGACCAAACTGGGTGCAGCACAAGTCCCAATTGGGTCCACAGGACTGCTTCTCCCAAACTATTCCCGCCCGTCCCACACGGGACGTCATTCGTGATGCCCTGTGTTCAGCCTTTGGATGAGCACAGGCCTGGCCACGCCCCTTGCGCTGAGGTTCCCAAGTGCCCAGCTGGCTCTCAGGTTCTTGGGAAAGCTCTGGACAAGAGACTTTGTTTGGTGGGTAAATCAATCCACCTGTCATGTATTGGATGTCAAAACAGGTGATTGGCTGGTGGGCTGTCCTGCACACCTGTCTAAGTTGGCCCACAGGGACAAGTAACAATCCAGCTCACCCAAAGGTTCCAGGCTCCTGCCATATAGCCACCCACGCAGCCCAGCATTTCTCTCGCTCGCACCTTTTCATGGTAGATGCACTCAAGGCACCGCTTCTCCTCCCGGATCATGGCGTCCAGCTTCTCGGCGCCAGTTTTCAGCTCCATCTGGACAGGGACTAAGGTGGACATGGACAAGGAAAGTTTGAGGTGATTCTGGAGGGAGTCTTGGAGGTGTCCCTCACGATAGCTTTGCAGGAATCTCCGGCAGTTCTCTTCCTTGCAGAATTTGAGCTGGATTATCAGGTGAGGGTCGCTGCAATGGACCTTCAGCACGTCTACTCCGTTGAGGCTACCCGTTGAATCTGGGGAAGAGAGCGGGGAGGAAAGTTAGCGGTGGCTGTCAGGTTTTCCACTTACCAAACACAAGAAGCCACTTTGTGCTGTCAGACCACTGGGTTATCAAGCTCTGTACCTTCTACACTGAATGACAGCAGCTCTGCAGATACAGTATATATTTTTCAGTTGTGTTTTATGCTGTTAAGTCATCTTGGGCTCCCTTTCAGGAGGAAGAGCAGCAGATGTCAAGGAAATAAGCAACTATTTTACTTTTAAAAGACAACTGTTTAGGTAAGTTTTTAATGTTTGATGCTGTATTTTTTTAATATTTGGTTGGAAGCAGCCCAGAGTGGCTCGGGAAACCCAGCTGGATGGACGTGGTATAAATAATATATTATTATTATTATTATTATTATTATTATTATCATTATTATCATTATTATCATTATTATCATTATTATCATTATTATTACTACTACTACTACTATTATATAAATTGAATAAGTTTTGTATAATCTTCCAGAAAACAAGCAAACAAACACACAGAGAGAAATAGCACATTTACAAGAAGACCTAAAGTGATGCTGCAAGATAGGAGTGCGGACAGAAGCCTCTCTATGTTCCACTTATTCTTATCTTTATGACTAAAGTAAAGGAGACCTTCTAGGCCTGTAAATTCTACAGGCTGGGAAAGAGACTTCCCTGGAGAGTTCCAATGAGTGGAAGTCTCTTAGCAAACAGCGTGGAAGACAAATTGCTGTGTTCTAGAACTGCAGGGTAGTATGCAATGTTTGAGGAAGGAGTCGAGCATTTCGGCGGAGCATCTGCTTTGAATGCAGAAGGTCCCAGGAAGGGCTAGAGAAGACCTGCGCCTGAAGCCCTGGAGAACTGCTGCCTGTCTGTGCAGACAATACTAAGCTAGGTGGTCCAATAGTCTGACTCAGTATAAGATGGTTTCCTAGGCTTCTGTTTAAACCAGGACTGGAATCTCCCTTTATTTTTAGGGCCGACGTTGTAGCTCAGAAGCAGAGCACCTGCTTGGCATGCAGAACATCCCGAGTTCCATCTCTGGCATCTCCAGGTCTGGGACCCTGGAGAGCTGTTGCCAGTCAGAGTAGTCAGTACTGAGCCCAATGGTCTGACTCACCAGTTTGTAAAGGTTTGGACTTGGAGAAGCTTAAGTTCCAAGAGCAGCTCAGATGTAGGGATGCTGAGTGACAACAGGCAAATGATGCTGTTCTCAATGAGTTGCTGTCTTGGGGCACTAATGGCAACACAGAATACATACCCGCTAGAGCCAACTTGAGTGCTTTGAACACGCAGGGCTTCTGCTTTGGGTCTCCATACATCACAGGAAGAAGGACATTTTCCGATGTTGACTGCACAAACAGGTAGGCGCTTCCCACCCAAACATCAGAGACGTCTCCCATCTTTCTGTCTCCAAAAGGAAACGAAAGAATTCGTTGACTTTTTTTTATTTAACAAGATTTATATAGCACTCAATCCAAAGATCGCTACATACAATAATATAAACTATTCATATAAAAACCAAACTTTTAAAACAAATGGATGTGAGATTCATACCAGGGGTCAAATCCCCACTCAGTCATAAAGCTCACTGGGTGACCTAGGGCCAGTTATCATCTATAGTATTAGCCGAACCTACCTCACAGGGTTGATGTAATCAATCAATCAATCAATCAATCAATCAAATAAATAATACGGGAAAATCTTTGGGGGGGCCAGTGCTATCACACAATTATTTTAAGGGTGGCTTCCTGGACTCGCGCCAAAACAGACTCCATAGGGGGCTTAGCCCATAATTGATCCCATTGTACTTCTTTGATGCTTCTCTTAAGGTCCTTTCCCCAGGCTCATGTATATATTGTGTATCCCCCATAAACAAGTCTAATAATGGCTTATATAAAGCAGAAGGCAGTACATATTTGGGGACCTATAACAAAAGGATCCAACTGTTGCCAGAGTCCCAATGTCTTCTCCTTTGCCTTGCAAGAGGTTTGTTTATAGAACCAGCTGTTCTGAGAGGCCATGTTCAGCACTATCTGACCTTGTGTCATCAGCACCAATACAGTGGTACCTCGCAAGACGAATGCCTCGCAAGACAAAAAACTCGCTAGACGAAAGGGTTTTTTGTTTTTTGAGCTGCTTCGCAAGACGATTTTCCCTATGGGCTTGCTTCGCAAGACGGAAACGTCTTGCAAGTTTGTTTCCTTTTTCTTAACACCGTTAATACAGTTGCGACTTGACTTCAAGGAGCAACTCATAGAACGCGGTGTGGTAGCCTTTTTTGAGGTTTTTATTTTTTAAAAAAATGATATTTATTGAAAAGAATTTTTATAAAAAAAATTACACAAAAAAAAGACAAGACAGAAAAATAAAATAAAACCATCATTCTCAAGTTCTCCACTTTCAATACCTTCTTTCTTTGACCTCCTCCTCCCTTTTCTTGTATCCTGATTAATAATAATCGCAGCAAATCCTTTCCATATTTCATAGTATTCTGTCATTACATTACCTTAATCTATTTTCATCTTATCTTATAGAAAACCTTAAAGTTTAAAACTTAAATCTTATTTTTACCAACTTCTCCTAGCCATAACATTCTTACCAAATTCTTTAAACATTTTTACAAGAGCCAAGTAATTTCATTTCAACATTTTTCTAGCATTCATCAATTTTATAGAACAATCCTAATGATAAAAAAGAAATAAACAATCCAATCTTCATCCAGCGTCCCTTCCTCCTGGTCCCGGGTTTTGTCAGTCCTTTTTATCTTATTAATCTAGCACATTAACCTGGTAATCTTATATCCGAAGCCCTCAAGTCTCTTCCATGTCCCTTCCGCAGCTCTTCTTCATATTTTCCTTTCATTCGTGGGAACTCCAGCTTGGTAATGTTTTTGACCCTTTTCAACAAATCAGCCCCTTTTCCATAGTCCAGACTAGACTCCATGTGGTATTTAAAAACATGTTTCAGATTCCCTCCAAAATTAAGAGCCCCCACAGCTCCAAACATCTGGCGGCCCATTGCCAGACTCGAAAAATCCAAATCTCCCTGTATAGGGGGGTCTGTCCAACCCCCCATTTCCAAACCAAACCAAACTTTGTCTTTCCAAGTCTGGTTTTTTCCAAGTTCATTTATCAAATCCAAAAATTTAAGTTCCTGCTGGGCCGCAGCTCCCTCCGTCTCTGGCGCCCAAGATTCAGCAGCATCCTCTTCTCTCAACTGTTCTGTCATGGCACACTCCTGTTTTAGCTCCTGGGTGGGCTCCATATAATTTCCCACTACCTGTTCAAAGGTTCTGGCCGCATTAGTCATCAAATCCGTCTTCTGGCTTAACTGATCCAATAGGGCATTTATTTTGCAGAGAGCACCCAACAGTGCTTCTGAAGACATTGTCCTGCAAGGTCACAAATCCTTTCCCACGGTTGTAATCTGTGGCAGCTGCAAGCTCCCAGGAATTAGTTACAATTTCACAGTCCCCCTCTAGGGGGAAATCTTCTGGTTGTTCTTTCTTTTAAAAACAATAGCAAGAAAGTTTCTTTTTTAAGGTATTTTGTCCATATTTGTTCTTTTTAAAATGCGAAAGGAAACAATGGAATCACTATGTTTCTCTTCTTTTAACTATCTGTCAAAGACATTTGTTTCTGGTCAATGAGCTTCAAACGTCAATTCTGACACCCTGCTCCAGGATCAGGACGGTGGAAAATTACTTTGCTTTAAACTCACTTCTGCAGGTTTAAACAGCCCAAAAAATATCCCCCTTCTTCTGCTGCTGCCGAAGGGGGGTTCAGCGATTTTAAATTATGAAAGCCAATCCTTTGAAAGTGATTTTTAAAGCTCTAGTTTACGTTGTCTTTGCTTTATTCTGGCTACAAGGAAACGGAAGGCTGACTTCCTGTTTAGACCTTCCCGTTTCAGTACCAAATTGAAGTAAAATTTTAAAGTCCAAATTCCTTTCTATTTCGCCAGTTCTTATTTAAAGTCCAAATGTTCAATGTTCCAGTACTCACGGGTGGTTATTTTAGATGCCAAATTGTCCCAGGAAAAGGCAGCGCTCTCCGGCAACGGCTATGCGGCTTCGGTCCGCAGAAAAGCAATTGACTCACAGCACCGCGCCACTTCCCCCTCTTCGCTTGGGAGCCCGTTAGTGGGTTCCTTTGCGGGTTGGGGGGGCGCTAAGGGTGCCCGCCGAGTCCCACGGTCACAGGCTTCATCCGCCTGTGATTTCCAGAAGGGTCCCCGCTTCGCCGTAGCGGAAAAGACCCGTTTCATGCGGAGCTGGTCCCTCCAGTTCCGAGGGAGTCCACCATTGCCGATGGCGCCACCCCAGAAGTGGTTTTTTTCTTGAGGTTTTTAAAGACTTTGATGATTTTTGAAGCTTTTCCAAAACTTTCCCGACACCGTGCTTCGCAAGATGAAAAAAATCGCAAGACGACAAAACTCGCGGAACCAATTAATTTCGTCTTGCGAGGCACCACTGTATCACATTTCTTGTTTGCTCAAATTTGCACCTCTAAACAGAGAGAGTGTGCCACATTTTGGTCAGGTGCACCTAAAAGCAAGTCTTGAAATGTATCAAATGCAAAATAAATGAATGAATGAATGAATGAATGAATACTGCCTCCTCATTTCCCCAGCCCAGCAATACTAGGAAAATATGTTGATCAGACTTGCAGGGTTGTTGTAAAAAATCACTGAGATACTGTATAAGAAACACTCCGAACAAAGTTCTATATACCTGCTAAATAATACTTCGAATATATATATATGCAATATACTTCTATAGTATATTGTATTTTAAAATGGGGTTTCAGAGTTTTTAGGGGGTTTTGAATGTTTTATGTAGATTTTCAATTTCATTGTTCTGTATGGGACAGTGACAATAAAGATATCGTATCGTATATCGAAGTGGTGGCATTGATTTTTATTGCCAAAGCAAAACGAACACTTCTCCGTTTCTCTTTTCCAGGTTTTTACCGATCAGGACAAACCTGACCTGCTTTGATGAGTGCATTTATTCCGGATTAAGTAATCCAAAACAGACACACATCCGCCCCCCAGTTTCGTAAACCGAAGTTTCTAAAACGGGTAGGTTCCTCGCGGGTCCCTAGAAGTACGGGAATATCCCACTTTTTCTCTCTTGAACCCTCTCAAAATCCTTTTGTTACAAAAGTGAGATCCCCATCTGCACAAGGTACGTAGGAATGTCAGGTCCGATCCGTCCCTCGGGCCGCGCAAGCGAGCAAAACATGCCCGAGCCCAGTTCCTGGAACGAAGCCGCTTCCCGGAACGCACGGAACCGAAACTGGCCTCTTGGGCCTTGGCAAATGAAAACGGATGAATTGCGCATCGTCGCTCCACTCCCCACCCGCACCTTTCTGAACTTGGAGGGAGAGCCTCGCCTCTCCTCCCCACTTTTTAAAACTGGCCACTTTAAACTTGGAGAAAACTCCTTGCCACCCACTTTCTCCGTAGGCGAAATCTCCGCGCTAGGCAGCGGGAGGCACGGAACGATTTGGGCCAACGGGGCTCCCGATCGCTACCTCGGATCGAGTTGTCAGCAGCCGGAGCCTGCGCTAGCGCCCACCCGCTTTCCAAGACGGAGAGCGACCATTACCTCTTCCCTTTGCCCGATCCTGGCCGGTCCTCCTCCTCCTCCTCCTCCCCGCGCGCAAACAGAGTGAGCTACAGCGCGCGTCTTCCGCCTTTGCGCATTAGCCGCTCGGAAAGAGCAAAAAAAGCACTTTGCACTTTCCTGATCATGTGGCTATTAAAGGAAGATGACCCGATCCCTGAGCAATGACCGCCCCCCATATGCCAGTCACTCCCCCACCCCCATATGCTCTCTCCCACCCACAAGACCCACCCCCCCGACTTTCAAGCTTGCAAAGAATTCACAGGATTGTTTTTGCAGTTCGGGGATCTGGGGAAAGCCTAATTCCAACCTGGTGGAGTTTTTGCTTTTTCCTTTTTGGCAGTTTTCTCCCCGGAGAAGAATGAACCACAGTCTCTCCCCCTCCAAACGTGGGTTGCGAGAGGCAACGGTGACCGGCTGGCGGACCTGCCAGTCCAAATCGAGCACCGCTTCCCATTGGGCTGCTTGTTTGGAAGGTACCGAAGGATCCGCCCCGTTTTTATGCACCAGGAAGTTCAGGCTGCCAATCAGTGGGCGCCCCGAACCGTGGCCTTGACAGGAGAGGCCGCTTGGGGGCTGGGGTCGTCTGAAATCAGGTAAGGAACGGGGTGGGATTTCAGTTCGTCCTTGGCTGCAGCTCACAGCACTGACCAAGGTGCTGTTTGATCGCCTTGTTTTTAGAAAGCAAAAGCGCCGTGTCCCAGAGCATCAGCAGAGTGCATATGCTCGCATAGATTAATTCCACTCCGGCTAGGAGGAGGAGAGGAGATCTCTCAGTGCTCTTGGGAAGATTTGCTAGCGGAAAGCTGCTCCAAGGCAGAGAGGGGACTGCAGAGGGGAAAGGAGCCTGCCCTGCTGCGCTCTCGGGGGCAGGTTGGAACTTGCTGGCGGGCTGTGATGACTAATGATCATCAGGAGATCGTTTTGAGGAGCGCTGTTAGGTATCCCCTGTGCTGTGGAGGCTGTTGCCGGTTCCATGCTTTGGAACATTATTCTAGCAGAGATGCAACAGGCCACCTGGCTTCCGACTTTCAGGAGTCTCTTTGAAGACCTTTTTGGGGGGGGGCAGCAGTCCTATGCGCAGTTGTTTTTAAAAATTCTTGAGGAAGGCAGTCATATTAATGATTTTTCTGGGGTTTTTTTATGTTGCTGTCCATTGCCCTGATATTTTATGAAAGATGTATAAATCGGCCCACTTTTGTGGAATAATCTGCCAATAGAGATCCAGCAGGTGCCTTCAGTTTTAGCTTCTAAGTGCCTCCTGAACATTTTTCTTTTCCATTGGGCTTAACGCAGGCAATTAAGATCACATATTTCCATAGCTGTTGGCTGATTTCGACGTTTTTGTATGTCTTTCTTGCTGTATTTTATGGGTGGTTTTTTTTTTTAAAAAATGAAGTATATAAATATTTTAATAAAGAGCATTCAATCACAGCAAAACAAACAAACAACCCTCTACCTTGTTTGAGAGGCCAGCTGCTTAGTATACTTTTGGAATGAGATTTTGGCGTTTTCCTGGGAAAAAACAACCACCTGCTGTCTCCAATAAGGGGAGGTCTGCCTTGTAAATGATGTTAACATGTGGTTTTCATAAGTCTTTCAGTCCATCTGTCATTCTGTGGACAGCCTTGGGCAGCAAGTGTCTCAGGAATCGCGCTGCCAGTGCATCAGAGGTCAAGGATAGCTCTCACAGCCTTGGTTTAAAGCATTACTGGCAGGGCTGTAATGACTGCACTCCTAAGAAAAAGTCTGCCCTGCAGAAAAGTTTAAGAGAGAGAGGGTTGGATTTTTTTATTTCTTAATGCTGGGTGGGTTGCCCTTACAAGTGATGTTCCTTTAGGAGCTGCACTGCCTCTCTGCATCCTTGCTTCTGCAACTCCATGATACCAATTGAACCTCTATTTTTATCCAACAGGATATTAAAAACACAAGAAAACATCAAACATTAAACATTTCCCTAATCAAGGCTGCCTTCAGATGTCTTCTAAAAGTCAGGTAGTTGTTTATTTCCTTGACATCTGATGGGAGAGCATTCCACAGGATGGGCGCCACCACCGAGAAGGCCCTCTGCCTGGTTCCCTCGCAGGGCTTTAGGGCTTTAAAGGTCAGCACATTTAAAACAGCACAATTAACAGGATAGTAAAACATTCTCATATCCCCATATTGGGAAGGTTAAGGAGTATTGGTTAGGGCAGGGTTGGGGAACCTCCCGTCTGCAGGTAAAATTTGGTCTGCCAAGCCTCCCTGTTTGGCCTATGAGGCCATTTGAGGTAAGCCATGCCCACTTGCCTACTCCTGTTGTCATATATGTCAGGTGTGGGCCAGCTAAGGCAGGGCTTGGCCCAAAGGGACTTTCCAGGCACCGCCTACTGTAAGTGCCATCAAAACCTCCTGCACAACACTTCCCAAGAGCACCTGGCAACCACCGGGTTGTCAGGTGCTTGGAAAGCGCTGCACAAAGTGCCCTGCAAGCTCTGTTTGTGGCACATGGGAAGCACTGAGCACATCAAATCCCTGCTCAGCCATGACGCTCATTGGGTGCCCTTGGGCGCCAGTCACTGCCTCCCAGCCTAACCTACTTCACAGGGTTGTTAGGATAAAACGGAGAGAGGGGAGACCTATGTGCACCGCCTGGAGCTCTGCGGAGAAAAGGTGGCATTTAAATGCAATAAGTAAATAAATAACAACGATTGAACAGAAAGGCAGCAATGCTCTTTCTTTTAAAGAAAGAATTCCCCTTCAAGAGCCACTGGGAACTTCCAGCTTCTCATGGAAAGAGCAACATATAAACTGTTTATTCTCCTCTCCCCACCCTGGGGTTTGCTTTTATGTTATTTTATTTCAGAATTCTGCCTCTCCCTTGCTGAGTCACTGACAAGGAATTCTTGGGCAGAGGCAGCAGAAATCGCTAACGGTTACCTTGACTCATCATGAACTTTACCTTGGGGTGGGAGAAAGCCACTCCTTTCTCAACAGTGCAGTAGTAAAATTAACTATCTGGGGCAGGGGGGCGGGTGTTGGGGGAGGGATGCAAGTGTAAATGTGCAGTGGGAAATTTAGATTTCTCCATGTTTGTTTTGGACACGTTTTGTTTCAATTGTTGTGCCATATGCTGATCTTTTCATATGCAAAGTCATCTTGTCTTTTTAATCAGTGAGCAAAAGGATGTTACGATTACTAAGAGCTAGCATGGGTTTCTCAAAAACAAGCCATGCTAGATGAATCACATTTCTTTTTTTGATAAGAGTTACAAGCTGGGTGGATCAGGGGAATGTGGTGGGCGTGGCATATCTTGATTTCAGTAAGGCCTTACACAAAGTCCCCCATGATGTTCTTGCAGAGAAGCTGGTAAATTGTGGCCTAGAGGATGCTACTATTAGCTGGATTTGGAGCCAGTTGACTTACTGAACCTAACAAGGGGTGACTAATAGTTCCTGTCTTCTGAGGGGTTCAACCTGTTGTAAACAAAAATTGCCCTTTTTCCTTATGGGGTATCCAAGAGCCCATATAGAGTCCTATTGGTAGGAAAGAATAACAGAGGCCAACCAGAGAATATTGAGAAGCAAAGCAGCTAGTAAGCTTGATCTTTATTGATCTGTTGCAACAGGGTGCTCCCCTCACCCACAGGAGAGGAGGAGGAACCCAGAAAAATGGTGTGCAAAGCCTTATAAAGACTTTTGAAATTGCCACCCTGTAGATCAAGACCACTCCCAGAAACATCATACATACATCACAGAAAAGGCGGTTTAAACAGAAATTTGAATGCTGTTTATCTCCTGTCTAGCAGGTTACTTGATTGGATTGCCTTGGGAGCCTGGCCAATCTTTTGTAATGATAAATACTTAGTTCCTGGGCCATGTCACAGGCTCACACCCTATTCAAACACAGACATACCCTTAAGATAGGATTTGTGAAGGAAAAGACAATGGGGAGGCTTTTCCATTTTCCTTTGACCTTGCAGAGAAAACATTTGGTCAGTTTGGGACAGTTCGATTCGAGAAAACATTTGGTCAGTTTGAGACAGTTTGGGAATCAAAATGGTTCCAGGTCGGTCTTCCTGTGCTGATCTATGTATGTGCGGCTATGAACATTACCATATATCTAAGACTTCAAAATTCCTATCATAGACCTATCTCTCCCTGCTTTGTGTTGTCTGCAAAGGTGATCAAGATTCACCCCAACCCTTTATAGAAGTCAGGGAAGAGAACCTTTTTCAGCTGAGAACCTCAGACATGGATTTTTAAAATGGTGAGAAGTACCAGGGCAAGGCGATGACCCACTCAAAACCTTCCTTCAATGCCCTGGTTTGTGGAGTTTCCTTACAGCTCAATAGAGCCATCTGATTCTGTTGCTACTTCACTGGTGTTTGTTAAAAAAAAAAGTGCCCCCTCCCCTCCCCTGCGCACATTGACTTGCTAGATCCTTCCCCCCTTCCAACTTTTGACACAGCACATGAATGAGGCCTCCTTTTTATATGAGGAGTGGCAAAAACGGTGGGTCAAGGAGTGTTTAAAATCAGGCACAACTTCCTTTTGCGTAAGCCTCCCCCCCCCCCCTTGCTTTAAAAAACAACAACCTTGTACTGAATACAAGGAAGTGACTTCATGGTTTCAGAAAGGAAACAGAGTTTATGGGGCTTTCCTGTTGCAGATGCCTTCATTGTGACCTTTGAGAGAGTGACTGATCTCTTTGTGCCCGGGAGGAAAGGAGAGAGCACATGGTGGCTTGAGCAGGCAGAAGAGGAAAGCACATCCAGGGGCTCCTGGTATGTATGATGCAAAATACTCTTTCCTGGGTATACAACTGCTTAGCAGAGGAATGGTGCTTCCCTCTCCATCCCTGAGGTGCCTAAAAATAATGTGAGCATTTCTACTCAGTCTTACTTTTTCGAGAGCCGTAGTTCTGCATGAGAGCCAGTGTGGTGTAGTGGTTAAGAGCGGTGGACTCGTAATCTGGTGAACTGTGTCCCCGCTCCTCCACATGTAGCTGCTGGGTGATCTTGGGCTGGGTGACCTTGGACTTCTTTGAAGTCTCTCAGCCCCACTCACCACACAGAGTGTTTGTTTAGGGGGGAGGAAGGGAAAGAAGAATGTTAGCCGCTTTGAGACTCCTTCGGGTAGTGATAAAGCGGGATATCAAATCCAAACTCTCTTCCATTCTGCCAAATGCAGCCACCCAGTGCCAGGAACAGAGGAACTTATTTTGCATGCGAGAATTCCTAGATAGCAGCTCCAGGTATGGCTTGGAGATAGGCAGCCTGTAGACTCAAGGCAGACAATACTGAGATGGAAGGTCTGCCTCAGTATAAGGCAACTTCATCCGAGCCTCTCTCAGAGGGGACACCTGGAAAAGGGCTTCAGGTGAAGGTTGAAGGGTCCTGGGAGGTTCATACTGAGAGATTTAGGCCAAAATATATTTGGGTCCCAAGCCTGGAGATCTGTTCCACACAGTACTATGTAGGAAGTGAGCCTTTAGTGTTGTAGCACCTGCCCTTGGAATGCCATCCCATTAAATATTAGGCGACATCTCTGTTGTCTTTTCAGCAGCTACTGAAGACCAGCTTCTTTCAACGAGCCTTTTAAAGCAGGGCTATTTCCCAGTCTGTGTCTGTCCTGGACTTGTACTTGCTGCCCTGGGTCCCTTTAGTAAATAAATAAGTAAAAAAAACCAAGGTAATTTCCAAATGAGATCAGGTTCAAGTCCTAACTAGACTACTTACCTTATTTTTCACCCTATAGGACGCACTTTTTCCCCTCCAAAAATGATGGGGAAATGTGTGTGCGTCCTATGGGGCGAATGTAGGCTCCTTGGCTTCAGCGATAGCAACGCGAAGCCTCCAAAGCCTGCGCTCCGGAGGCTTCGCGTTGCTTTCGCTGAAGCCAGGAGAGTCTGCTCTTTGAGGCTGGCGGTGGGGGAAAGCAGCGCTTCCCCCCATCGCCAGCCCCAGAGGATCGGGGGCAGCGGGAAGGTGCGCGACGCCTTTGCGCTGCTCCCCAACCCCGCTTTGAGGCTGGCGGTGAGGATGGTGGCGCTTCCCCCCATCGCCAGCCCCACAAGCTGGGTTGAAAAGCCCGCAGGAGCCGCGTGTTCTTTAAAGGCTGCGTGGCTTCTGCAGGCTTTTCTATGAGGTGGGGGAATTTCCCCACCTCACAGAAAAGACCGCAGGAGCCGCACAGCCTTTAAAGAGCATGCAGCTCTTGGGGGCTTTTCCCCAAGGAGGGAGAAGGGACTGACTGGCTGAGTCAGTCCCTTCTCCCTCCTGGGGGCTTTACGGGAGATGGGGAATTCCCCCACCTCCCGCAAAAGCCGCGCACCCTTTAAAGGGTGCGCGGCTTCTGCTGGCTTTTCTATGAGGGGGGGGGAGGCCGCTCTTGGGGCCTTTTCCCCGAGGAGGGACAAGGGACTGAATGGCCGTTTCAGTCCCTTCTCCCTCCTGGTCGAAAAGCCCGCAGGAGTTGCGTGTGGCTCCTGTGGGCTTTCGTGGGAGGTGGGGGAATTCCTCCACCTCCCGCAAAAGCAGGGAGGTGGTCTTGGAGTAGCGCACAGGCTGCGTGCAGCCTGTCCACTGCTCCCAGATCTGCGCGGGGGGAAATCATATTTTTTTCCTTGATTTCCCCCCCCCCCCTGAAAACTAGGTGCGTCCTATGGGCCGGTGCGCCTTATAGGGCGAAAAATACGGTAACTCATTGGCATTTATCTGCATTCAAAGCATCTGCCCTCCCACTGAGCTAGGGAGCAGGCCACCCAGTGTTGAGCATTCATGTTTTGAATTTGGGTGGGTTCAGCTTTCCTTCTGAATTTAATCTTGCCTCCATCTAGGATAGTTGCAGATGGAACCTGCAGCAAAAACAACAACCAGTTGACAAGGGAGGTGGCTTCTTTAGGATTTGGCAACAAACACTGAATAGGGAACTCTTGTGGATATTCGTATGATTCCTCCTGCCTGACTTTTTACTGAATGATGTCATTGATTCTCTATCTGCCTCCAAGGCTTAGTGCAGACAACCAGGTTGCCAACTGATGGAGTAACTTTGCCCTCTGGATATTCACACAATGACATGTTCTTGTGAAGGGTGTCCATGTGATAAGTTCATAAGTTATTGCATGAAATGTTTTACCTGACGACCTAACTATGTGTAGCCCCTTTTCACAATACTAATTTGCCTGCTCAGAGTCATGTCCATTAACTTCAGTGGGTCTGAGTAGGACTAGCATTGGGTACCACCCTTTGGCATTTTTCACCTCAGGAATAATGCATCGTTTATTGTGGTGTTTTCCTGGACTCCTTCATGTTATTTCTGTTTATTTCATTGACTGATTTTTGTTCATCTTGGGTGCGTTTGTTTTCCAGCAAAGAAAGCTACATTCCCAAATTTGCAACCAGCTGCCCTAGGAGAATGCCGGTGCTGGCCCCAGACGCTTGGAGCTACATCCCTGAAGAAATCCTGGCCAATATATTTTACTACTTGCCTCTTAAAGATCGGCACACAGTATTCCGTGTGTGCCGGCCCTGGGCTGCGGCAGTTTCAACCAGCTCCGTCTGGAGTTTTACAGAGGTCAGGTAAGAAGGGAGAGCTTAAAGTACAGCCTCTGTTTGAAGGTCTCCTTTGAAGAAGAGGCCACCACCTCCCGAGGAAGCCTATCAAGTGCCTCTTCCCATTTGGAAGTTTATCCTGTTGTGCTGCAATTGGTTCTGGTGGAGCAGAAGTAGCCTACAGTGTCAGATCTTTATCACCTCACCCCAAGAGGCCAGTTTTCAAGTGAGGGGTGTGGAGAACAACCCACTTGTCCATGTTTGATGGCATCTTGACATCAAATGATTGGCAGGTGGGTTGTCCTATCCATATGCAGACATTGGCCCAAGGTGATAGAGTGGGTGGGACCTGCTGCCCAAGCAAGATTGAACTCCCTCGTCAACTCAGTCTTGCTTCTTGCAAGGTTTGGACTCTCTAGCCAGTTCTCAGCATAGAGCTGGGGCCACCTGAGGCTTTCTGTAGGCTGACAAGGCTTCTACTGCAGCCACCCCTTGCCCTCCTTGAGGAGCTGGTTGTGCTGGCTTAAAGGTTCCTTGGCCAATTCCATAGGTGCTGACTTCTGCAATATGGAAGGGATGGGGGCCTTGTCCATACAGTCCTGAGGAAGTTGGGACAGCTACAGCCTCAGGTTTGGAGGGCCTAGGGGGGAGTCCTGAGGTTCTTCCACCCCACCTCCAGCCGCCCCACTGACTGGAGATTTCCTTCTCATCTGTATCTTCCTCAGGGAAGTTTGAGGAGTCTGAAAACCCGTATCAGAGAGCCTATATCAATGAGTGCATTCCTGATACTTTGGATCACTATGAGTTTCTATTGAATTGTATTAATGCTGTGATGAATTTGGGATTTTTTTAATTTTAATTTTTGCTTTATATGCTACTGTGCTTTTGATAGTTTTTAAAGCTATTGTTTTTCTTGTGAGCTGCTTTGAGCTCAACATTCGTTGTTGGAAAAGCAGGATGCAAATATTAAACTGAAATTTTTTAAAACCCCCATCATTTTTTGTCCAGTTGCAGCACAGAGGATGAAGATGGCGAAGGCACTTTGCAGAGCTTGCACCAGTTTCTGAGCCACATCAAACACCTGAAAATAGCCTTTGATCAGTCTCAGGAGAAAACCCAGAGGAACGTCACTCAGATTTTGGACATGCTGGCCAAGCAGAACCACAAGTTGCAGGCTCTGTGCATTGTGTGCAAAGGAGAAAACCCCCTTTTCTATTCCGGCCAAGACATCATTCAGAGCATCCGGAGAATCTGCCAGAGCCAGAATAAGACCAACCTTCAGCTTATCGATTTCCGGCAAATGCCTTTCACTCTGGACGACGGGCTCATTCAGCTGATTGCATCCAGCAGTCCAAATCTGCATACCCTGTTCATCAACAACCGCACCCTGGTTTGCAACGTCAAGCCAGAGACGATCTGTGAGGTTCTGAGGGCTTGTCCTAAATTATCTACCCTGGGGGTCTACTATGCCAGCCTGTCTGAGGATGTCTTCCAGGAACTGGTAAAGTCAAATAGAGGGCCCTTCAAGTGCCTGGATATTTTCTGCGAGCGCCTGGACAAGTACATCCCCGTCATCCCGGAAGAGCTTTGGGCTATGGTTCGTGAGAGATATCCACAGCTGCAGGTGGAGATGGAGTTCGACCACACAGTCCCTGCGTGGAAGATCCCTCGGATTCTAAAGCCCAATATTCCCGTAACCAGTTTGCAGCTTAACACTTACACGTACATGGTGAACCAGATTCGGTTTGCCACCAGCAACTACAGCAAGACTCTGGAAAGGCTGGTCATCCGCACTACGCCATCTGATGACCTCAACTCCTCGCTAATAGATCTAGCCAAAAAGTGTGTGCATCTGAAAGAGGTCCACTGTTACTGTGTGGTTAGCCCAGCAGTGGTACAGGCCTTTCTTTTACACTGCAAGGGTTTGAGAAAGTACACTCTAAAGGTCACCACGGGACGCAGCACTTGGAAACCAACAATAATCCAGTGATTTTCCATCTGCAGTAAAGGCACATTCACACCTATTATCTCAGTAGCAGTTTAGGCCTTTGGTAGTGTCCGGGGTGTACATTTCAGTACTGTCTGCATCACTGAGGCTGCAATCCTAGCCCTGCTTACCTCTGAGTAAACCACGCTTACTTACTCCAGAGTTGGCATAGTTAGGATTGTGGTGCAATTCCATTTCCTCTCACTTTGTTGCTAAATTTGCTGCTGGAGTAGGCAACTGCTCAGGAGTAAGGTAGGTAAACACAGAATCCAAATAGAATTACACACTTACTTCTCAGCTGATATGGCTAAGATTGTGCTGCAAGTGCTACTCTATTCAGTGGGGCTTACTCCCAGGTAAGTACGGTTAGGACTGCATCCTAAGTCCCATTACCTATTAGTGTGAACAAATCACAGTCTTTGCCCTAGAAACAGGTGAACAATGTTTACAGAGTGGCATATATTTTTCAGATTCTTGCAAAATCATAGCACTTTAAATCTGTGATATGATCATAATTCACAATAAATATTTGTATACGTAATACAGTGTTTTTATAGTTCTGCTTAATAATATTCATATGGGGATTTTTTTGTCAGAAATATGACTATCGTGCAGCTTGGGCCCCCTCTCTCAAGTTCAAATCCTCTTCATCGGGGTGGTGTCAGGGAAGAGCAGAAATTATTATTTTTATTCAATTTACCGGTATATACTGTCCTTTATCAAAAGATCCCTGGGCAGTGTACAACATTAAGAACACATTTTATGGACCATCATCATAAAAACACAATCATAGCTATCAACCGTCCCTTATTTGACGGGAAAGTCTCTTATCCCAGCGCCGTGTCCCGTTGTTGTCCCTTATTGATGATGTCCCTTAAATTTCCCGGGTTTCAAAGGAAGCAGCTCCTCTCCCTCCCTCCCTGCCGGCCAGGGAGGAGGGAGGCTCCAACTGTGTTGCTTGGCTGTGTTGCTCACCCAATAAGGAGTCTAAGAACGACTGGGGGGTGGAGCTTGCATGCCTTGTGCCGATCAAATCGGCCGCGTTGCCTGCGGACTCACCTTTGCTCAGCGCTTCCCAGCGGAGAGGTGATGGTGGTTTCCCTTGCTGCATCCCCTTTGCCGGGTTGCTGTGCTGTGGGAACCACCGCTGAGGCTTCTTTTGGCTGCTGGCTGGGCTTTCTGCCTTTGGCTCGGAGGGGCTCAGAAGTTGAACATACCTGTGCTTGGAAAATCCCTTATTTTGGCTGCTGATCCCTTATTTTCGAGGCTGCTGGTCCCTTATTTTCAAATCTGTAACTTGACAGCTATGAACACAATAAAAAACACAATGATAGGCAGCATAATGATAAAACAATCGTAACAACAGCCACACCCCTTTAACAGGCCATAGATTATTTAATGGCCAGATACCTGGATAAAGAGGAATGTTATTGCCTGGTGCCTAAAGACATGTAATAATGGTGCAAGAGGAGCTTTTTCTTGGTTTGTAAGCTGGACTCAGTTCCCATCAGCCTTTGTAAGCATGACTCATGGCAGGGGATGATGGGAGTTGGAGTGGAGTCTAGCATCCTGGGGGAGGGCACAAGTGCCCAAGTGGTCTAAACTAAACTAAAAAGCTTCTAAATTGAAACGAAAAGGGGGAGGAACACATTGGAGGCATACAAGAACGGTGTAAAGGCACAAGGGGCGCTGCAGTCTAACAAACGAGGATTAAAGAATCCTTCAAAGACAAGCTCACATTCTCCTGTTGCCCCCATGATGTGTAAGGCTTCCTTCCCCCTAACTGAGGCAAGAAGTCTCAGGAACATCACCCCAACCTGATGCAAGCAGGGAGCTGGGCTTGTGCTCAATATAATTATTCATCACATATGTGAGGTGCCATCAGTCCTTTGAATAAAACAGCAAATATTATCATGACGAGCTACTTCTATGTAAGCCACACCTGGTTTATTTATTCCCCTGGTAGGCAGAGATAGAACTGCCCTGGTCAGGAGCAATGTATTTGAACTATCATAGATAATATCCATTATCCAAACATCCAGAGTTTTCTTTAAATACAAAATAAGAATTCCTGCAAAGTGCAAGCTCCTGTTGTACAGAGAAAAAGACGTGGGGGTTGGGGAAGAACACAACAGGACTTGTTTCCGAGAAGAGCGGATCGTTGCAATGTGCTCTGCACATGGCTGCCCTTGGAGACAACTCAGAAAGTCTTAACTGGCCCAAAATGCAGCGGCCAGATTATTGGCTGGGTTTGCCTTGGGACATGTATAATCCCTTGCTCCAAAACAGCTGCACGGGCTGTCAATTTGTTTCTACTCAGAAGTAAGCTCCACTGAGTTCCATAGGGTTTACTCTCAAGTAAGTATCTACTGGACTAATAAAAATTGGCTCTGCATCTATTTTCTTCTGAATGCTAAAAATGTGTTTCGTTTTTGTGGTTGCACCCCTAAATGTCCCACCCCTCAACAATGATTGCAGAGCCTCCAAGCAGTGCTGGATTTATGTACGGTTGTACCTCGGGTTAAGAATTTAATTCGTTCTGGAGGTCTGTTCTCAATCTGAAACTGTTCTTAACGTGAAGCACCACTTTAACTAATGGGGCCTCCTGCTGCTGCCGTGCTGCCGGAGCACAGTTTCTGTTCTCATCCTGATGCAAAATTCTTAACCCGAGGTAATATTTCTGGGTTAGCGGAGTCTGTAACATGAAGCATATGTAACCTGAAGTGTATGTAACCCAAGGTACCACTGTATAAGCTAAACAAGCTATAGCCAAGGGCCCCACTCTCTTGGGGGCCGCAAAAAAAATTAAAGAAAAAAACACCTGGATGTACATTTCCAAAACATAAGATAAAAAACAAAATAAAACCTACAAACAGCAACAGTGTTTTGTGTTGTGTAGGCTCCTATGATGTAGGTAATTGTATTTCAGTATCAGTTCAACAATTGCTTTGATAAAATACATACTTTGTTATGTGCAAATGACTTTAGATATCTATTAGGTCCATAAATTACCATATAGCATATATTCAACACAAAAAACAGTGACAATTTGTTGTTGGGAAAGGACAGCTGGACATATAAAGGGCCCCATTACCTTCAGTAGTTTAGGGCCTCATCAAACCTAAATCCGGCCCTGCCTTCAAGTACAGCCGGAGCCGCCCTCACCACCCTTTTCTGAGGTGGGCACGGAACAAATTACCGCATCTGACCAAAGTTTGCTTTGTTTCTTTTCTACCGTCCTCTCGGCGTAGCGACCCCTCGTGGTCAATTCCTGTTGCCCGGAAGAGACAGAGTTAACTCTTCACGTGCGGCGCTTCTTTCCCCCTCCCCTGCCCCGCGCACGCGTACTTCAGGCTGCCGCCTCGCGGTCAGGTGTTAATTGCGCGCAGGTGTGGCGGGAGAGGCACGCGGAGCTCCGGCTGAAAAAGAGCGCGCGCGGCGCGCCGTGCTCACTTCGTGCTGGGCGCGGGGTGGGCGTCGTTGCTCGCTCTTCAGGTTGCTTCAAGCGACGCTGTTTGCCGGGCTTCCCTGCTGCTTCCGAGATTAAGGTGAAGGGGGTTTTTCAGGGAAAGTGTACCGTTTGCTTTCTGGGCGTTTCCGACTCGCTTCTGTCTAAGACGGATCCAGTGCATGCTCCTGTCAGGTTTCCCTAACACGCTGAGTGGCATGAAATGGGCAGCCTTGCAGAATTATAAATCAAACGTTATTTTCAAATTGCGTAATTTCTGTGAACCTGGACGGAAGGAAACTCGGAAGCTCCTTTAGATGGCTGTGTGCGTTGGAGTCAACACCTAAGGGCTGAGGTACTTTGGGCTCTCCCCCGAAAATATTTGACGGGACCCCCCCCCCAAAAAAGTTGATGGGTGTTGCCATTCAAATAGTGTGTGTGTGCCCTGTCATGTGATCGATTTTTGTGGGGTGGAACTTACCTGGCTCTCCACCCCCACCCCCCAATATTTTATTCAAGTTGGCACCCCTGGGTGGGTGGGTGACATTGCTTCAGCAACTATTCCCTTTATTGCTATTTATTTAATGGGCAAGCTCTCTCAAGTGGTTTACATAAAACATAAGTATGCAACTGAAGTTTCTCTGTGTGGTTGGAGTCACTGGACTGCTTCTCTGGAGTTTCAAGTCAGTCTGCTTCAGCCCTGGGTGACCTTGGCTTAGTCACTGGCTTTCAGCCCAGCCTAACTCATAGAGATGTAGATCAGGGGTCAGCAAACTTTTTCAGCAGGGGGCCGGTCCACTGTCCCTCAGACCTTGTGGGGGGCTGGACTATATTTTGGAAAAAAACTAATGAACAAATTCCTATGCCCCACAAATAACCGAGATGCATTTTAAATACAGTGGTACCTCGGGTTACAGACGCTTCAGGTTACATACGCTTCAGGTTACGGACTCCGTTAACCCAGAAATAGTACCTTGGGTTAAGAACTTTGCTTCAGGATGAGAACAGAAATCGTGTGCTGGCGGCATGGCGGCAGTGGGACGCCCCATTAGCTAAAGTGGTACCTCAGGTTAAGAACAGTTTCAGCTTAAGAACGGACCTCCAGAATGAATTAAGTTCTTAACCCGAGGCACCACTGTAAAAGCACACATTCTACTCATGTAAAAACACCAGGCAGGCCCCACAAATAACCCAAAGATGCATTTTAAATAAAAGGACACATTCTACTCATGTAAAAACACAGATTCCCAGACTGTCCGTGGGCCGGATTTAGAAGGTGATTGGGCCGAATCCAGCCCCCGAGCTTTAGTTTGCCTACTCATGCTTTAGATGAAGATGGAGAGGACTAGAACCATTTGTGCCACCTTGAATTCCTTTGGGGTAAAGGTGGACTATAGATGTAATAATTCCTTCCTCTCCCATGCTTTACAACTTGTCATTTTAGTTTCACCCCACCGCTTCAGAAAGCGTGCATGCAATCTGACTTAGAAATACGATGCCTCAGGTTTTAAAACTGGAAGATGTATTCTGACGAATTTTGACGCTGTTCCATCCCTGACCTTTTCAGGTAGGGCTTGTAGTAGTCACATGCTGGGAAACCTGTGGAGCTGCTGCCAGTCAGTGTTGACAGTACTGAACTGATGCCTTTCATCTTTGGGAAATTGTCTTTCAGTGAGGAAGGTGGCACTCTAGAGTCTTCAGTCAGCTGTTCCAGAGGATGCCTAAGCTGGCGAAGGTCCTTTGGAACTGTATCCCAGGGGAAATTCTGGCCCACATATTTTCCTTCTTGCCTGCCAGAGACAGATACAACGTTGTGCATGTGTGTGAGCGCTGGGCCGCAGAAGTGCATTCCAGTTCTGTTTGGGATTTTACAGAAATCGGGTAAGAGGCAGCATTTGCGGTTGGTTGCTTGTACAGTAAAAAAGGAACATGTACGTTATTGACCTTGCCTGCTAACAGCCATGTGTGTGTGTGGTGTAGATGAAGATGAAGATGTAGTTTTCATCAGGCACCAGTTATCATGGTCAGCCGATAAGGATCCTGAGAGTTGTAGCCAAACAACATCTGGAACGCCACAGGTTCCCTGGCTCAAAGCCGCCTTCTCATTCTCTGCTGGAAGGCACATGCTTGTTATCTTCTCCACAAGTTCGGTCAGTATGGATTTAAAGGTGAATGAGACTCTCAGTAGTCATACACATGCAACCCCCCCCCAATCCCCCCTTTTTGCTGTCAAGGGCGCTTCTCAGCCAAGGAATGCACACATCAGATACTGTAGTTAAGTACTGTCAAAAATAATACAGGCGCTTCTACAGCTCTGGATATCTATGCACTCCAATTTAGCATCTAGGCAGCTATTCCCAGGTTAGTGCTCTGTGGAGCACTTGCAGCAACTGAGGGGGGGGGCACTCCCCCTCTACCAGTTTATGTGCCTTCCTCTGACAGGCTGCATGTATGAAGACTGCGCCTGTGTGGAAACTTCCTCTGCTCATCACTTTTCAATTCCCTCCTAGTTCTGGGGGACAGTGGTGCACAAGAGGGTGGGAAGCACCTGGCCCTTGCATTTGCCTGACCTGCCTTTCCCCCCCTCTACTACTTGCCTCCTGGCTGATGCATGTTCCCACATACCAGTGGCCCCTCTCCTGTGCCAGACTGCAGCCTACCTGCTCCCAGGGAGCACTCGGCGGCAGCCTGCCAGTCCCTGACACTTGCTATGGGTGTAATGAAAGACATTGGGACACCTTCACAGGTGTATTGAAATGGTGAGAGTACTTCCTGGAAAGCCAGATCCTAGGAATTTGGCAAAGGTCCCAAATTAACTGAAAAGTACAAAAAAAAATTTTTGCACCTCGCAGTAAAAACATGGTGTGTGTCATAATAGAGGACAGTGTCCTAGTGCAGGATTAAATCAAGCTGCATGGAGAGCATGTTGTAACTGGTGGGTTCCATTTCCTGCATGGTTTTGAGTGCGCATTTGCAGTAGTGTCCACAAACAAGCATTTATTTTGCTCACAGAATATTCAAACTCTATTTGCTAGAGCTGTCTGATTATAATACAAGGATAGTTGGTCCTCCCTGACTCATTCTAACCTGGAAAGCTGAATCATGTTCCAAGCCACACTGTTTATAACTAGAAAAATCCAAATTAGCATTAAGTGTACATTTCTCCCTCTAAAATGGGGGAGGCACAAAGTATACCTGAAAACGGTTAAAGCTCAGACTTAATAGTTGGTCAAACTATTATGCTTACAGGCTGACCTTGGGACAGTCACGATATCTCTCAGCTGAACCCACCTCACAGGGTTATTCTGAGGGTAAAATGAAGGGGGCGGGGAAGAAACATGGATATTGCCTCAAGCTCCTTGGAGGAAAGGCTATTAAACATAGTTAAATAAAAGGTTGCCGGGGGGTGATGCTACAGCTGTAGAGTTGTCTAACTTGCTCCTAGATCTAGAAGAAATGCAAATTAGTCAATGTTCCAGAGAGGAATATTAGAAGTGCTCATTTGCTGCAACTCAAATTCAGCACTGCAGGAGTTCATGGCTTCTCCCCAACCTCTTATTTCAGGTTTGACACAGAGGATGAGGACGATGAGTGCCTGTTGCAGTGGCTACAGCCATTCCTAGGCCTCATCAGACACCTGCAGTTGGTGGTTGAGCAGTCCCTGGACCTGAACCGGAGACAAGCCACAGGCATCTTGGACACGTTGGCCTGTCGGAGCTGCAGGTTGCAGGGGCTCTGTATTGTATGCCTGGGAATAAGCCCCTATTTCTATTCCGGCCAAGATGTCCTGCACAGCATCCGGAGTATCTGCCAGAGCAGGAATGGGATTGATCTCCAGTATATTGACTTCCGGCAAATGCCTTTCACTCTGGACAATGGGACTGTTCAGATGATTGCATCCAGCAGCCCAAACCTGCACACCTTGTTCATCAACAACCAAGCGCCTGGTCCAATGATTCTCAAGCCAGACACCATCTCTGATGTTCTGAGGACCTGCCCTAAGTTATCTGCCTTGGGGGTCTGCTATGCCAGCTTATCTGAGAAGATGTTTTGGGAACTGCTGAAACCGAACAGAGGGCCGTTCCGGTTTCTGGACCTTTTCTATGAAGGCCTGGACGTCAACATTCCCAAAGAGCTTTGGGCTATGGTGAGTGAGAAGCACCCACAGTTCCGCGTGAGGCTGGAGTTTGCTCCAACAGTCCCTATAAGGAAGATGCTTGTGGTACTGAAGCCAACCATCCCCGTGGCCGCTTTGCATTTTGACACACCTCTGCACATGGCCGATCAGGTTAAGTTCATTGCTAGCACCTACAGCAGGACTTTGGAGAGGCTGGTACTTTACAACGCCCCCTCTGCTGACCTCAACGCTTCACTAATAGAACTGGCAGGAAAGTGTGTGCATCTGAAAGAGGTTCACTGTTACTCTGCGGTTAGCGAAGCAGTGGTAGAAGCTTTTATTTTACACTGCCCAGGTTTGAAAAAATACACCCTGTCAGCACAGAAGTTCTCTTTTGATATTCCACCAGCAGTCGTTCCGTGATTTGACCAAAATGAGAGTTCATGCACACTTGTGCCCTGAAAGAGCAGCAACATTATTTGGCATAAACAGCATAAAAGTACTCGGTTGCTGTTTCCACTGAGTCTCCTGTTCCAGAGCCATAATATGTTCACAGATTAAAAATAGGCAGGGCAGGAGTCAGTCCTATGGGTAGCTGTAAATTTTAAACCCACAAGCCCAACCTAGAGTTGAAGATAAAAGCATGTTGCTTGACATCAGTGTGAATAACACTGAAATCTCCTGGATACAGTATATTTTAAATTTTATACAACTGCAGATTTTAGTATGCCCCCTGCAACTCAGACATCACAGATAGCATTTATCACAGTTCACCAAGATCTGCACATAAAACAATTTTAAACACTTTACTTGATATTCTATTTTGGTAAGAACCTAACTTTATTTTGCAGCGTATATTCTCAACCATAGTAAGTCCAAGGTGGTGTGATGGTTCAAGGGGCAGAAATGAGCAGGAGCTCTCTTGTCCTACAGTTGACTGACAGAGGTTTGGTAAAAGGTCTGTTCGTGTTAGTTACTTTTAAGCTTTGTTGTGTTTTTTAAAGCCTTGCCAAGAAGGAAACATGTTCTTCAGTCACTGTATGTCAGTCACTTTCTGGACTCTGGTGGCAATATCATTCCAAACGCCCCTACCATCGGTTTTTAGCAGAACTTATTTTGTATGCAGCTAAGTTATATTCCAGAGTAGACACATCAAAATTAATGGATGTGACTAAATGGAGTCCAGTAATTTAATGGGTCTGAGTAGAACTGAGCTACATGCAACCCAGGGTTTAGACGTATGCTATCCGAAGACTGCAGCTCTGATCTGGAGATCTGACTTATCTTCAGGAGTGTCTCTGATCCAGGATAGTCAAAGTGTCAGGTCACTATTTCAGTTTCTGAGAATTTTGAGGTCTACCTGGTTAGGGTGCCGATTAACATCCTTGTCAAGAGGATGGCTGCCTGGAATGGCAGCATCACAGGCTGAAACCCTATAGATGCAGCTCTCCCATAAAGATGGAGGTATGGGCAAATGGCACTTTTTGAATTTCTGCTGTTCAGCTGTGGCAGCAGACGTGGGTGCACGTTACTTTCTAGTGGGAACTGATGCACATATCTCCATCCAGAAATGGTGTCCAGACACCCAAGCTTTGGACATCATTTCTGGATGGAATTACATGCATCAGTTCCCACTATGGAAGATATGTGGGGATAGCACAGTCATGGAGTTCTTCCCATCTTTCTGCCTTCTATATGTAACTGGTAGTTTGGGACATCTGCTTAGGGCTCTTGTATTTGCAGATCATGGCTCTGAAACCAGCTGAGTCCAAGGTTCCTGCAGTCAATTAGGGCTTATCCACACTTACCTTTTGCCATGAGCTTTCCTGCGAAAACCCGCTCTTTAGAGCTGAATCGGAGTAAACTTCAATTTGGGTTTTCCGCAGATTGATGTTTACTCTGATTGAGCTTTAAAGAGCGGGTTTTTGCAAGGAGAGCTCTGGAGCAACGGGGGGGGGGGCACTTAGACATGGAGCTTTAAATCACATAATGTGCCTGGAAAGAGCAGAGGAACGGTAAGTGTGGATAAGCCTTTAGCTGATGGCTGGATGGAGGAAGAGCTGCTTGTGAGCAGGGGCATCAGATGCAGAGGGTGGACTCTGAGGCACTTACAGGGATGATGTTCACCACCTCAGCTGTCAGTCACTCTGCTTAGTGACAGTAGTCTCCAGGTGGCACACCTTCAATTCTGCTACTGTGAATTGTCTCTATTGTAATAAATACTTTGAAACATTTTCCTTACTGTTGGAATTCTCCTTGCTGTGTTTGTCCTCTTGGAAACTACAAGAAAAGCAGCCTAGAAGCTGAAAGAACAAATGAAATAAAACTTAAGGTGGCCTTCAGGTAGGTCTGCTTCCACTATCGCTTCCTCCAAGTTGCGCCATCGGGAAGGCGAAAGAGCCGCCCTTGGCCCTTTCCGGGGCTTTTGCTGACCTCCTGGCCTACTGTGTTTGTGCAAGCAAGTGTATTCTCTTTCCATGATGCTGCATCTTTATTCACGGCATTGTGCAATGCAAATAGCGGTGCGTTTTCATTCTGTGCATTGTTCAACCCGAGGGTTGGCCATGCCTGCCCATTGTGCTGGGCTTGGGAGAGAGCCAGCAGCATTGCTGATGTGATTTTTGTGGGAGGAGGATGTTTTCTCGGCTCTGCCTGGATCGCTAAATGGTTTTGTTTCTCCCTCTGACACACGCACAGAAAGGAAGGGAGCTTTGCTGTGGGGCAAGAGATCATGGCACTAGTGTAGTCAGAGCACCACAAAAAAAAAAAAACAACTATGCAGGACTCATCCACCTCCTTGGCTATGGATGGCTACCCCAGCAACGTACCAGCATTCCTCACCAAGCTGTGGACATTGGTCGAAGATCCTGAGACCAACCATCTCATCTGTTGGAGTATTGTGAGTACAACTAATGTTGGGAGCTGCTAGTTTGGTGTTTGACAAGCCCTTGTAGGGCACTGTGTGTCATGCGCAACTTACAGGGGCTTTGTTAGCCAGAAACCACACAGTGGTCTCCGAGGGTGATGTGTACAACTGGTATTTTTCAGGTACCTAACCTAACCAGTCTTATGCATGTTTACTTCTATGCTTTGTTGAGTTCAGTGGGGGTTACTCAAATGTAAGGTCTAGTTTGTGCATCAGACAGACTTGAGATGATGGAATTCTGGGCTACAGTGCTTCAGACTGTAGGTGGGCTGGAGTGTCAAGCTGGTTTGTTCTATGTTCCCAGCATAAGTTTCCTTAATGTAATAAGCTTCGTATATTGGGGAGAAAACTCTACCTCTGAGGGAGAAGGCTGTGTGCTAAGCTTGATGTGCTCGTTTGTTGTCTGTGAAGAGCTTTCCCCACTGGGGAGCACTTGGAAATGCAACTCCCCACCTACAATCTGTGGGCCAGAACCCCAGCACTTCATTCTGCATGAAGTTGCATCAGGTGGTTCTCTACTGGTGAGGGGGGAGAAATTCAATTTGGTTCACATTTAAAGGTGAGCTTAAACTAATTCGCAATTTCCTAAACAATATGTGAACCAAGACATGAAAACATGGCCATCCTTCAAATTCATAATTCTCCAAATTTTGCAATGAAATTCTCCAGCTAAGCAATGTTTGCAAAAAATGGGTAAAGTGCACATAAGAATGTATATATTAGTTAAAATAATTACACAAATAATAATTAATATACAAATAGTAAGGAACCTTGTTTTGCAAAAATGTGCATACTGGGAGAAACTTTCACTGAAATGCCAATGAATTGCAAACTGATGCGAAAAACTAAATGAGAAATTGAAATTTGTCAGATTTCCCCATCCCTACTGTTTGCATGAAATTGTAGCTGCCTTCCCCTATCGAGTTGTTCCTGCAGCTGATTTGATCACCTGTTTGTTTATTTCACAACTGTCTGTCCATAGCTGTCATCTTGCATGGGAAGGCAATGGGCCTTCCCACCTTTCTCAACCTGGTGCCTTCCAGATACCTTATTTGGCTGCCTGATAAGCTGTGACAATTGGTCATACTGCCAAGGAGCTCAGTGTGACATACACTGTTCTCTCTCTCCTCATCTAACCCCACAACAACTGTGTGAGGTAGGCTAGACTGAGTGGCAGTGACTGGCCCAAAGTCACCCAGTGAGCTTTGTGGGAGATTTAAACCTTGGTCTCCCAGGTCCTAGTCTGAGACTTTAACTTAACCACTAAACCACCCTGGCCCACTGGAAGCTGGGGCCCAGCAATATCAGAAGGACACCATGCTGGGAAGGGGAAGCTGTGAGGATCAGTGCAGCACACAGACAGACCCCTAAAGTGTCCCTATTTTCCAGGGACGTCCCAGATTTCGAGAAGCTGCCCTTGTTTCTGATTTGATCCTTGAATGTCCCACTTTTCCTTAGGATGTCCCTATTTTCACTGGAGAAATGTTGGAGGGTATGCACAAAGGTTATTTTTCTATGGTGATTTTAATTCCCAATCAGTTATACTTTCAGTTGCTACATTTTAGTAGCTTGTGAAGCGTTTCTTGATGGCTCTAAAAATTAGTTTTTGCACATTACTGGCTGCTGTTTCATTTATCTTATAACATAAAAGCACTGCTACTTTATTCTGATTACAAATAACGAAGTGTGTCAATGGTCATTGGCTGATACGGAGAAAATATAATGTTTGCTGGGGGTTTGGGAGGGTTGTTTTTGTTTTTGCTGTAAGCAGAAATTAGTAGGATTTAACTAGTTTCATCTGACCTCTGAACATGGGATATATGTCTCGAATGCCTCTAAGTGTGGTGGTGCTCAAGTCTGCAGGACTTTTCTATAAAATTACCCACTAAATGTCTCAAACCAGACTTTAGAATCAGTAGTTAAATTTGTGGGTGAGAATTTTAAAACCATATTTTCATGGTGGATGTTTTAACTCTGTGTTGGGAGTAATGATGGAAAGAAAGTGAGCCGGGGTACTTTCCTTGGTTCATTCTCTTCCCTCCTTTCAGAACACTCTTGTTTGTGAATTTAAAAGAGAAAAAATCCTGCCTGCATCTTGAGCAAATTCTAACTGAGAACTGGTTCATGGTCTGGTTTTATCATTCTCAATATGGATAACTGTATTCCATAAAAGTAAAAAATACATTAAATGTAAATTCTGAAACATTGGGTGGTGCTCAGCTAAGTCATACTTAGAGCCATTGAAACCAATGGACTTTACTTATGTAAGCCCAATTATTTATGTCGGTCTGCTCCATGACTAACATAGAATGCTGTCCTTTTGCAAAACCGTTTTAACTGTACTTTTTTTTTAAAAAAAGTTTAAAATGCACTGTTTTGCTCTAGATACATATATGTGCACAAGCACACAAATATGAGTTGACAAATGTTTAATCCTACTTGGGACTGAGTTGATCTCCCTCATACTGCACTTGGACATCACAGTAAACTGTGGGTGTTTAAGAGGATCCGGTCAGCAGACTGGATGTTGTGCTCTTGCACTCACCAGTAACCTGATGCCACCACAACACTAGGTGACTTGACTTTAAAGGAAAGAATTAGGAGTACACTTGATGTTCATTCCCAGTTCTTCTTTTTGGCCATGGCTTGAACTTTTCCATACTTGATGTCATACATGATGAAAGGCCTGGAAAAGTTGGGTGGGATTTGCCCAGTGCATCCTGATGATGTGGGTCTAATTAGGCCCAACATGCTGGAGGTTTCCACTGCCTCACTAAACTATGGATTGGTAAGATGTAAATGAACCTATCATCCTCTCCAGCCTCTTCCCTGATCGCAGAAGGACTTAGAATCATTTGCTTCTAGTCAACTGCAGTGTGTTTTGTCTGAACCAATAAACTGTGGTTAACATTAGGTAAAGGGACCCCTGACCATTAGGTCCAGTAGTGACTGATTCTGCGGTTGCGGCGCGCATCTCACTTTATTGGCCGAGGGAGCCGGCGTACAGCTTCTGGGTCATGTGGCCAGCATGACTAAGCCACTTCTGGAGAACCAGAGCAGCGCACGGAAACGCCGTTTACACTGGAGCGGTACCTATTTATCTACTTGCACTTTGACGTGCTTTCAAACTGCTAGGTGGACAGGAGCAGGGACCGACCAACGGGAGCTCACCCCGTCGCGGGGATTCGAACCGCCAACCTTCTGATCGGCAAGTCCTAGGCTCTGTGGTTTAACCCACAGTGCCACCCACGTCCTACGTGGTTAACATTAAGTAGTCCTAATTTCAAACAAGCCACCTTTGAAACTGGTTTCTGAAACTTGCTTATTAGCCCCAGTTTTGAATCTGTACAGCATGGCAAGCCACGGTCGAAAGTTTCCCAAGTTCTCTACCTGCTTGAGGAGGGAGAGCAGGGAAGCATGTTATTCTAGGACAGTGACATGGGGAGGAAAGTTTCCACTGCAAACGTCTAAATTTTTACTGTACTTGTGATAAAAAATTACTGGTGGTAATTGACAAATGCCAATGTAATATTAATCAAGGTTGACGGTTTCAGTAACTAATATTTTCAGGTCATTATCCATAAGAAGTGTGTAAAGTATGTGTTTTGTAAAAATGAGGGGTTGTGGAACTAAAACACAAAATACCCTTGAGTCTACAAGCATCCTGGGGCTTTTGGAGATGGTGTTGAGAGGGCTCCGCCCCACTGCAAGGCAGAGAGTTTAAAAGCTCTTTCTGTGCCTAGAAGACCCTTTACAGCCTTCACCTCAAACTTCTCCATTTTGGAGAAGCCATGCCACCTGGCCCCCGGTACACACATCTGTTGTCTTACATAACACGAGATGTTAGGCAGGTATGAATTGGGAGTTAAATCACACACACAACCATATATGCTATGTAAGTTGCACATTATGGAGTAATGTTGGTCACAAGAAATTTGCATGTAAAACACATTTCAGGGAGCATCACATCTTGATGCTAATGAAATCAAAGAAGAGAATAAAGTTAAGCCAGAACATCATTTTTATTTTCATTTGGTGGGGGTGGGGGAGAGCATGTGTTTTTGTGACCAACAAAAGGCACTCAACCAACTAGGTTTTATTGTCCTAAACTCATCTGATTGTGTTCCTAACACAAATTTTCTTCTCTATTTACCAAATGGGAAAACAAAACTATCAATACAATAAAGGATTATGAGCCTATTGTCTATTTACTTGGAGAGGTCTTTAACTGAAGATTAGATGGGGAAATAGGGACATTCTGGGTCACCTTGTGTCCCATGCTGCTGGATGCCACTTGGAAAAACTCTTTTCAGATAATTAAACTGGGAAATTATTTATACAGTGATACAGAACACCATAACTATATATGGAAATGAAAAATGGTTCTGTAAGTTGACGTTTTCATGAAATTGCCAAGTTCCACCCTTACCTGATGAGTCCCTCTGGGGTCAGTTCAGTCTCTTGCCATTCACTACAATACAGTAGACCTCATTTTATTAAAGTTTGTTTAATGGGCCATTTGATAAAATAGTGGAGGTGCATATTTCACAGAAGCTTGTGGGCTACTTGCTTTCCTTTAGCACTATAGAACTACACTCGACTGCAGCAGCCAGTAAAACCAGTTCTTTTTTCGGGGGTACGCAGGGTACGCATACCCCTAACATTTTGTGAATGTAAGTTTGGTCTCATTGAGGGGCAGTGTTTCAATATGAGTAGGAATATGAGAGTACCCCTAAACGTTTTTTTTAAGAAAAAAAGCACTGAGTAAAACTATGTTATTTTGTCAGTACTGGGGTCTGAACAGCAGCAGTTCACTGGAGGACTGCTAACTTCCACTGCTGACTAAGGAGGTCAGGAACATTAGGAAGACCTTTATTTAACAAAGTAATAATAGTAAATAAAAATGTGAACCTCACCCCCAAGACCATTCCACTGTTAAATATCTACCCTCCCAAAAATTCAACACCTCTTGCGGTGGTTTGACCCATTTCCGTTTTAACAGTACAAATTCTACAAATACCTTCCATATCTCCTCAGAATAATTTCTCCTGCATATTTCCTGTTTTACCTTAATAGCACATGTTAATTTATCATTAATAGCTATATCCCACACCTCTTTATACCATTCTTCCATTTTATATTCACTTTGCTACTTCCACTTCCTAGCTATAACAACTCTTGCAGCCATCAGTAAAGGAAGAGCTTTTTGATGGTAAGAGCTGCTCAACAGTGGAGCGGACTCCCTCAGATTGTGGTGGACACAATTACTGCTGAATGGGTATTGGGGGGGGGGGGCTTGTTCTACCACCACCTTCTAGCAAGGAAGCTTGATCCTTATTTAGAATTGGAAACTAGTAATGTGTAATGTGCCGAGATCTATAATTGGGAAGAGGAGCCATATGGTGTTATTGATATCCACACACAGGGCCTGTTCATGCTTCCATTTGCCCAAACACATTCCCCAGAGAAAACCCGCAGTTTAGTGCTGAGTCGGCCCAAATGGCAATCGGGTTTTCTGCGGATTGCTGTTTGTTCTGATTTAGCAGTAAAGAGCGTGTTTTCCCAGGGAAACCTGTGAGGCAAACAAAAACCACTCAGATCTGTGCCTAGGAAGCACAGCACAAGTGGAAAACCTCTTGGACTCATGCTTTTAGGTGCAGGATGAGCAAAGTGTGAACGAGCCCACAGTTAAGAGTATGTGTTATATCTACATATATATGCACAGCAGCTGTGTGTACACATTTTGAGATTTTAAATAAATAACACACTTCACTAAGAAACAGACATAAAGGTAAAGGGACCCCTGACCGTTAGGTCCAGTCGCGGACGACTCTGGGGTTTCGGTGCTCATCTCGGTTTACTGGCCGAGGGAGCCCGCGTTCAGCTTCGGGGTCGTGGCCAGCATGACTAAGCCGCTTCTGGTGAACCAGAGCAGCGCACGGAAACACTGTTTACCTTCCTGCCAGAGCAGTACCTATTTATCTACTTGCACTTTGACATGCTTTCGAACTGCTAGGTTGGCAGGAGCAGGGACTGAGCAACGGGAGCTCACCCCGCCATGGGGATTCGAACCACCGACACTGAACCACAGTTAATTACACACTACAGTGTTTGTATTGTTGGCAGATCATAATAAAAACAAAAACAAGGGAAGCCTTGTGGTCCCTAAGAAAAAAGTTCCAAAGATAAAGTATACTGTAATTTTATTAGGACAAACCAAGAAGTCACAAAAATGTGGTGACCTTTCCAGTTCTTCAAAACTTCCATCAGGCAAAATGATACACAAAGTGGGAAGGAGGGGGGTTGGATGGGGATTTTAATATTATTTTGGTAGAAAAATCAGGTTGGATGTTGCAACAATGAGGTCTGTTTATGGGTTTGGTGTTTCACGATGAAGATAGCAGACCTAAGTGCCTGTCTCATGCTGAGGTACCAAATTACACACCTGAGAAAATAAAACCTTGCTTACAAGAAGGTTTGTTCAGTGTGCCCAGCTGGGCTGGGCGCAGTGGGTTTCCTGGGGGGGGGGCACTGGGCACGCTGACATCAGGTGCACCCGCACTTGCACCCATGATGTGCATGGTCCTGCACAAAAATTTGTGGGTGCCCTGCCCCTTCATGGGGAAAGTTGTGGGGGCTGGAGCACCCACAGCCCCACACACTTGGCGCCTGTGGTTCTCTGCCAAGAGGCATATTGACTGTGATTTTTGCATTGCATTGTCATTCAACATACGGTTTTCTCCTTTCTGTACTTGCCCACTAAGCTATTGCTTAATGCATCTGACAAAGTGAGCTTGACTCCTGAAATGTCATGATAAAATATTGTTAAGTCTCTAAGGCGCCACAAGCCTCACTCGTAGATTTTCAAGTATCTAAATGTGAAGTAAAGCGCCAACAAACACAGCTCAGAAATGGCAGCCAGGATGCAAATTTCAGCCCGTCCTTTGTTTGAAAATGCTGGTTTGTTATTAATCCGGTTTCACATATTTGTAGAATCTCAGTTTAGCATTAGAGCTTTATAGTAACGAGCAAGTAGCTAACATTAACTCTTTTTTTCCTTTAAAGAATGGTTCCAGCTTCCATGTTTTTGATCAAAGTCGGTTTGCCAAGGAGGTGCTGCCTAAGTATTTCAAACACAACAATATGGCCAGCTTTGTGCGACAACTGAACATGTGTAAGTAACATTCCCAAGATTTAGAAAATACAGTCTTGCTTGTATGATGGAGGAAAGGTCATGATTAAAATGAATTTAGTACTTTTAAAATGTGGTTTTAGTACATTGCCAGACCTAAAAAGCAGAAGCACTAGAACTGACTTATGTATTTGGCAACCTAGCAAGTTAATGTTTGTTAGAGACATTTAAGTTTATGATATATTCACATATAATGGCTGCCATGAGCAGCAAAAGAAGAAGAAAAAGGTGCCAGGTACTCTGAACTGCTGAGCAGCATCACAAAAAGGCACTGTTAAAAGGTGAAATCAACGGGATATCAGTTTTTAAATCTCACTGTTCTTCAAAGAATTGAGATAAAAACAATAGTGACATAAATAAAAAGTTATGTATCAGCAGCTAGCAAGAGTTCAAGGAAGGAAGCAAGAGACGGGGGGGGGGAGAGAGGGGAGAGACCACTGGGCTCTCGCTTTTCTGGGTCCATAGCCAGGGACTCCTTTAATCTGGAAGAGGCAGGGTAGGCACACTGAGAATTCTCCACTGCCTCTCACCTTCTTGGGGGCTCCACACAAAGTGGGAATAGTGGAAATATTGAAGATGTAGACTTATTGCTGACCTGGGATTTTGGCAGATGCTTTGTCTCTCTGTCCTCTAGAACTAGCACACTGGTTCGCAAGCATGTGTTTGCCATATCCACACTTTTGTGCAGTCATAGATGTATACCTAATGTGTAAATCAGCACCCCGCCCCACCCGTCCTTCTGCTTCTCACCAGGCTTCTGTTTGTCCATTTAGATGGCTTTAGGAAAGTGGTGAACATTGAACAAGGCGGGCTTGTCAAGCCTGAACGCGATGACACTGAGTTCCAGCACCTTTATTTCCTACAAGGCCATGAACACCTCCTTGAGCACATCAAAAGGAAGGTAGGAAATGCAAGTAACTATTAGGCTGTTGTGATCATGTGCTACATACGGCCTGCTTGGGAGAGGATAGGAATTACCTCTTACCATGCAGGTGGTATATTCATAACATAAGAGTAGCCCAATACAAAAAAAAACCAAACAAACAAAAAAACATTCATACCTATCAAGTCCTAGTGAAAGCAGCATTGAGTCCAATGGGACTTAGGGCAGCTGCCTACACTACACAGTATTATCATTATTATATTTAATTTAGATACCAGTTACTTGCTAAACCGGCTTCTAAGTGATTTACAAGTATAAAACCAATTACCAAAATATAGTCATACATCATTAAAATATGCAATAAATAATTGCATCAAAACATAAAATTAACATCCACAATTAAAATATTCAATGAACAAACCCATTAAAACAGCAAGCATTATGATGTTGTTGTTGTTTGTTGTTGTTGTTGTTGTTTTATTTTCCACCCTCTTTCCCAGCTTGAGCTCTGTAGGGTTATCTAAACCTGGGAGAGATCATGTGACATCAGGGATCGCCCTTCCCATAGTCCAGGATCCGGACAAGGGAAGGTGTCCTCACCAGATAAAAATAACACTTGCCAGTAAATGTCCTTATGTTTCCCTGACGTTCGCCCACTGCATTTTTAGGAGTACGCTTGCAAAAGCTCAGGAATGCACTGGATGAAGAGGGCCTTAGTTGCATTTAGCGTTCCCTGGATTGTGTTTCCTACCTCACACAATTTATCCTTCTATTTCTGTTTCTTTCTTTGGTTGTTTCTTCAGGTATCCATTGTGAAAAGTGAAGAAACCAAGATGCGCCAAGAAGACCTTAGCAGGTTACTGTATGAGATCCAGATCCTCCGGGGTCAGCAAGAGACAATGGAGTGTCAGGTGCAGGACATGAAGCAGTAAGTGGATGCTACCAGAAGCATCCTGGCATTGCGGGGGGGGGTAGGACTAGATGACCCTCGGGGGTCCCTTCCAACTCCACAGTGCTATGATTCTATGGCATATTACCTGTACCCAGTCTGACTACTGGGAGAATTCCGTGTACATGCAGCTGGAGTGTTACTTTTGGCCTCTTTGGATGAGACTTGCCTCCACAGAAGGTAAAGATACTGCAGTTACCTGAATATGGGCCCATCTTTACTCCAGATGTCACACCTACGATTTCTATGTCAAAGGTTAAGGGAGGCCTGACGTTCAAATAACTGTAGACTGACTCCGGTTTGGGTGAGTGCAAGTGTTAAGTTGTGGGCAAACATGTCAGACGACACAGCGATTCTTTAAACAGCTCTTCTTTATTCAGATGCCAGAACAGAACTAGCCTGAGGAGCTCAGTCAGCCTGCTTATATAGAGCTCCAGAACAATGCAACTGTTGCCATTTTCTAAAACTATCCAATCACTGAACATCACTTTTTGATCCTTCATTTGCATACAAAACTATCCAATCACTGAACATCACTTTTCGATCCTTCATTTGCATAACTATCTACAGTATCCCCCTGCTGGCCCAGGGTGAGAACTTCAGTACATAACAGCAAGAGCCCAAGGCCTGGCAGTGGGTCCGAATGGACCCATAGAGAGAAGACAACAAAAATTGATGCAGCCTCATAGTTAGACTTCTATATATAAAACTCTAAAGGTGCTCTAAGGGCAACCTTCCCCTCCGTTTAGTAAGGGAAACAAAAGTTACTGGCACTTACGATTTCCAGATTGTCAGTGCAATCCTATAAATGTTATCTTAGAAATAAGTCCCACTGAGGTCAGTGGTGCTTATTCCATCGTAGGTTTGTTTAAGATTGCTGCCAGAATCACGAAGGCCTACAAGTGTGCATTCACTGTTGATTCATTTAGAGACTGTGCCCTCAGCCTGTGGTTCTCTATTCCTTTCAGGCAGAATGAAGTTTTGTGGAGGGAGGTTGTGTGTCTCAGGCAGAATCATTCACAGCATGAGAAAGTGATCAACAAGGTAACGTTTCTGTTGATGCCAATAATGTGGTGGGGAGTATTTGCTACTTGCAGATTGGGGGGGGGGGTTGGCTCCACTGAAATTGGCACATGGTCAACAGTCAGGACTTTCTCAAGGAACTCGGGGGAATGTGGTTCTGTGCGGCAGATCTGATACAGGAGTGGGAAACATTTTCAACCCAAAGGGCATATTTCCTCATGAGCGACATTCCCACATGGGCAACCTCTTAGGTGCCACATTCCAATGCTGGGCAGGGTTAGAGGCAAAAGTGGGTGGAGCAATAGAATGGACTCTTGCCTTTGCACAATAGGCTACATTCCAGCCATGCAAAGCCTCATGTTTACACACACACACACACACATTTCCATCTGTCCTTGCCCTCACAGCCTGAAGAAGACAAGCTTTCCGAATTTGTGCAGATGCTTCAGGACCACGGTAGCTACATTTCATCTCAGGAATCACCCAGATTTCTGATCCAATGTGGCACAAAGTTGGGGTGCCTTCTGTTGCCTCTGGGCAGGGTAGTATCTATCAATATGACCACCCTCCCCAAAGGTCCCTTCCTATTCCAAGTGTTGCATGTTCACTGCAATCTTATAAGAGTGCACACTTTTGATGTATGCTTACATTCATGTCGAGGAAGATGGCCATGTCTGTCTCATCTTGCCTGCCCCTGTCCTTCATTTTTGGAAACTTGAAAGTTGCCTTATACAAGAAGTTGCCTTACATCAAGTCAGATCATTGCTCAATCTAGCTCTGTGTTGTCTACACAGACTGGATGTGACTCTCCAGGATTGCAGGTTAGGGAGCTGCTCAAAGCACTACCTATAGACATTGGGGGTTGAACCTAGATCTCCATGCAAAGCATGGATCTTCTCCATGCAAAGCATGGATCTTCTCCATGCAAAGCAGATGCTTGCAGCCCTCCTTCCCCTTCCAGGGGAAGGAGCTCCTCCTTGTGTGAGCAGAGAGGTGGACGGTGGAGTGCTGAATCACTGTGCTGACTGACAAACACCTGACCTTGATTTCCCTGACAGCTGATTCAATTTCTCTTCGGCCAGCTCCAATCCAGCCCCAGCAATGCTGGAATAAAGAGAAAGCTGTAAGTACCCTCATGTGACTGCATGGACATGCACGGGCAAGAAATTAGTTGGGGGCTCACCCTTCATTTTAACCCCCCCCCAGCTCAGCTCCAAGTGGCGTGGTAGGTCACCAGACCTGGGCACCATGGTGACAGAAAAATGAATGGGGCTGGGAACTGATGAGTCAGAGCTGCTGACAGGTCTCATTCAGTGCCCTTGGAGAACCACCCTGTCAGCTTGCTGTGACCTTTGTTTTAGTGGTATACAGGGGATTGAAAGAAGAAAATTTGAAGAGAAAGCGGAGTGGAGGCAAGGTCCCCTGTGGAAACCACAGAGAGGTTTTCCAGTAATATCATTACAGGGGGTGGGGGAGGGAGGTGCACCTATGGGACTGCCATGCCTATTAGGTGAGCTTATTAGGTGGCTGTAAACAGATGCAAAGTCTAGGGAAGGCCTGTGATGGTTTGCCATATGGACAGCCTAGGAACATTAGAGCTGCCTTGCTGGAGTAGACCAAGGGGAGGTCTAATTTAGGACTCTAGTTACAGGAGTAGCAACCCCACAGCTCTTGGCTCAGAGGACAAGCTGCTGTATTTGTGAGCGAGGGGTGGTGTGACTAGTGTTGGCAGGGGCTGATGGGAGTTGTAGTCTAAAACATCTGGAGGGCACCAGGTTGAAGAAGGCTGGTGTTGTGGAAATTGCTTTGAATGAGTGGGGAGCCTAGACCTCATGGAGCAGTTTCCGTGTGTTTGTGTTTCCAAGTGCCACCTGATCAGCTGAGAAGCCTCCTAAAGCCCCAAAGAAGCGCCAGCTGTTCTTTCCTCTAGCTGCCCCCGGAAAGATTCAACACTCACCCACAGAACCAATGAGCTTTTGATAGTGTTCTTACAAGTCACACATCAGAGTGACTGAGATGACGGATTTGGGCTTCCTTCTCTCAACAGACCTCTTATGCTGGATGATGGCAACTCTGCTCCACAAATGACAAAGTTCAGGAAGCATTTGTCTTTGGATCCCATTCATGACTCCTATTTCATCCAGTCGGTGAGTTTGGGATGACGTCCATCTAATTTAGTCTTCTTGGCTGCTCTTATTTATTTGCAAGGTGCTAGCGATTAATCAAACATTTTTTAAAAGTTTTAATTATTTTTAAACATACATCTGAAGCTGTCTTTTCCCTGAGTCAGATCGCTGATCTATCTTGCTCAGTATTTGTTGTGTACAGCACTGAGTGGTGGCAGCTCTCTGGGATTTCAGATGGTAGACTTCTCCAGTCCTTACTAGAGATGCCAGGGAGTGAACCTGGGACTTGCTGCATGCAAAACACATGCTTTGTCGCACTAGGTTACCCTTTCAGTACAGATACTTGCAAACACTGTGAATGACAGCAGGTGCCATCTATGAAGAAGCAGACATTCTTTCACATACAGGAAACATTTCTTCTTTTTAAATGGTCCCTGCTGAAACAAGAGCCTGTGTGCTTCATCTGAAAGTAAAGGAGTCATGCTTCCGCCCCCCCCACCCCCTGCTTCAAAATACAGTTGTTGCTTTATTCATGTTCGCATCTATGCAAATGTAATCAATTATTCAGTTAAATTTAAATTCTAATTCATTTAAATCAGATTGTTCCACTCAAGAATGCCTCCATGTTTTGCAAAGGCAACTTGTAGGCAGCACATTTCTGTTTCACCAGGCCCTTTGGCTTTTAATCATCTGTGGCCTCAGAGGGCGCGTGTTTTTATCCAGTTTCTAAAAATAGAATTGCCTTTTAGATTTTTCTTTGTTTTCTATTATCCCAGTTTCAATGTATCTATCTGCTTGGTTCTTTTGTATTGTAAGTCACTTGGAGTTACTTTGTTTAAAAAAGTGAGCAATAAAGTTAACAAAATAAACTTGACTGGAAAAAAAACACTTTCCTTCAGGAAACATGTGTCCCCAAACCTTTGTTTATGGAAGTAATTTGTGGGTTGAGGGTGGAGAGTTTAAAATGGTTTCAGGGGAGATTTGGGGTGCAAGGGTAGTGTTAAGCACCCCTTTTTCGTATACATGGATTTCCTCCTGCATATAGGTCCCTTAAAAAAATAAATGTCCTGACATTAGCATCACAAGGCAAAAAGGGGGGTTGGGAATTTGCTATGTAATGTGTGCCTGTTCCACACTAAGTGGGACCTTCCTCCCAAGCCAATCTGTATAGTTTCAATTGGCAAGAAAAAAAAGCACAATTACCAGTGGCTCCATCAGGGCAGGATTTGAGGGCAGCCTCCTTCCCCGCTGCCCTGCTGCCTCAGCAGAATGAGCAGGAACTCCCCCCCCCCCACTCCAGCAGCTGGTTACATTCTGAAGCAGAACCTTAGAAGACTGTGTCCTGTTCTGGGCACCACAGTTTAAGAAGGATATTGACAAGCTTGGACGTGTGTGGAGGTGTGAGACCCAGATGATAAAGGGTCTGGAAACCAAGCCTTATGAGGAACAGGAGTTAGCTGTGTTTAACATGGAGAAATGTAGACCAAGAGGTGATATGATCGCCATCTTCAGTTATCTAAAGGACTGGCCAATGGAGCAAGTTTGTTTTCTGCTGCTCCAGAGGGTAGGACCCAAACCAAAGGATTCAAATTACAAGAAAGGAGATTCTGACTCAACATTAGGAATAACTTTCTGATGGTGATGTTACGAGCTGTTCAGTACCTTCTAAGGTAGTGAATGGACTCTCCTCCATTGGAGATATTTAAACAGAGGTTGGTTGGCCACTTCTCAGGGATTAGTTAGCTATGATTTCTGCATTGCAAGGCTAGCTGACCCTTGGCTTCCCTTCCAACTTTACAGTTCTGTGATTCTATGACTTGAAGTGGTCTCAAATTTAATATAGTCCAATTGGTGCAGGTACTACCGGTATATAGAGCGGGGCCCCCCACATGATTTAATTCTACAGTCTAACATTACCCAACTGCACCGCTGACCGTTACAGCGACGCTTTACTGTTGCATTGTTTAAAAATATGTCTTTCCCCCCATCCTTGCCTGCAGCCATCTGCAGAACCTGCTTCGTGCTTAAACAGCCCTGCTGTCCCCGGAGGGCCAATAATATCAGATGTTACTGAAGTGTCGCCATCTAATGCTGTAGTCATGCAGCCTACTTCCAACAGGGAGAGGTAAGAAAAATCAAGTGTTTTAGTGAGCAACATGGATGGATGTAGGAGACAGAAATAAATAAATGCCACAGGACACTGAATAGGCCAGGGCCAGCTTTGCCATTAGGGCTCCTCCAGATGGGTGGTTTTTGTGTCCCCCGCCCCCGTGTGTGTTCTGCAACATGTGGGATTCTTTAGTTGAGATTGCTCCATAGCAGGGGGTTGGACTAGATCACCCTCGGGATCCCTTCCAACTCTGCAATTCAATGATTCTATAATTCTACGTCACTAGTGCATTAATAATGCATTAGTGGTGGATTTATACTCAGTCGTCTGCTTATAATGCTGCTTTTGCAGGATGGACTTTGCCTATAGTGAGAATATCGAAAAGGTTCCCCTGCCACTTCTGCCTTTCAGTCCCCCCCTCCCCCATTGTCTCAATTAGCATTTCCAATATTTATTTATTTTATTGCAATTATATCTCACCTTTTTTTCCAACAAGCTCAGGGCAGTGTACATGGTTCTCGTCTTCTCCATGTTATCCTCACAACAGCCCTGTGAGGTAGGCTAGTTGAGAAACAGTGATTGGTCACCCAGTGAGTTTCCTGGCTGCTTGGAGATTTGAACCCTGGCCTCTCAGGCTTAGTCCAACACTCTAACCACCATACCACACTGTATTCATGCCCACTGCTTCTCCTCTCCATTTTGCACCCTCCCCTTGATATGGGGGAAGGAACTGACTTTCATGCACGTTGGTTTCTGCTGTGTGCCTGGTTTTGGCCCTGGAGTGAGTTGAAAGGAAAAAAGCATCAGGGTGGCGCTGAAACTTGTCTTTGGTTCAGGGAAACCTGCCTCCTGCTGGTCAAGGAAGAACCCATTAGCCCTGAGCAGAAAGCCGCATCCACAGATCCTGCTGTCCCCTTGATTGGCTGTAATGTCTGCTCAGACCCTCCTGTGTTGCCTGTTGCCATGGTTCAGTCTGTGTTAGACGGCAGAGGAGCTGCGATGTGCCACAGCCAGCAAGTTTGCAGACACTTGACAGAAGAGGCAGAAGGGCACCTCTAGACAGGTGAGGGGAGGAGCGCCACTATGTGCTCTGGCACCACACTGTTTCATTGCTTGTGGATGGGAGAGTATTGCATGAAGGCTTTAGTCATTGCAGCTATGCAAATATTTGCTTGTGCTTTAGGGGATCCTGAGGATGCAACTAGCAAAACACTGATTCTTTAGGTGCTCATCACACCAAAAAGAACTATTGCAGAGGTGGGGAGTGTGTGGCCCTCTGTATGATCTGGACTACAATTCCTATCATCCTTGAGCATTGGCTATTCCAGCTGGGGCTGATGGGAGCTTGAGTCCAACAACATCTGGAGGGCCACAGGCTCCCCATTCTTGGTCTATAGTTTAACCTAATTCCAGGTTAAGCTATGAAGTGGATCCTGGCATGAGACTCATAGGGGAATCCTATAACTTTCTTCAGAAACTTGTTATGAAGATAAAATTGGGGAAGACAAAACACCATGCCCTTGCCTTTTGTTGCTTGGACAACAGATGGGGGGAAAGAGTGTTGATCCACCTGTTATACAAATGCTTAACCTGAATCCCAGTGGGCAACTCTTCCTCTTGTGTTTTCACAGAGCAGAAATCTCTGATCCTTTAGATGGTGCTGATTTGAATCTGGAAGGCCTTCAGATCCTACTGAGAAACCAGCAGTATAATCTTGAAGCTGCCAGTCCTTTGGATGTAAGTTTTTGTCTAACCATGATAAGAGTTTTATAGTTCCATCATTCTTGTTTTTCAAAGTTGTAGAAGCCACCCTTAGAGCAGATACAAGTCTTCAAATCCATAAACTCCTCACACACATTGAACTAACTGGTTTCTGAATGGTAAATGGTAAAATACACACTTTGAGATTATCGGGTTTTCCTGGAAAATGTTGAGACTTGGCTGACTCAGTTAAGCTCACTAGCTGGCAGAGATTTGTGGAATTAAAACGAATGCAAAATGCACCCTCCATTAGCAACATCTTATTATGTTTAACCTAGAAATTTGGCTAATGAAATCTGAGGAAGCAAAATTTGGGCATTTCCTTTTCTTTTACAAAATTTCAGGCAAAAGAAAGACATGTACACAATACATGATTATTAACTTATGGAACTCCCTGCCACAAGATGTTCCCATCACAATCACACTCTTCCTAGCCTGCCCCCCTCCGGTGCACAGAGTTTGGGTGAGTCAACAAAATTCAGCCACTGGTGGGATTTGGTTGCTCAGTCACCCACACAGGCTGCTCTGAATACCCACATCTACTTTATTTTATATCTTTCTTTGCCCTTTTCTTCTTCTTCTTCTTGTTAACTAGAGATTTTTTAAAGAATTGGCAAAACCTGTTTCCTACAATCTGAATAACAGAAATCACCGTGACTGAAATCCTACCTGTGGAATTAATTATACAGTTTGACGCCACCCTGATTACCCAGGGTTCATGGTTCCTTGGGAATGAGGCACAGTGGAGACTGTGGTGTATTTAGGATATATGGTTTATTTATACATATCTACAACCTGAGCCTACAATGGGGGGTGGGGTGCTCACAGCTTTAACACCCCAGTAGTGCCTTGCTTCCCCCATAGCCACAGCCTTGGATTTGAGCAGAAATCAAACATGGTTCTCTCTATCTCTGACTTACAAGCCGCCTGCTTTTCCAGCTTCCAGCTCCTAGCTTAAATCACTGCACTCTCTATCACCTCACCAGGAATTTGAATCCTTACTTGCTGGATCTAGGGGTAAGAAGGGTCTTGACATACAGCCTACTTCCCCCCACCCCAATGTGGGCAGAGCAGGAATCAAATGAAGCAAAAACCTTATATCCTCCTGATGTTTTTTAGCTGTGGTTCATCTTACACCTTGTTTGTTTTAGGTTTTCAACCCCACTATATCTGCAAGTGAATGGAATTTGAATGATGTGGAGGCCAATTTGTCCTCGGTAAGACATGCATGCACAGGATGGGAGGGGGGGTGGGAGTGGCATCTGGACACCACCAAAACACCTGCGGCATTGAACTGGGAGGAACTTGCAGGAGACTCTGAGATAGGGCTGGACAAAGTCCTTCAACACAATACAAACAGAACCACACAGACGTTCGCCTGACCTTCATTCCCATGAAAAGTGGGGAGGGGGAAATTTCTAGGGCCTGGGCATAGCCAAGGGAGGGTGTGGGGAAGGTCAGTCACCCCCCCATCAAGTTAATCAGTACAAAATACTTAGCTGAGGTTCTGCCCCCTCTAACATAAAGCCTGCCCCCAATATAAATCCTGGCTATGCCCATGTTCTAAGGTGAGTAGTGTGAATCTCTAAATACTTTCGGGTGTGGGATATGTTTACTAGAAGGCTGGGTTGGCTTTTGCCTAGGAGCCCAAAATTTGCCAAAGGATGAGAGAGAAATTTGATTTAGTTTGCATTTAAAGTTGAATCCACTAAACTTGCACGAGATTGAACAATATGCAAACCAAAACACAGTCATCCTTCCATAAATGCACTTCTCTGAATTTTGCAATACTGTTCATCAGCCAAGTAATATGTACAAAAGATATTAGTGAAAATAGCATGAACAGAGTAGCCACGTGCCCAGACACAGCTGCTTTGGGCCTTAGACAGCCTCTCTCTGCATTTAGTGATGATAGTTGCCTACCTAGCACAGCTATTTCCAGGACAGCAGATGTAATGTTACTGCTTGATTGGTTTCTCTGTCACAGCACCCCTCTCTTCCTGCCTTTGTATAATTGTGCATTGTTGTAGTTTGTGTTTTTGCATCAGGACACAGATGCCAACTGTGGATCTGGAGAAGAATGCAAATAAGAGGTCCTCCCGAGTGTTAAATCCCCAAATTAATGCCTCTTGCTCAGGTACTGCTCATAGCTAACCTTCCACACAGAGAAGTGACAGTCTACCATGCAGAGGCTGATTTTGCTGGCAGAAGCATCCCTAATTAGGAGCTCTTTGCAAGCAATTCAGCAAGTTGTGACATTTCAGAGAGAATGAACTTTTTGCTTTTTCATTTGGCCTCCTGTGCTACCTTCTACCTCCTGTGCAATTTTCAGCAATGCAAGCCCCATCTCAGTAACTCTGTTTGCACATAACACTTGCATAGCCAGGACTCCAGAAGCATTTAATCTTAGGGTGTGTTCACATTGCTGCCTTAGAACTCAGTGTTGTTTCTGGGTGCATTTCACAGCATTTTGATCTCAGCAGTTCACATCAACCTGCCATAGTGTCAGATTTGTTTCTGCTTGTGTGCGCACCGGGGACACATGCTAGGTCAGGGTTGTCTTCACCCCTGCAAAGGTGTTCACCCCTTGACTGGAGTTGCATTAGAAATGGTTTGCAGAACAATACATCCAACAGTAGTCTTTTATAACAAAGTACAGGATAAATGTGCATTTTGGATAATGTTTTGTAAACATGGATTAAAAGCTCAGCACTGGGAATGCTGTGAATGCATGGTAACTGGGAATGTGAAACCAGCCCTTAATTTCCACTAATCTTGGCTTGATGTCGTATGGGAAGCAAAGATGCTGTTATAAATTCTAGTCAGTTGCAAACAAGTATTCAAGGTCACTGGGGAGTTAAGAAATCAAGAATATTCATAGATGTATATTGTTCATTTAAAAAAATAAGAATGAACCTTTCCATATGAGACTTGGTGAGTTAGGTGTCTTTCCATGATTCATGGTCATGGGTGGTGTGTGTTTGTGACTGGCACAAGAGGGGAACGTATAGTGCCTAAGGTAGGACATTGTAAAATTTTGCAGAGCTTCTAGAGGATTGTGAAACCCAGAGGTTCCACAGAAACAGGGTTGAAAAACACTGTGTTAGAGTGAGTTGCTGTATGTTGTTACAGTCTAACCTGCCTTCTAAAATTCGAAGATTTAGCAATCCAATAACCTAAATAAAAACACTGGCTAGGTTGCTTGATATCAGACACCTGTCACATGGACCACTGTCTTATTCATTGTTCATCCTCTCCTCTGAGAGAGTAGATATTATGTCACATTTTGTTTAGATCTCTGCCAATTCATGTTAACTAATACACTGGTAGAAATATTCTTTATTTTCTATTTGTGTTCTTAGGGAGACGTCATTCTGGAAAGCATCTGTCTGCACTTTTGGAGGAGCAACACTATGAATGTACCAAACAGTTCATCTTTTTACACTGGGTCTAGAACAGCACCTTCCTTCTTTCCTGCTGTGGACTTTAAAATCCCCATCTCAGTTACATCCCATCGAACCTGATTTGCCCGAATGAGAATGATGAGTGATCTTTTGCTTAGCTTAAACTATTTATGCCTTCCCTCCCCCCCCCCCCGGGGGGGGGGGGAGACATCTAGCAGCCTGAATGTAAAGAAGTGGAAGTCACTCACTCATAACAGATACACAAATGTGATGCAGTCATTTTTGTTTCTCTGTCAAAGGTTGTGAGTGACAGTTAGCTGTCGAAGGGATTATCTGTCTGTTTTTGAAGCTCCCATCATGCTAAAAATGAAGCTTTTATTTCTGAACTGCTACTGACAATCAGTGAGGAGGTGATCCCTACACACCGCTTTGGTCCTGTCCAATGCTCTGTGTCCAGTTTTTTCTCATGAGAAATCTTAGACCTCAATAAAAGGTACGTATCTTCCCATGTTCAGTCTGGGTCCCATGATCTCACAGGGACCATCCTGGTCATTGTCTCATCTCTCCTGTTTTACTATTGGAGCCTGAAAGGTCGTCTCTAATTTGTGCCTAATTCCCCATTCTGGTTACATCAGCATATAGTGCTATATTGACTGTTGTGCCAAACCTTGACATTATCAGGACTAGCTTGACAAATGCCAAATCTAGCTTAGAGCCAGCTGCATGTCTTACTCGTTCACACAAAAGGACTGTGCTAAAATTAAAATTATTTGGGGAGGGTTGAATAAAAAATTGGATGTGCTGCTGAGAATTCTAATATATATTCTTCTAGCTTGACTTTTTTCAGCATTCCCAACTATGGACATTGTTAAATTTGGGATTGTTGTTTTTTTGAACATGTGAAAAAATGTTATGACTTCACAGATTGTTGTAGTTTTAGATTTATTTATTTTAAATCCTGCAAAGTTCAATTTCTAAAAGCAAACTTTGAAAATGTGCTAGTTTTTGGATGTACAGTATGTGATTTGTTTCTTTCAATTTGCACCTGTCTTTGCAATCCTGGGTGATCCTTGGAGAGTCATTGCATGTCTTAAAATTGCAAGTGTGAGTGCAGTTTGCAGAAATCTATAGTGCCTGTGGCTACAAATGCAGCCCTGATTTCCTGCTGTTCAAAATACATTTGTGAGATCCAGCCCTGAGAACACATGGAACCTCTCCTCTCTTGAAATAATCCTTCCTTGTCATCTTACTCTGAACTTATTAACCCAAAGGATTGGGGTCATTCTTGGGAATATGAACTCTTCTTACTCTCTCCTTTACCACTTGCTTGCTTGCTTTGAAACCATGACTAATGCTAACATAGATTCCTCTCTTAATTAATGTTTGAAACCTTGGTTTGATGTTAGTGTGTAACATCTGATTAAAAGGGAACAGGGCTAATCTAAACTATAGTTTTGATACAAATGTAATGTGTTGAATTATGGTTAAGGCTAATAAGGAAAAAGTGGAGGGATTTTGCATCAGAGAGGTGAGCTAAAAAGTGACCATATCTTTCCAGGGCTTACTCCTGATTTACAGGTTGTGGTTTGCTGGAAATCTGATTTATAAACCATGGTTTGCTGGATTTGACTGTTATTCATCTAATTGTGCTACATGGTGTTCCAAAATGTATCTGTTTAGGGATATTTACATAAATCATTACCTAAGGATTATCTTGCATAACATTATGGTTTATTGAGCTGGAGTAAAGTGATAATGATAGATTCCTTGGGAGATGTTGCATCCAGACAGTAACTTCCTATGTAATAGGGTTGCATGATTTAGCATTGAAAGAAAAGCACAAGCAACGGCACTCATTAAAATGTTTGATGTGTATATTTCTTACCAAGCCTTGCTTTGGACTGTCATCCACCCTCATCTTGTTGATTCCTTTGCCTGCCATGTGGTCCAGCAAGGATGAACATGGCATTCAACACAGTTCCTGGTCGGCTTGTAGGAATTTGGTACATTGGATCAGCATTCCTAACATCTGGAAAATCATTTGTCCCAGAAGTACCCACTGACAGGATTATCTCTTAGACCGCTTGTTCCCATAAAATGCCCCTATGGAGGCAGCTGTAGGGCTGAAGTCACTCCAGAATTCCTCTAGTTAGCTGTAGATTTGTGCATGCTCCATGTCTACACAAACTCCCTCCAGGATACTCTAAACTGTGTGTGATGAAAATAAAGGGAAAGTGAGACATATATTGATGAGTGAGAATGCATCAGTTGGCTTCCTTGGCTTTTACAAAACTTTGAGAGCAGCAAAGCCTTATTTTTACCTACTAATACACTGCAATGCTTCTATTCTGAAACTTTATCAGGTTTATTGCCAATTTAATGGCTATGGTTTCCCTAGATTCCTGGCACGTGTAGCTTGGTGAGGATACTGAGATTTCTCTTATGCCACCCTCTCAGAATGGGATTTTGCATGGTTAATTTGTGGGGAGAGAATGACTATTAAGCCAGTTCCGGTCAGTAGTTAGGCCTTTTAGAACAGAGAAAGAATGTGTTTAGGTCAGAATTAATTTTAGACAAGAGCTAAGTCTTGATAAACTATTTGTTAGAAGAACCTAGACCTAGAACATGGTACCTCATATCATAACAGAGTACCTCTCAGCATGTGCAACATGCCTTCCTCATTCCTCAGTAAGCACACCATCCCACACATACCTGTACTAGAGAGGCATTGACTTTTACCCTAGCACCCCCTAAGTTTAGAAATTAAGCATAGCCTCAGTGGTAGTGATGATTTGTAAAGGGACAGGTAGAAGGAATGCTTTAGCACCAGCGTGTGTGCCTGGTAACCATTTCTGTGCCAAAAGCTTCCTTATTCCATTGCATCCCCTCTGGGATCTGAATGCTAGCAGCTGACATGGACACACACACAGAATATATGAATGCACATAGCACAGTGCACATACACCACATATTGTCTATATACCAAAGTGTAGACACATTACAGATTGGAACACACAGCACCACATGTGTACATGCACACACACAGCCCTCACCCTCGCTTCTCAGCTGATTTTCCACATCGTGACTTTGCTGAGCAGAATTATTTCTGAAGAGTAGACAAGATGATTTTCTTCCCTTTGCAGCTTTAGCACAATCTGTTTAGTAGCAATCTGTAATTTTTGTAGAATCTAGTGTTTTATACATTTTTGTAGCTCTCTTAAGACACCACTTGCAATGATACAGGTGCAGCATTTAAAAAAATGATATTGACTGAGAAACACATTAGCTCCCAACCCTTTTCTGATTATAAAGTGATTCACTAGAGTGCATACCCCTCTTATCTAGTTTTCTTCAGAAAGTGAAAACCAAGGGGAATAGAATTATCTCTACTTCAAGGAATTTTTCTTGAAAGGTGGTGTGTGTGATTGGTTTTCTTGGCTATTTTATGCTTATTTTATTTTATACTTGAAGTTGATGCGCTGAACCTGCAATTTTGCACTATGCTGTACATTTGTAAAGTTTTACAAGGTATGCTAATTAAAGAGGTTTTCTTTTGTCCTCATAAAGTTCTGCTTTCACAGCCTTTTATTTTTCTTGGATTCATTTCTCTGTGTATTGATATCAATAGCATCCTATATTAGATAAACAGACTTGCCTCCCTATTTTCCCATACTGTAATCTTGCCTTTCCTCCAGGGAACTTGGAGGTATCTATGGGATTACTCTGTTTTATTTACCCGTGTGAGGTAGTTTAGGCCCACTCAGTGTTGGGGGCAGTGGGTTGTTTTTGTGTTGCTTCACCTTAACATTGTCACCATGGGTTAAACTATAAAAATCTTTATAGCAGTTAATGCATTTGTATAGGGGGAGGGATTGCATGTCTCACTTGCATTCTGTTAGAAGCCATCAACCATCCAGTCATAACTCTGTGTGCTTTTATAATTATATATACATAGGAGATCAGGGTGGTGATACTTATACTTTTACACATGCTACTAGCATTTGTTTTGATTTGCAAAGATGCATATAAGCAGAAACAATTGTAAAGTATTCCATTCATTAAGCATCTGTCAAACTATAATTAACAAGCAATGTTTGACCAGATAGTCCTTCAGCCTGTGACCACAGCAGCCACAGGGCCTAAAAAGACCTTGCAACACTACCTGTCTGCAAGGTGATCGTACTTTGGGAATGGCCGCCTTGTATACCACAAATAATATTTGTAGCCATATCAGGATCATGAGCCCCCAAATTAAGATGGTGACCTGGCCAGGAGCAAACATCACTCTCCTAATGAACAAAAGAAGCTGTGATGCTTTGTGCGGTTGGGACTAGGGCACTAAATGTGCAAGCTTTTGTAGGAAGGTGGACTCTAGCCAAAAGTTCTGGAGATTGAGAGTGGATGCTTTTAAGAGGGTTGAGTGAAAACCTCTGGTGCCTTTCTGTGAAGACTAGCTTGTTGGGTTTCTCTGTCTATGCTGATGTCATAGGTGTTCAATACGCCTCACCACAAGTCAGATAACAAATGATGCAAGAAGCTGAGAACAAACTCATTTACTCAGACTGAATTACAAATAAAAGTAAACATTTAACCAAAATAAGCAAAACAATGGCAATCACTTTCTACAAACTTAGAGCAGAATCCAACAAAAGTGAAGCATGTGTGATTTTAGGGGGAGAAAGTTAAGCATGCGCTCAACTCTCACCAAAATAAATGAGACTTAAATGATCTTCATTTTTGCTGGATGCTACTGATTAAACTAGCTTTTCTCAACAGATGAAAGAAAATAGACTGAAAACTGAATTCATACTTTAAATGTTGGTTACCTGACTTGGTGGCATTGAACTTTCACAGATGCATACCGTGGGTGAGCTCGTGTTGCTTAGCACCTGGAAAGACCAATGCATAAGGCCCCCATCTGCACCATGGCACTGCCTGCTCTGCCATTGATCGCAGCAGTGTGGTAAAAGTAAGGCACAACTATTGAAGAGAGACTGGACTTTGCTTGCCAGGATTGCTTGCCTGCAAGTTGTGTCACAGAAAGCATTTGTGACTAATGATGTTAGGGTTGCAGCACTCGCTGTGATGCAGTAATGCTAATGAACGATGGGAAATATCTTGGCTTCTATTTTATAAATTCATACAACACTTCTTCATTTATTTTCAGGAGTATGCTGCTCTGTATCTTCTTCAGAGATATTCCCTGTTAAGGGGTGAAATTTCAGTTAGTTTCTGGACATAGGAGCTATACTCTCCCCAAATACCTTCCTGAAGAGAAGGACCAGTTATTAGGCCAGAAGCTACTCCAAAGACAAGATTGGCAGCTGAGATTCGGTCTAAACTGGACCGCTCAGTAGTCACTGCAGTTCATTCCTTGAATGGTCCCCAGCAGAGAAAGCACTGGGCGCAATAAGAAACCCTTTACCATTTGGATTATCAGGGCAGTGAAGGCTTAAAATTGTGAGCTATGAGCCAGGAAGGCCCCAGGTCAAATCTCTCTTCAACCACAGACCCACAATATAGCTTTAAGCCAATCACTATTTCTTATCCACAGCCCCTTTCCTCAAAGCTCTTAACTATTATTAGTGTCTGTGAACTTCATTTCTTAAAAAATGAGTGAAGACTTCATATCTCAAGCAGCAAAACATAATAATCAATCTCTGGATGTTTACATTTGAGAAGCTAAAGCACTAGGGGAAATGCTCAATTACCTTGTGCAAAAACACTGTTTAAAACACCCTTCCAGATGCAGGACTTGCAGGTGTCAGGCAAGCCCAGATGATCCAATGGGATCAGTGCAGCTAGGACAGCAATGGTAGGGTCTCACCAGTTACCAGTGTGTGAATTCTATGCTCTAGGAAGCACCTCTTTGCAATACCTACCAGTCATAGGAAGATTTTTGCTGTATCAAGACTTCCATAGGCTCAGATTCTAGGTTCAGTTTAGACTAACTTCTATATGTGGAATTATGTCCCTCATTTACCCACTGCACATGTCCATCCCCTGTCCAGATTTGCTAATGGCAACCAATTGGCCATAATATTTATTTACTTAAGGCATCTATACAGTGCTTAACAATTAGAATTTCTAAGTGGTGAACATAATAACAATTCATCATGAAACCAAGCAAACCCAAACAAAAATCCATGTTTGCATGAAGCCTACACTCATAAAGTTCATGCTTGCACAGGGCCTACAGAATCCATAATTGTGGTAGTCATTATGTGGAGAAGTTTTATGTGTATCAGATTGAGACATATGCAGATCTTCTATGCACAGCCCCTATGTAAATGTGATGTCTATATATGGACATCTCTTAAGGGAAAGATACACACCTCTACACCCATAGAAGCTCATTGAAATTAGGCCCCAAGTATCACTTCAAGTATAGCACCACTGAAATAAATTAGTTACTTTAAAAATAAATAAATAAAGTTAGGCTTTAGGTGTAAGCATTCTGTAATTATAAGCCAGCCACATTAACTATGTGTGGACCTGGAAAGAGATGGAGCTACCATTAAACTGTTTTCTTTAATAGCACATAGTTGGACTGAAGCCTAGTTGTGAAGCTATAGGGCACATATACTGATGGTGCTTTGTCCTGTTATTAAAAAAATGAACAGGTGGCTTAAAAAAAACCAAGCAGGTGGACCCAAAATCATGTCTATGTGAATTTACCTGTGCAAGAGGATACAGTGTGGCTCTCTCCGTTTTCCACAATGTCTGGAATTAATTCATCTGCTTCATCATCTGTTAATGGTTTCAAAGGCCCAGGAATCTCTTCGATCAAGGGTTTTGCTGGTTGTACTTTGGCTTCCAATACTTCCTCTTGTTGTGTTAGAAGGTCTGTTACAATGGGTTCTATGGCTTCCTTTGGACAGACTTCGGGTATCTTACATGTATTTGAAAAGATAGAGATTGGGATCTCTTCTGTCTCTATATTCCTAGAAGTGTCTGCATTTCTTTCAACTATGCAGTCTCTGTCATCACTTGCTTCAGAAATCACTTCAATCTTTGGAGAACTTGGCTATAAAGGTAAAAAAAACCAACCAGCTTGAAAATGTCTGTATTGACATAGATTATAGATAATTTATTAAGGTCAAAGACCAGCTCACGTAACATAACACAATAAAAACAGCGTTCATGAAGATAAAATATACAATCGGAGGGGATTGCAGTGGATTGCAGAGTTAAAATTGAGATATATACATACCGTACACCCGTACAACTGAGATTTGGGCTACCATAAAAAAACTGAACGTGAGGCAGTCTAGTCTTGATACCTCACACTATTCTAAGGGATGTTGCTTTCCAAAGCACACTGAGAGTTTAACTCCTCAACAGTGGGCCAAATTAGTCTGCCAGTGGTTCTAATTTGACCCATGAGTAAGTTTTTCCAGTGATGCCTAGCTCTCTCACATCTGATGTCAGTAAAGTCATGGCTACAAAGCAACATGTGAGAACCTTAAGTTGTGCTGCTGATGCTTCCTCAACAGTGGAGCTTGCATTCAGTGCATTTTGCATTGGTCACCAAATATAAACCTGGTTCCACTCACGAGCTCCTGGTTGAAGCTCTTGAGTGGAGCTCATCTCTGCAGAAAGTGGGGCTTGCAATTGAGCACCTAGTGTAAGTGTGGTGAACCTTTGGCCCTCCAGATGCTGCTAAAGTATAACTCCCATCATCCATGCCCATTGGCCCATGATTGCTACACCTCCTACATACATTTTGAAGTAGTACAGCCATGTATTTTATCTGCACACGTCAACTTGTTCTGAACACACATGCCTGTGCATATGTGCTTGAGGTACTCTGTGGAATCAGCTAAAGAATTTTAGAGTGACACATTGGCTGATATTAAAATATCTCTAGAGTCTCCTGATCTACAAAAAAGTCTGTAGCTCTGTTAGGAATATACCTAAATTAACTGTAAAAACACAGGATTAAGAAAGCACTGTGCTATTAGAATAACTCACCTTTCTAGTGAAGATCTCTCCTGGTGAGACTTCCAAATCTACATCTTCCAAATCAGGTAGCTCCTAAAAATTAAAGTTATCCTCGAGTTTATTGAAGGAAGTAATTTTTAAAATACAAAATTTAGGAGTTTGTGGAAATACAAAACCCATTTCTGAGATGCTTCATCTTGGCCATAACCCACCCTTTCTTCCCTCAGTTAATACATACATCAAGAAAAAGTTTCTCTGGTACATCCAACTTAATTTGTTCTATCTCTGCAGGGTCAGCAAGTTCAGTGAGCAAAAGTCCAGGTGTAGCCATCTTATCTACTGGCATCTCTAAAAAAAAAGAAAGAGACAAAACGCTTAACAGATCTAGGTACAAAAATATAGAAATGGGAAGGTCATACTGGGCTCTCTCTCTTTTGTATTATGCTCTGTCCCTAGTAAAAAGCTGTCAAAAAATTGTTCTGTCACATAATAATAATAATAATAATAATAATAATAATAATAATTTTTATTTACACCCAGCCCTCCCTGGCCAGGGCTGGGCTTAGGGCAGCTAACACCAAATATAAATTACAATAAAATGTAATAGAAAAAATGAAAAAACAGTTAATTACAATATGGCTTAAAATACAGGTTAAAATGCAGCCTCATTCTAGTAGTAGCCCATAAATCAAGACCATAAAGAGAGGAAATATCAGATATTCAACTGAGCCAGCTATCAATGCTGGTCCTACATGGGCCAGAAAAAAAACCAAGGGAAAATTTATATACCAAATCCCATATAAGGGGTCAGAGTCCAAGCCAAAGGCCAGGCGGAACAGCTCCGTCTTGCAGGCCCTGCAGAAAGATGTCAAATCCCGCAGGGCCCTGGTGCCCCACTGCAACCTATATGACTGACTTTGCACAAAATCTTAATTGCAGAGGCAGTTTCTACATGAGTGCTGCACATTCCTGGGACTCTTCAGAACTGACATGAAGATCTGCTAGTCGATTGGACAAAACTATGTAGAAAGTTACTCACAAAATATTGTCCCTCTTGTGGAATGCTGCAATATGCAAGCATTTTTGCAGCCTCCCTATAGAATGTTACCTATATATGTGGATAAACTTTCCTAACTAAACAAACCCCACCTTCAGAGCCCTGGTGAAATGAAATGGATGAACCTTTTCCCCAGCCAACTCTACAACCCAAATCTGGATGGTGTTTCAACTAGTATTGCTAGTGCATGGTCTGAGAACACATGATGCAGCCACCTTGCTGAACCTAAGTAGGTTTGTGGTTGGTCAGTATCTGGATGGGAGACTGTCTGAGAGTCCTCATGAAGGCCACCTTGATTTCCAGGATAAAAGATGCACTAACAACTAAATAGATGAATACTTACATACCTTCTGCAGTGTATGTAAAATCTGAATGCATGCCAAAGCTCGATTCTTGTACTTCCTGATCATGATGACCTCTATGACCACTCTCTGGTCTCCCCGACTGATCTCCTAAGATTGCTCCTTCAGCCACAGCCTCCTTGTGGGCATCCATGCTGTCCTTCACAAATTTATCAATCTTCTCCTTTGTTTCCAACGCTTCCAAAGTACACAAGTCCTTTCCTGTAGTGTCTGTCTCAGTGCTGCTGCTTGAAGATGGGATTTCCTCTAGAACACCCCCAAAACAAAAAGAGAGTAAGTGTGCATGCAAGTAATACTAATCCTTGGGTTTTTGTTGAGCTATGTCACTTTAGTCCATTTATTGGTTTTCTTCCAAAAGGATATGAAGGTTTTCCTCTTCTGGGAAGTTCATCCTTGACTGCATGGAAGGTAGTAAGTAACTGGGGCATAAAGAGGGAACAAGCTCAGTAAGTGTGCTTCTGCCCCTAACCCTACCCACCCACCCCACCCCACTCCGAATTGGAAATGTGTGAAGCTGGATGCTCAAAAGGGCTATGGTGGCACAATAGATCTGCTCAAAAGTTTAAACACAAACCTTCTTCACTGTCAGCTGATGTTCCATCTCTTTCTTCTATTTCCCACTGCCTTTTCTTCTCTTCAGCTTTTTGCCGGATTGCGGCAAGAGCATCAATACTGTCTTGGATCTTCTTCCTTTCTTTCGTGTCCCATGTTTCTCTTTCACTTTGTTCAGCTTCACGGCCACCCTTAGCCCAGGCTTCTGCACAGGCTCTGGAAAGAATAAAGATGACTACCATCAGACACATGGAATGATGTTGCATTAATTTCCGTGGAACTTATGTCTACATAATGAACTGACTCCTATGTCTGGCAGTTTCCACAGCCTGAAAGTGTGCAGTGCTGCTGTTGGGCCTATCATCCAGCTGTACTTGCAGGAAAGGGCAATTTGTTCTCCCTGGTTTGTGCTTAATTAATTGTCACTGTTATGTTTGATGGCATTATATGTATTTTAGATAACTTTGGTTGTGGTGTGGCTAACTAAAATAGTAATAAAAATGTGTGAACAGTGCTGCTATGTGGGACTGTAAAATTAAAAATTTATTGGATTTCTATTCCACCCTTCCTCTGGAGGGAGCCTGGGACGGTTATACAACATCATAAATATAATTATCACAAAATTACCAAAATTATATTTCAAACCATGTAAAACATAGCAACTACCTGCCTCCTGACACCCACCTTCCATTCATGTACAGTGACCAAAAATGGTCCTCAGTTTCAGTCTAAATAACAACAACACACTCTTCAACAGGGAGGATGTTCTATAATCAGGGTGTCACAACAGAGAAAGCCTGGTCCTGGGTCACTGCCACCACCACTCTGGATCATACCCATTGGCAGTACCACCAGCAGGACCTCCTCCATACATTTTACAATTTGGATTGGTCAGTACTGGGGAGTATCATAAGGGAGGGGTGTTTCTAGGACTAAGGTGAAACTGTGAAGTTCCCTTGCTATTTTTGCTATTGGATGCTGCATGTTGTTTAAGTAATCTTGTTATATTTGTCTATTGAACTGTGGTTTTCTCTGTGTTCTTATATTTCTGTTTTGCTATGTTATTAAGAAATTGTTTTCGTAGTGTTTGTTTAAAATGCATCTGTTTCTTTGTTGTAAGCCACAAAGTGAATGGATGAATGAGACTGTCTTTAAATTATGCTACCTCTGTTGCCCCAGTCACAAGCTTGCTCTCCTGAAGTGATTGCTTTGGGGGTTGTCACATTGGTGAGCTGAAGCAATTTGTTTAGGATCAGGATCTGGATCTTACAGGCCATTCTGGTGTGTGTGTGTGTGTGTGTGTGTGTGTGTGTTATAACAGCCCCATGAAGTTAGTTGTTAATATATCCATTTTTCATAGTCAGAATTGATTAGTCTACTAATAATATTTTAGACTGGTCATCTCTTTACTCTCTCCTTTCCCATTTTACCTGTCCTTTGGAAACACTGGCCTGTCATCCAAATACGTCAGATGTTTCAATCTGATGATAAGTGTCCTCCTGTAATAAGGAATTTTCTTTATTACCTCATTTCCCATTAAGTTCAATACACGCTGCAAGAAGAAAAAAAAAAAGCAAAACAGCTTCAATTTAAAATACAACAGTAGAAATTATTTTTGTACAATATGTGAAGCCATCCTGGAACTAAAAATAGTTGAATATATGACTATTTAAATCATTTTCATAGGATTAGGTTTGAGTAAACTTTTGTTCACTTAACTGCACCTTCTTCTCATTTACTCCTGCAGAAGAAAGGAAAAAGATGCACTCAGAGACATTACTGGGGTGGGAGCTAAACCTGCTACCTGTTCCTTGTGGCCTCTGTTCTTCTTGCATAAGGAAGGTCTGAATCGAGGATACTCATATTGACATAACCCATAAAGGATTTTGTTTCCTGATTATGCAAATTTATTACAGTAACTCCTCTCCTACCACCTGACTCTAAATTTTATTAAGGCATGTTAATGTCCCTGAAGCACTGGATACAGCATATATCCTTCCACAGCACAGTAAGATCAGTGGAACAGAATCATTTTGTGCCTGAGAAATGGTGGATCAGATAAAGCAATCTTAGAGTTATTCTTTGCTTACCAAATCAGGCATGGTCTCCAGGACATCTAAAATGTTTGGATCATCTAGCCTATTGTGAGAGAGGTCAAGGACACTGATACTTGGGCATTGCTGTAAGTGTTGTATGTCTTCAACTGTTTGCAGCTGATTGTGAGCAATCTGTAGAGTGTGCAGAACTTTCAAACAAGCTGTTGAAAAGTAAGGATACCGTTAGAATAAGTAAAATGAATGGGACTGCCAAATAAATCAAGGAATCGTAACAAAGTCAACAAGATTATGCTACCAGGACCAATTACAGCCCAATCAAGGTTGCCATTTTAGGGGCAAGATTCTCAGCAACTTCTGCTTGTGGATATACTGTACAAGATTAAAATGCACAGACCCACATATTGTCCTCTGAAACATTGGAAAGTCCTCAGTCATACCAAACTGGAACCGCAAAGCCCAGTTCAGTCCCAGAGTACAGGGGTCCAGGTTAACTGGCCACAGAATTGTAATTAGGAATGCTTGTTAGTTAAATATAAGTATAGAGGTACGTCTGATGACAACAGTTTAAGTGGCAAGGGGTCTACTTCAAGAAGGGAAATTTAGATTAGATGTAGGGGGAAGTAATCTTACTCTGCAGTTGATCAATAAAACACACTTCATGATGAGGCTGCAGCATTGCTTCTCTTGGGCATATGACTATAGACATTAGTTCATTTTCAGGCCCGAAGTATGTGCAAGTTTTATTTTCTGTCCTTGTGTTACTATCCTTGTGTCATTCCCTTCACAAATTACAGGCACAGGGGCTCATTTTAGATTAGGACCCTGTGTGGAGCTAAGGGTTAAAATGCTTCAACACTCACCATCACACCCCACCCCCAACTGGTTCCCAATCTGGCTTGCTCCACTGTTAGGAATTTAAAGAAAAAGTTTGCACTGAAGACTTTCAGTGCTGAAAATGTTCCTCCTTGCTCCTTTTGACTCAGTGCATATTGCTCTGCTTTCCTTTGAAGCACATCAGTGAGGCTGATGGGAGTGGAGGGGAGAGAGTTTTGTTGTCTGGGCAGCCCTGGACCTCCATAGACACCATCCAGGCTTACATCCCAGGGAGGTCACTTCAGTGCTGCTAACGCAGTGATTTGACTTTACCACCAGAGGCGCACACCATTGTCTCTCAAGACAGACAGATGCCAACAAGAAAATTTGCCTCCACAGAAGCCACCAGAAATTGCTGTGGAAATGCTTTGCACTGTGTTTTAACACACTGGTGCCCCTACATGTATGATAGTAACACCACCAAATAACACTGTGTTCAGGTTATGGATCTTATTTCAGTGAAGTTAGAATTCTTACAGAGGTTTTCAATTGTCTTGACATAATTGTTGCTGAGGTTGAGAGAGTCCAGCTTTTCCAAGGGTTCAAGATTCTCAATTTTATTTATTAAATTCAGCTGCAGATAAAGGCAACGCAAATCTGTCTGTGCATCCAGGTTCTCGATCTTAGTCAAGCCATTGCATTCCAGCCATAAACACTTCAATCCTGTATATTCTTCCAGGTTCTCCAGACGATCAAATCCTGCGGGAAGAAAAATGCAGTAAACACAATGGCAAGATGGACCATATTTCAGAATGAAGTCGTTATAATAAAAGGAGTGGGGATATGGTTTTAAAGTGGGGACCCATGGACAAGAAAATTCTCTTGGCTTTCTCCAAGGCTTGAGTATTGTCAGGTTATGGGCACCACAATGTAATAATGATACCAGCAAGCTGGAATATGTGCAGAGAAGGGTGACGAAGATGGTGAGGGGTCTGGGGACTGAGTCCCATGAAGAAAGGATTCAAAAGTAGGATATGTTTAGCCTGAATAATTAAGAGGCAATAGGATAGCCATCTTCAAATACTTGAAGGGATGTCACATAGGTGATACAATAAACTTGATTTCTGTCAAAGACAGGAGCTAGACCAGTGGGTTCAAATTACAAGACAAAGAATTTAGACTAAACATTAAGAGGAAGTTCCTGAAAACCTGAATTGTTCATTAGATGTTTTTCAGCAGAGCCTTGGTGGCCACCAATCAGGAGTGCTGGAGTAGTGAATTTACTGCATGGGCAGGAGGTTGGTCTAGATGACACCTGAGTCCCTTCAAATTCTTATGGTTCACTAATGTCTACTACTGGAGCCTGGTTGGGCTATAGGGCTGCAAAAGGGGTTAGTTGGGGAAAAGATTATGTTCCCTCCTTTGACTGGTGCTCCTTTACTTTAAATCATGAACAGCTCCTTTTATAGCTGACTGACACAACATACATGGTATATCACTGGTGCATCTGGTTAGGACCAAAGAGAAAAACCTGCAAGGGAGCATGAAATATATCACCAAAGTTCAGGCAAAATATTCTGGAGCCCTAACTGAAGTTTTAATGAGAGTAAACAGAAATACCAAACTATTCCTAATGCAATCATTTTTTTAAAGAGAGGAGAATTTTAGTGGAAGTAAAAGGCAGCAACCAGGGTTGCCAGAGTTCCCTTTAAAATGCACTGAGGAGGCTGCAGCTGATACAACTCTTGCAATGCTCCTTCACTTGTCCTTTGTTTAACTTGCCCCTCCTCAACCTGTTGGGAGTCACCAGGACTCTAGTTTGTCCCACAGCTTCTGGGGAAGGAGCACAGGTGAGACCACGGGTGGAATAACAGAATGAGTTGTAAAGTGGTTGCAACATGTTTCAAGGCTAAAGGCTTGTTTCCCAGTGAGGCCTTAGAAATCTTAGAACTAGTTGTGAAGGTGTGCATATATATTTTACACGCGAGAGTTATATTCATCTAACTACAAACACAACAGAAAGTACTCATGAATGTCATAGCTGACAAAATGCATGAACAAATAAGTCCCTCTATTGGGTGATAGCTGCATTGCACACATAAAATTACTTAACCATAGGTACACAAATACTGGCTAAACCAACTAGCCAACTGTTATTTGAAGAAGACCTTAAAAAAGAAGCAGAACTGGCTTTCATTTTTGCTGCAGGTAAGGAGATCCAGGGACCCAATCGAGCTAATATACTCCACTGAAAGTTAGTTACATTGAAAGCAACACTGAACCAGTGTCCCCCACACCCTGCCCCTGCAGGGTTAACAGCTGTGGGAGAGGAGGAGCAATTCAGATTGGGAAAACCATGAGTTAAACACCCCTTTCCCCACTGCCACTGCTCCTATCAAAATTTGAGCCTCTCACAGCTGATTTTAAAAATTATATATATTGTCAAAGATCCATTTACAGATGCTATAAATCCTTACTTATGATGAACTAAATCTCATTGAACTGAGAGGAGCTCATATAAAGAAAGAAAGAAATAAGCCCCTCTTGGTTCAGTGAGATTTACTCCATAAAGATGCATAGGACCTGGGCTTACTAACTTTAGCTTGAGTCTTGATCTTCACTTACAGAATTGCCACAAAAATCACAGAATTATCCTCCCTGTTAAGACTGTGGACATCAATACCAGATACTGGTATATGCTGGAGAAAGGAGAAGACTATCCCCATCATGTTCTACTGGTTTGCTTCCAGAGGCATCTGCTGGCTGTTGTTGAACAAAGAATGCCAGAACAGATGGGAGTTGAAACGTGCACTTGATTCTGAAACATTTAATAAAATATTTGTATACATTGACCTAGATTTAGATTCTACAATATTCCAACATATTATATTTCTAAGTTCTCAGGTGTTCATGGTCAGTTCTTTTGCTACAATATAGCTAGCAGATTGGCCCTTACCTTTGTAATGGAGATAGAGGGTGTCGTTCAAAGATGGGGTCACATACAATTTATGCTGTTTGCAGAGGTCCCTCAGTATCTTTTTGGTCATTCTAAAACATTAAGAAGTAGTGTGAGTAGAGTACATACTGTATTTTTCGCTCTATAGGACGCACCTTTTCCCCTTTAAAAATGAAGGGGAAATGTGTGTGCGTCCTATGGAGCGAAGAAGCCATAGCCCTGCGACCCTCTCCCAGCTGGAGAGGTGATGCGCGACTATGGCAGCAGCCTCTCCACTGCACGCCTTTCCACTGCTCCCCGACCTGCTCTTTGGGGCTGGTGGTGGGCTTCCCCCCGCCAGCCCCAAAGAGCAGGTTGAAAGGAACCTGAAGCCTGGAGAGCGAGAGGGGTCAGTGTGCACCGACCCCACTCGCTCTCCAGGCTTCCAAGGTAAGCCGCCTGAAGGCGACTGAACGCACCTTAAACGGCACCTTGTTTTAGAGGGGGAAAACAAGAGGGGGGAAATTCTCCCCCTCTCTGCACAGTGCCTCCTGCCGCTTCGCTGAAGGGGCGCTGGGCAGAGAGGGGGAGAATTTTTTTTCTTGTTCTCCCCCCTCTAAAACAAGGTGCGTCCTATAGAGCGAAAAATACGGTACTCTAGAAGCTCCATTTGCTTATTTAGAAGGCATATGTGCTGCTTAATATTTATATTTTCACCAACTTCCTCCCCATTGCATCACCTTTCACAAGGTTCAGAAAGTTCCCCAATCCTTGGATTACACTTTCAGAGGGGAAGCAGAGGCTCTGCATACAGAACACTGAATCCAGCCAGAATAATAGCTAAAGAATGTTGTTTTAATTTCATTGTTTTTAAGTTTGCCGAGGGGTGAGATTTAACAATAAAGAGGGTATTATTTTTGGTCAGCTGTTGCATATCTGAAATCTGTGATATTTTATGCTGGCTGCATAAAATGCATGCTCTCGTGAGAGAATTTTCACACAAAGGCTCAGTGCAAAACCAACAAGTAGTCTGGATTTTATAATTATGTTATCAAGTTCATTACTGACACTGATCCAGCTTCAAAACCCTAGTTTTCAAACTTTAATTAAAAGCTAACTTTGGTTAACCATAGCACCACTGTAGACATAGCATGAAACTAATGTTAAGGGAAGTGACTGGGGAATTCATGTCGGGGAGGGTAACCTGTGAGCCTACTCATAATACCTTGACATGGTTAAGAGACTGGCAGCACTATAAAAAAAGTCCCTGATTTGTTAAAGTAAGACCACCAATAAAAACTAAATTACCTCAAACCACCTTGTTTGTTTGATTGTTCACAGGATGAGCCAGCCACCGGCTTTTGGTCACCATTTCTATTTTCCTCATTCTGTTGTTGTATGTTGGTCACAGAGCTGTTTCTCTTCTGTGGTGCTTGGAGATTATATGTGAAAATACAGTATATTGCAGAATGTATTTTAAATGTATAGATCCAAGAAATTCACCTTAAAGGCAGAAACTAAAATTTCTTCAATGAGCTAATTGTTACATACAGTAATACCTACTGATAGCTGCAGTATAACCAATATGCCATACTGAGCTCTTTGGAAGAAAAGGGAGATAAAAATGTAATCAAGAAATAAACAAGATACATTGCTGCAGGCTCTCTCTGGCCTCCTCCCACCTTTGCTATGTGAAATAAATGGTCTGACTGGGGCTTACTCCTTTGCCTGAAATTGAACATAAAAAAGAATTAAATTCCAAGAAAACTGAAGCCTCCCGTGATCACAGACTTGAAATCAATATTTTTGGTCTGACCCAGCAAAGCAGTTCTTATGCTCTTAAAAGCACCAAGACAGTTGGTAAAGACACAGGAGTAAGTCTCTCTCCCAGCCCCGCCCCCCCCCCCCCCCGCAAAGGGTGGTTGCAGTATGCAACTGTGGAGTAGAAGAATAACCCAGCTAGAAAATACTTGAGAACAAAAGTTACATGGTCCCATCATTCACCCAGTCCATCACACCATATACCAACCACTTAATCTAGCTTTCGAGCATGAGGGCAAGCAATGCACCCAGTGTTTTCCTGCTGACTAAGGATCAGAAAAATCCCCCATAGTAACACCCATGGGGAGTATGTGATCCTGACGGGAAATTTAATGTGGCAATATCTTTCATAGGTCTGTAACTTATAGTACTGATATTTTTCATGTAATTTACCTGGTTCTCCATTACCACAGTCATTCCTAATAATTTCCGACTTCAGTTGCTCATTGGCAGGATCTTTTTCTGTTCCTTGTTCTCCTTCTGGGAGTTGAGGCTGTAGTTCTAAAATTCAGACAGATGGAAACAGGCTCAGTGGATGTTTAAATCTGCTAACTCAAACAAAGAGATGGGCACTCCAGAGGGAGGCCTCTCATTTCATTTTGTTGCATGCATGTAATATCCCAGAATATACACATCTGTTCACAACAGAGGAATCTGTATCTGTAGGGACTGTATTTGCAATGCAGTGTATGTCTGCATTAATTTAGTTTTATATGTGGCTCTCTCTCTCTTGCTAGAGCTTTTACAAGTGCAAGAAAAGAAAAGGTCAGGAAAATGACAGGACATCATTGCGCTAAGAATGGTGAACAAGGAATGTGTAACATTTTTATAGTGTTGGCCGCATTTTGTTCAGTTCTATACAAATACTCCTATGCTTGTGTAGTAAAGCAGGGAAGTACTCAGTCCCCCTTACTAGTCTTAATAAAAAATAAAAAATAATAGATTAATTTAAACCTTACCATTGGTATTTAATATTGTATGCAAACCACTTCAAGTTTTTTAAAGCGTTATATAAATCTTGCCAAATTTAAAAATATATTAATAAAATGGCAGAAAGTTGTGCCTTGTCATTCATTTTAGCCCAAGGTGTTGTCAAAACTACTTCATGTTCAAAACTTACACACACACAGGCTCCGATAGCAAGAACTACCTGATTTTGTTAAGTTGTCCTCATTGTTGGAACAGGTGTCCACCTGCCTGCAGTCTTTCATCCCTTGACCATTCTCTTCCCCTACAACAGCCTCTCCTGACCCAGGTTCTTCATTGAGTGGATGCATTTTGAAGTGTTCCTACGGAGAGACAACAGGAAAGTTACAGCATGCCCCACAACTCTCTACCTTGCATTTATTCAGATCATTCAAGCATAACTGTATGTGCAAATCATAGTTTTAAATTAAATGTTTTATTATTTTGTATGATGACCATGAACCCCTTTGAGAACCACTGTGTGAGAAAAGCCATATACAAATCTTGTAAATGAATAGATGTGCCTGCATTTGGCAAAGGAAAAATAGCACAGCAGACCAAATTAGAACCCCACCTGGGTATAATAGGCCCACGGGCCAGAAGGCCTTCATACCTGAAATAAACAGACAGGTGGCAAGATGCTGGTCCATGAACTCTTCTGCCCCACTAATACTACATTGGTTTAATAAGAAATTACAGTCCACTATTTTATCATTTACAGCATTTTTATCCGGCTTTTCTGCCAAAGAGCGGCTCCCAGGACAGTCTACAAATATTGATGGCAAGTACTTGGGCTCATAATTTAACAGGTGACAAAAATGGGAAAAGGACTTGGAGGATATAGGAAGAAATACAGGTAAAACCTAAGCCCCATTTCTCAGTTACATAATTCTTGTAGCGGCCAGCTGGAATGAGGAAACAAATGTTGCTGGTCTTCCAGCAGAGCTGTGGTCCCATCTCTCCCCTCTCTTGTAGCCTACTGTAGAAATACATTACAGTGCAGCATCATATGGTAGATGGCATCACATTCAATGCGGCTTACTCCTAGGTATGTGTCTTCCCCTTATGCCGCAGTCCCACACTCACTTATATGCCTGACTTCTGAGATGTAGTGTTGTTTGTTGCTTTTCAAGGTGCCCACAACGCTGTTGGTTATTCTGCTTGCTGTTGAATTTTTCACCTTTCAAATTCCAAAATGAGGGGTGCTAAAAAGTTGCAACATGACTTGGGAATTTAAAAGATATTTTGGTTAAATTAATATAATTAATATAATTTAGTTTTGTTGGGGTAAGTAAAAGAGTAAAATTGCATAAAGGTAAAGATAAAGGGACCCCTGACAATTAAGTCCAGTCGCGGATGACTCTGGGGTTGCAGCGCTCATCTCGCTTTATTGGCCGAGGTAGCCGGCGTTTGTCCGCAAACAGCTTTCCGGGTCATGTGGCCAGCATGACTAAGCCGCTTCTGGCAAACCAGTGCAGTGCACGGAAACGCCATTTACCTTCCCGCTGGAGCGGTACCTATTTACCTACTTGCACTTTGACGTGCTTTTGAACTGCTAGGTTGGCAGGAGCAGGGACCAAGCAACAGGAGCTCACCCTGTCGTGGGGATCGGCAAGCCCTAGGCTCTGTGGTTTAGACCACAGCTTCACCTAAAAATGATTGCCAAGAACTTGCAGCTATATTATTTGTTGTTATTATTTTAAGTATTAGCCGATACTTTCAGAAGGCAAAATTAAAATTCTTTGGTTTTCCGGAAGCAGTTTACATGCTTCCTTATCAAATGTGAACTTACCAAGTTGTCCGATAACAAAAACAATAGCAGAATTGAATTCCTTGCACCCAAAACCACTCATTGAATAAATCTGCAAAAATTAAATTTCACCCCCAGCAGCCTTTCTCAACCTGTGGGTCCCCAGATGTTGTTGAACTACAACTCCCATCACCCCTAGCTAGCAAGGCCAGAGCTCAGGGATGATGGGAGTTGTAGTCCAACAAACATCTGGGACCCACAGGTTGAGAACCACTGTGTGATTTGCGCTATGCAGCAGCCCACTTAAAGTAACACAGAATACTTCTCTGGGCATAAGCAGAGCACAATCCCTGCTCGGGGGCAATAGCTGCGGCCGGACGCCACGTAACTGAGCAGGGGCTCCCAGACAGGTCTGCTTAGCCCCAGCACCTCTTTGTTTGAAACACACGCCCCCCCCCCCAGCTTGCTGTCCCCATTTAATACCCTCCTCTCTTTCTCTTCTTCGCTGCCCACTCAAGGTGTCTTCGCCATCCTTCCTCTCACTAAGGAGATGCAACCGGGGGAAGCCTGGCTGCCCGAGCCCCTTCTTCACCCAACCACACCGGCTTCTCCTTCAACGGCTCCTTTCCAACAGCTTCCCCCGTTGCCATGGCGACGGGCCGACCAAGGCACGACTCTGCGCACGCGCGAGAGTAGAGTTGGGTGACGCACTTGGGCCTCGCTTCCAGCCCCGCCCCGCCCCTCCTCCCACCGAATGGTCCTCTAGAGATTAAAAAAAAAGAATCAGAGCAGCATCCCGTTTATAGTGAAGCTTTCCGAGTTCAGTTCACGGAAAAAGGCCCCTATACTCACGAAGGAAGAAGCAGACATGAATATAGGCAAGGGGTTAGATCAGATGACCGCTGAGGTTCCTTCAGATTTTTAAATGATCCTTTTTATCAGAGATTTGGGGTTTAAGAAAGACCACAAGCTTCTAGACCCCCAAATCCAAAGTCACTTCTAGAAGGAATCATAAAAGTTGGAGGGGGTCACAGAAGCCATCGAATCCAACCTCTGACGCTTTTAGGCTGAGGTTTTAATACTATACAAATTAATTTGAATGTAGCCCGTCGCTTACAACTTTAAAAGGGAGATTTAAATTGCGTGTGCTGTGAGGGAGCGGGCGGGCGGAAGAACGCGGCCCCCTCTTTTTAGCATTTCGACTGGCTTTGTTTGCAGTTTTAGCTCCTGGAGGAATCATATTGTCACGCAAATGGAAGCCGCTCAGCCATTCGCCTGGAACCCAGAAGTGTAGTTATGATGCTAAACTTTAACTTTCTGTGGTCTTTTCGTGATGCCTCTGAGTCCTTTAAGGGGATTTATGTTGACATTAATATAATAAACTTAGATTCATCTGGACAAAATTTACTTTAGGACAGATAATTCCTTTTACCAAGTTTATGTACAAGCGAGGTATCCATGCAAGGAACAGAAGTAACACAGCATTTTCTGCGCTGCTCGTTTTTACAGCGCGTTCAGGACCCTTCCCTTGTGCGGGCGGACGAAGGGCTTTTGATCTTCTAAAGCTGGCAATACAAAAACGTGGAAACTGGATCGCGACTTGACAGGTCTGTGAACAGCCTACTTGCCAAGCGATTTTGAAAATCCGCTCCCCAGATTTTCCTCATAGCCGCAGGGTCGGGTGGAACTGAGAACGGGAAGGTTTCCTTCCAACTGAACTAAAGTCAGGTCATTAAGTAAGGCAGCAGCGCAGAAACATCGCAGGTTGCATAAACGAACAGGTAAATGAAATATGGCAAAACGGGTTTGGCACCATGGATTTGATTTACTTGCTTTTTAAAGACAATGGTTGAGGTTTTTTTGTAAAACATTTATAGTATTACTCAGAAGCAAAAGCTCAAAGGTCAGAAGGGGTTGGAGGGTTGGGAATCAACAATATCATACTTTAATAATGTTATTTTGTTCTCTGCTCTAAAGAGCAGAACTGATATTTGGAATTATTAGGAATTTAAAGTTGACAGATCATTTCTGGAACAGCAGAGACCTCTCTCTTTATTGTTCCATCCAAGGGTGCAAATTGTACCCTCAGTTACATGGAAGCAAAACTCCGTTAGTGTGGCTTACTTCTGAGTAAATATGCATCCGATCATGATGTAAGTCCACATACACAAAAACTGTCTGGCATTTCAAGTTCTATGAAAAATGGGTTAAGCTTAGGCTTAATCTGCTTAATTCTGTCTGCTCAGAATTAAGTAAAAGTGAAGTCAGTGGTGGTTACTCCTAAGTAGGTTAGGTTATGATTTTGGCTGCAGAAAAATGGAAGAAGGGTACAGAAGGGTCAGGGACAAATGCATAGAGGATAGACTGAAATGGCTTTACAACATTTGTTAACCTGGTACCCTCCAGATGCTTTGAACTACAACTCCCTTCATACTGGCTGGGGCTGATGTGGTAGTCCAAAACATCTGTGGGGGGCACCAGATTGTTGGTGGTGGTGTTAATAATAATGATCTGTCGGTGTTTGTAAAAAACAAAGGTTCTGACCTCCTTTTTACTCCTTTGCCTAGTCCTCAGACCTTAGTTGGCACAAGAGTCTTTGAGAAAGAGTATTCTTGTAGAGTATTGCTGCTTTTATTCTTAAAAAGTCTTCTTCTCCAACCACGACTGACAGCTTTTTACACACACCAAACACAACCATCTTTCTACCATCCAACCAACCCACACCCGACACTAACATTGACCGCTCTATATACAGTGGTACCTCTGGTTGCGAATGGGATCTGTTTTGGAGGCCCGTTCACAGCATGAGCAGAATGCAACCTGCAGGTGCGCGGGTTGTGATTTGCCGCTTCTGCGCATGCACGTGACGTCATTTTTGTGCGCATGCGCGAGCGATGAAAATCGGAAGTAACCCTTTCTGGTACTTCCGGGTTGCCCTGGGACGCAACCTGAAAACGCTTAACCTGAAGGAAATGTAACATGAGGTATGACTGTGAAAAGGAAAAGGGACCCCTGACCATTAGGTCCAGTCGTGACCGATTCTGGGGTTGTGGCGCTCATCTCGCTTTATTGCCCAAGGAAGCTGGCATACAGCTTCTGGGTCATGTGGCCAGCATGACTAAGCCGCTTCTGGCAAATCAGAGCAGCGCACGGAAGTGCCGTTTACCTTCCCGCTGGAGCGATACCTATTTATTTACTTGCACTTTGACGTACTTTCGAACTGCTAGGTTGGCAGGAACAGGGACCGAGCAACGGGAGCTCACCCTGTCACTTGGGATTCGAACCTCAGACCTTCTGATCGGCAAGCCCTAGGCTCTGTGGTTTAACCCACAGTGCCACAAGTACAATTTGGTGAAAGATTGCATTGTAGGCCGCTGACTCATGCTGACTTAGTTATTTTAGCATTAAAGAAACAGCAGCCAATTTTTAGCTGTGACAATATCCAACCTTACTAATTCATTATTCTTGTTATTCATTGGTTCTTGACTTTATTATTTTGCATGTTGTCAGGTGATTGGCCATTCACCTTTTAAAATGTTAATTTAAGCTGACTTGGTTGTTTTTTTTTCAGACAAACAAACAGTATTTATTCACACTGACAAAAAAATACATATAATATCCCAAAAAATAAAAACAGTACAAAAAAAGAAAAGAAAGAGAAGCAAAGAATAAGAATTGTAAATAATACACCCATGTGACTTCCCTCCTCCAATACTCATCCTCCTTTAAACTTTAGATTTATATTTGCATTGCATCTTGACTTGGTTGTTTTAATTATTTACCATGCTGTTGTTTTTTGAGAGGTTTATCATTATTCTTGTTGTTTATTATTGTTTCATTGTGCTTTGAATGTTATCAACCACTTTGACTTCTACTGGGATATGTTATGTTAATCGAAGAATAATAGATATATGTGGCAGATGCTCTTGGGTTTTCCTGAAACAAAATGACATGGTC